CTCAAAGAGAATTTTCACCATCCCTTAGAACGAATCCTTTGGGATCTATGTCTGGCCATACTCAATAAGTTTGTAATAATTTACTTAGCTCATCTGCATATAGGAGAGGAAATTTTAATAATGCTGACGTCTTTAGGCACTGACTTCGACATATACATTACTTAGCATTTTAATCGAGGAGGTTCGCCCCGGATAAGCTGTTTCAGTTAACGGTAGAAGGAAAAAATACCTCTATCCAAGAAACATCATAACTGAATCAGCTTGAATCAACTCTTAAAGGCTCAAAAAAGTATGTTGTAAAGAAAACAGTCTTCACAGAGCTGGGTACAATAACAAAGATGCCGTTTACATACAACCTGCTGTTGCTAAAGTAACGACAAGAAGGAAAGTTGGTTGAAATTTATCATGATAAGAATATCGTTATGACAAAGATGTGGCAGCAACTTATAGTTCTGGTAATACACTTGTCGATTGTTTTTGTTTTTTGTATAACCACAGAATTTTACGCCAATTTTTCCTAGAATACGATGAAGCTCAGTTGTATATTTGCTCTTGACAGATCACCGCTTTTTTCGTGGTTATTCATCATGGCATTCAAGCTGAGGTACAAATTGCCGGTAAGTTTGGCATAGTGTAGTTAAGAACTGAAGCACAGTCAGCTTTTAGAAGAGAATGGCATTCTAGAAAGCCACATTAGCTTCCAAAACCAAGTTATTAACTTAGTAATATTGAGTCGTGGGTGAATTATTTATAACCTCAATAAGGTCTAATCTAAAATATGCAATTTTAGTGAAAAAGTTTCTCGATGCGACTAACTTGTAACCAAATGTTTCCCGCGTTTTCTATAATACTCCAGAAATTTTTTTTTTCGCTGAAAATATTATGTGACTGTCTGACGTTTTCATGTCATTAATAATGGATAATTTTCAACCCTTCTTCACAAAGAGCATATAAAAGCGAATACAAGAAAGGTTTTTGATCTACAAAACCACTTCTATCACCAATTAAAACTATAAACATTTTTACTTAAATTCGTGCTCGTCCTTTTATCATTTTATTGTTTGATCCTACTGAAATTCTACGAAATGAAATGCAGAACTTGAGAATTGTCTTTGCAATTGTTAATTATTGATTTTTTGCACTCTCGTGTTGGATTCGAGTTTTAATTAATTGGAAATGTGTTATTTTCTACCAAATTTTAACTCTGTTATATATCGGAAGGCAAACTTTACCTTCCGATATATAACAGAGTTATATGTACTCTTTAAAACCGTTTCAAACGGTCCCCAGAAAATTCTCGAAAATTTGGCGAATTTCCAGTTGGTGAAAACGTCACTCCTTTTAATTAAAACGTCCCGTATTTCACTTTGGGTCAATACTAACAGGTTGTTTCATTAGTGACAGAAGATAATCGCTACTGTCTCTACAATTGACAACACCTCAAACATAGCTTTTTCTTGTCGCTCTCAAAATTGAATTCCCTTGAGACCGGAAACGAACATATTTCAAATCCAAAGAGTCAATTAAAAAAAGAAAAGAAAAAAAGCGGGATATTGTGGAAAAAATTCCCCTCAAGATTTCAGCGGTTAGAATTTACGCTACTTTATGTCAAAAGTTAAATTTCTGCCTGTCCTTGATGAAAAATTTATAACTGTTAGCACATAAAAATGATTCACGGGAACATCACATCCCCAAACGGTTGCTGGGTCCTAAGGCTTCTATTATACTTGACAAAGTCACGTTTCACCATGGGAAAATAGCCTCGTTCAATCTTGTGTTTTACGCGTAATGCTGTTAAACTAATTTTACACTTAATAAGCATGATCCCAAATCATGATCTTTATTTTTGCCATTTTAAAGTAAAGTTCTTGAGTCCTGAAAAGCATCTGCTTTTCATTACGTTCAGTTTTTATGAAAATTAAATTCATTATGCCCGCGTAGGGGCCAACATCACTTTTAATTTCGGTAATGAGTCTCTTTGCAAGGAAATATTGTGATATTTCGAATGACAGTCAATGTAAAATTACCCTCGCTCACTCAAGTACTATTAGCAAGTATCTACCGCTATCAAACAAACAAATCGCCACATCGTCGCCTTAATTTTCGTAATTGAAAGAAGATAGTAAAGTAAACCGTTAAAAGTAAATTTTCCATTTTGTGTGCCACGAGCTAACCATTTCAATTTAAGCCGAGTCGACTACGAAAATGACATTGAGGATATTTCAGTGGGTTCTCGGCAAACTTGAACGGCACGTATGTCTAAAACACGTTTTTTATCGGGCTTCATTAGGCCTTCTCTGGTTGGCTAAACCTAGTGTTACCATCTGCTACGTGAGTAAACAACACATCCAAAAATGCAGAAAAAATATCTTTGACAGATGATGTAAAATTATTGAACACTGTTAAGGTTTGAACCTGGGAATATCATTGAAAAAAAGCAGGATATTGTGGAAAAAATTCCCGTCAAGATTTCAGCGGTTAGAATTTACGCTACTCTATGTCAAAAGTTAAATTTCTGCCTGTCTAAAACCTGGTGTTACCATCTGCTACGTGAATAAACAACGCATCCAAAAATACAGAAAAATATCTTTGACAGATGATGTAAAATTATTGAACACTGTTAAGGTTTGAAACTGGGAATATTATTTAATCACAGTTCATCTAAGTCTGAGATCAGAAAAGAAAAAAAAAATCCCGATGACTTTTCTTTGAGGAACAACAACGGTATCCGGACAACTCGCCCCCTGGACAATTAGCCCCAGACGACTAGCCCCCAGTCTCTGGACTATTAGCCCCCAACCCACCAACCTTGAAATAAACTATGTTTTTGCCCTTTACTTTTTACGAACGTTTCCCTATCATATATTATGAAATAAACAATGTTCTTGTTATTTGCTTTTTACGAACATTTCTCTGCCATGCGTGTTAAATTATAAAGTAAACTGCGTTCTTGCTGTCTTGTTGTTTGCTTGTTATGAACGTTTCTCTGCCGTGCGTATCGAATTATAAAGTGAACTGTGTTCTTTCTGTTTATATATTCTACAAAAATGAACTGTGTTCTTTCTGTTTACATACGTTACGAATGTTTCTCCGTCATGTTGTTTAAATAGGAAAGGAAAGAAACCAGGGACGAAACTTCGAAACTTTAACTTATTGGCGACTACTTGTTAATGTCAATCGGGCGTGTCGCAGGCAGATTACCGCAACGCTGTTAAAACCGGTGCGTCTATCGACTGGTGCTCACCTCGTACAACCCATGTAATTTAAATTGAGTAAATGTTAATATAGATAGACATTCACACAAAAAAAGGGCTCCTTTAGGAGCCACAAACTCATAAAAGTCAATGACCAACAAATGAACGTAACTTCTCCTTTACATAAACTAAGACTGGGGGCTAATCGTCCAGAGACTGGGGGCTAATCGTCTGGGGCTAATTGTCCAGGGGGCGAGTTGTCTGACATTCACAACAACATGCGGAGGGGAAGTTCTTATCAGAGTCAAGTAAAAACCGTTAGTCGGTCAAAATTTTAGAGGTCTGGGCCGGGTTGTTCAAAACACGATTAACTTCATGCGGGGTTAGTGTAAATTCTGAATTTAGTTAAAAATTAAAAAATTGACAAATCATAATTATTATTCGTAAAAAGAATTTAACCGTCAAAATCTTTCCGTGAACTTGAACGGAAATAGATTAACCGTCAGCCGTGAAATGACCAAAATTTTAACCGTTAGCCTTAGAAGTCATCACCCCAGTGAGACCCTTTGGGTCTCTTATCGTTATATTTGTTGCAAACCTAGAGCAACATTCGACAGATGTACTTGGTTAGTTTCAATACGTTGGCAAAGCAAACATTTAGGCCTTCTGTGAATGATTCAACTGAGAGACAATTCTCCACTTAACTTTCATAATGAGCTTCGTTCAAGTTGTCGAAACATATAACGTTGTAAACTAAAACAATACTTTTACATTCTTATCCAAAGGAAGCTCACTCGACCATCAAACATGCCCTTTAACTCCCGTGAGTGACCAAGACAGAATTTCTCCTTACAATATCAATACAATATCAAGCAAACAAGAGATGAGAATAAAAAAAAATATTAATTAAAGGATTATAAGTTGATCCAATACCAAATTCTCCAAATAAGCATTACAAGAATTGTATGGCAGACAGAAAGAAGAATTTCTAACGAGATCTTGGGAGTTAAAGGGTTAAGCAGACGATTTTTTCCCGTTTAGTTGTTCTATACAGAAGTTAAGACACTCTAAAACTCTGAACTTTTTAATCAGGAGGAACTTTTTTAGCCAAAGTGGTTAGTAAAAACGCAAAGACCCTCTCCATTTGTGAATCGAGAAGAAGCGTTTGTATTTTGGACATTCCTGAAGTGGTTCTCTCAGTATGGGCAGATACTGACTAAAATTAATGACAAAATATAGACTTTCACCAAGTACGTCTGTTCCTGTGCGAGAAGAGCAAGGATATTCCACGGTTCCGCGTAACTAGAATGTTCCATCTTTACTTCAATCGGTACAAAATTCCTCTATAGACCGTTTGAATATAGCCTTGGATTTAATTACATAGCTTTAAGGGGGAATAGAGTTGGGATCCGAGTCTCCGCCAACAGAGCATGAAGGGGGAACTAAGGACAAGTGACTGCTAATTAACTGCTAATGACGGAGATCATAAATGGGGGATCAGGTACTCGACCTCCCTCCGACTTCCCTTCTCCCCCCTCCCCCTCCCCCCCCCCCCACCCTTCCAGGCGATAAATGAAGACCGACCCGGAATTGAAACATTTCACTCTTCTCCCCACTCCGATCTTAGCACCAAGCAATGTGACGGTTTACAACAAAACAGGCGATAGCTTGTTCGTCCAGTGGAGTGAGGTAAAAGGAGAGATCCTTGGTTACAGAGTGCGTCATCAGCGAAATGATACTCCTGTCGCCCTTGGCAAAAATGGAACATTGAGTAATAACAGCTCGATATTTGTTTGCAAAAACGTAATGGCTGTGAAAATCGAAGAATTGGAAGTATATACAGACTATCATGTCGAAGTAAGAGCATTTAACAACGCAACTTTTGGGCCAAATGCTACCATTGCAGTTTTCCGTACGGATGAAGGCGGTGAGTAAGCACGTCCATATGTTGTTTCGCCCTGTCGCGAAAATCATATTTTTTTGCGTTATTTATTTATTAATTCATTTTTTTTAAGATAGAAAGTGTTTTCATTTTATCTGTTAAAAGTTTTCCTCGTGTAGCAATGCTTGTAATACACATTCGTTTGTTTGTTTGATCGCTTGTTTCTTTTTCTGGAAGTAATGCAAGGCAACTTTGAGGAGACCAAGATAAACCAAATAAAAAACCAGCACTCTGAATTGGCCCTGCTATCTCTTCTCAATATTTTAAAATTTTAGTTATTTATTGATTCTTGGTTTCAGTACCGACAAGTCCACCTGTTAATGTCAGAGCAAAGGCAGACGAGAAGAATGCTACTTTGATTTCGGTGCACTGGGAACAAGTCCCGCTAGCAGATCGTCGGGGTGAAATTTCCCGCTACTTAGTTACTGTTGAACATGAAGGAGGGGAAGAAATTACGCTCAATGTGACTGGTTTGAACGCAACCATACCTCGCCTCAAACCTTACACGGTTTATCACGTCACTGTAGCAGCGTGGACTAGCAAAGGAGCGTCAAACGCCAGTGAGAAGGCAGAAGTCCGAACCGAAGAGGCCGGTAAGGAGATTTTTGACAATGATAACTAAAAATAAAACCAATATTAGGACCACGGAAAGCAGAGTGGAGAACGGTTATAGGGATTGAAGGACCAGAACCTAGGGGGAAGGAGGAGTAGCCTGCGTTGCTGGCGGTCTGCGATTTTGGGAGCGGAGATTTTTGGTGGGTCTTTCATTTTACTCTCCGCCCTTGAAACCGCAGACCGCCAGCAATGCAGGCTACTCCTCCTTCCCCCTAGGTTCCAGTCCTTCAATCCCATAGTTTAAAAAGCGGACTATGGAAAATTGACCGCTGCCAATGAGGAGGAATCATTAGATAAGAACATAGCCTTAAGGGAGCATTACATAAATTTTATTGTGACACAAACAAATTTCCCCGAACCCCAGGCAATGAAAAATTACCTGTCCCTAGGAATAGGACATGGGATACGAGGAACGGGAATGGGGAACAAGAAACATGGAATACAATACAGGAACGGCAAATAGATTAGAAAACAAAAATCGGAGAATGGGTGTGGGCGGAAAAAAAAGGAAAACGGTGATAAGAAGTAGAAGAATGAGGAGCAGGGATCGTAGAGCAGGGATCCGCAACGGAAAATCTCTTACTTTGATCATTTGTACTTGGCTTTGCTCCAGCTTTATGACATTCGATCGGAATCCGCTCTCATTATTCTTAGTCAGCTGTGAAACTCCCGTACCATTTCCATAGGAAATGAGCTCCCTTGGGGGAAATCAAACTCCCCTATGGGTTTTGAGATCCCCATATGGAGCTATCACGATACAAAATCTTGAACTAAATCTTTAATTATAGGGAATTTTTATTAACTAAAACTAATTTCTTTGTCAGAAGTTTTCGGAATGTACAAACGTAAAAAAATTTAATAATAATATAAACACCGATTTAAAATAACGAACTTGAAAATCCTAAGGAAAGTTTTCAAGATGGACAAACTGGGGTGACGGAGCGGGAGAGAGGATCTGCTTTGGGATACAAAACAATACTTTATTCAAGGGAAAAAAAATTGCAAAAGGTATCTCTCGAAAGGGTATATTCTAGAGGTTAACCCTATACAAAGATTCCCCGTCTTAAATTTATGATCATTTTTTTCCTTAGCTCCATGGAATCCTCCGACGCACGTCAACATGTCGTATGACCCCTTCATGTTGAATGATATTTTTAACTTTACGTGGGAACCAGTGCAAGGAAGATTAAATGGAATCCTTCGTGGTTATAAAGTGCGCTGGAAGCAAGTGAAATCGATTAAATATTATATCAGAAATATTACCAACAGTACAACAAATTTAGCATCAAATCGCAGGCGTAGAAGATCAGTTTCTGACATCATAACAGAAATCCGGCTAACAAATTTGAGTCTTTACACCAACTATTCTTTTGAAGTGGCAGCCATAACAGTCGCTGTGGGGAAATTCAGTGACAAGTATTATTTCATGTCACAAGAAGGAGGTAAGCATTTTCTAATTAATTTAGCAATTCATTTCTCGTGAGTTCTTGTGTGTTTTGTCGTCTTGGCCGCGATGCGGATTTATCAAATCCGGTCACATGGACTTCAAGAAAATCATAACGGCGAAGGCAACTGTAACCTGATAACGCCGGTAACAACACAGAAAATTCTTGAGCACATCCTTATGCGAGTCTTCTGAGCCTTAGCTTGTAATGTGTTGCATGACCACACATTTATTTTACCCTTTGAGTAATGTGTCCTTGACCGTTGTATGGGACTTAATTCTCGTCATCGTTAGTCGTGTTTGGGTTTGTCCTTGACCTTGCTTACAGTCCTTAACAGCGAGTTTTGTTCACGTTTTAGTTCTCGAGGATTGGTTGTAGATCAACTACTTTGTTATTCATTTCTAGAAGAAGAAGCTAGAGTTGCTCTTGGACAACTCTTACGCATCTTTCGTGCTCTCCAAACTTCCCGCGTGCTTCATATCTCGATGAACGCACAGCTGACGTATGAACCAATTGTTTTATAACATTTTCAACCCGATGGAAAATTTTTTCTCGAGGGATATGTTTGCTGACGTCATGAGCGTGCACAATAGGAATATGAAGCACGCTCGCGCAATTGAATTTGATTAGACTTTACTAGCTATGTTATGATGTCTTTTGAGATTAATTTAGTAACGTTCTAGAAAATATGTTTACTCTGCCAGGGTCAGTTGCCCCGAAAGCTCAAACATGCCTACCGATAGGGTATTAAAGAGCGTGTACTTAGGGCTGAAAATAAGAGAGAGGGAGAGAGAGAGTCTCAGAGTGTGAAGTAAAGTTCATGATCAGACTCCTGGTACCTCCGTTTGTGCATGGTGTTCGAGCCGGTTTTTTCCCAACTGTCCAATATAATTCTAATGATGTTAGTTTGTAGAATTTGGTATCGGATCAACTTATAATCTCATAATAGATATCTTCTATATTCTCATCACTTTTTTGCTTGATATTGTATCTATATTGTAAGGAGAAATTCTGTTATGATCACTTGTGCGAGTGAAAGGGTCAATTTGGCGTTTGTGTTTGCACCAAACTGCTGTCCAGCTGGCTGAGTTTATAGAGTGCGAAACGACTGGAAGGTCGAAGGTTTGAACCTTGCAAGGGAAAACGCACAGGGGCTCAAGCTTATCAACGAAAATGTATTAGCGAAAACATCTGTAAATGGTGAGACAAGTTAAACTTTCCGGCGAGGATCAAAACCCACCTGTTAAATAAGAGAGGGCGAAGCTCCCCTAACCCCTTCCCCCTGAGAAAGAGGTTGTAAAGTCAGCTCACCTCCTGTATCGTCTTTGGAGACCTCAAAGAACCCACACACTTATTCCAAAGAGCAGTGACATTTCTCTGCATTAGGGACATCTTCAGAAAATTGCCTTCAATTCTTCGAAGTTGGAAACCAAATAAAATTGAATAATCACTAATTCATCATTGTTTTCCTTCTCACAACAGTCCCAACAGCACCTCCAGGTAACGTACGATCTTACAACACAAGTTCGAGCTCAATTTTTGTATCGTGGACACGGCCCAACAAAAGCGAAATTCATGGGGTTCTTAAAGGTTACGAGATCTCTTACACCCCAGCTGATAACGCAAATGCCACGCGGAAAGTGATGCTATGTCATCTGAATACTTCATATGAGCTGACGCGTCTACGCATATTTACTTTGTATAACATCACGGTGGCTGCTTTCACCATAAAGGGGATAGGAAATGAGAGTCAATTGCTTCAGGTCTATACCGCCGAGGAAGGTACGTTTTAACTTTTATGACGTATGAATCCAAGTGATGTCAATTATTTGTAGCGTAATTCTGTTAAAGAGGTTACAGTATGCTTAGATTAATTCAGATGCAATGACATTCAGCTAAATTCACGCAAAGTAGAACAATATACGTACGTGGAAGAAACAATGAAATAATTCTACGGGGTTTATCTTCCTCGTCTCCTGCATCTTCTTTGTACTAGTTGCCAGGGACGTTAAAGATATTACACTCTTCGCGCAAAGAGAAGGCAACTTAGCTCCCAGTGGTGAGGTCTAGCATTGTTATCATTGATACAGGCCCACATTTAAACCGGCTTTAAGTGCCCATGACACGAAATTTTTTGTGTGTTTATTTAGTTTAGCAAATGTACAAACCAATTCCGATAGAAAAGAAATTTTAAAAAAACTTAAAACTCAGTTTTGGCCCAAAAGTGTCACGTAGACCGGTGACTAGTTAGCGGGTGATGACGTAGAAAACTGTGAAAACTCTCGGTCGACACGCATAAATTACTCACATATCTTGTAATTTTGTATTAGTCAGCGGTGAAACACTTTTTAAAATGATGTTTGATAGCGATTTATACCTATCTTCAGCAAGCTCTACTCAGAGTTGTGACACTCACTTTCCAGCTTTCCTGACACTTTATTCCACGAGGATATTTTTATACGACATGTTTCATCAGGTTAACGGTCTGGCTATAATAAAGTTTTTAATGGTTACCAAGCTCTCTTTAAGTGATATAATGGTGTATTCAACACGAATTGTAAGTTGTAAGTGCTCGGCCGTAAATGCTCACTGTCTAGGGTTATCTGTCTTTGTAGCACCACAGGCACCCCCAGAAAACGTGACAGCAGTTGCTGTCAACGGCTCTAGTATAAGAGTGAGTTGGGGTCCTGTGCCAAAGGACAAACGTAATGGAATCATCACGGGGTATAGAGTTCTATTTGGATCAAGAACTCTTAAAAATGTCACCAATGGAACTAGGCAAGTTCGTGGAACCCGAAATTCTGTGGTGATCGGAGACTTGGAGATGTTTGTCACTTATTCCTTTGGAGTGCAGGCTCGTACAAAAATTGGCAGAGGGGACTTCAGTGAACCTGTAAACCAAACGACTACTCAGACAGGTAGGAAAACCATAGTTGTAGCGCTTTACCGCTGAGCTATGTCACGGTTTGTGACTGAATTTACGTGTGGGTCTTCATTTCTGTTCGTGTGAATCCTATCTATCCTTAGCCATCTTTGTTCCTTCATTGTTTATCATTATCTCTTTTGAGTTTTTCCAATATCATAAAATAATATTCTGTAGTCTTTCCAAAGTTGAAGGTACTTTTGCAAGGCGCAAAAAAAATAGGAGGTGGAATATCGAAGCATATCACGCTCGCTTAAAGGCACTCTACAGGCTCAGTAGCTTAACGATGGCTATACCAATTTCGTTTTCACGAACGAAAAAACCAGTCATCACGATTAAAAATGGTAATAGGACTGAATGCAGCCCAATGCGGTCGGTAATCATACAAGTGATTGAGAAAGTCGAACGACCCCGATGCGGGAGTCCGATCTGTTAAGCACAGGTATGATTACAGATCGAATTGAACGACACGAGATCTTGTTACCAATCAATCGAAACCATGACCGTTTTTCGGAAAGACTGATTAGACGTCGGTTTTATACATTTTCGTAAAAACAAAAACAAAAGTTAAGTCGGCGAAATGCGCGTACACGAGGCGCACCGTCCACTTACGCAGGCAAGACGCTTAACTAGCCCATTACATTGCATTGTACAAGCATGACGCGCACACTGTCCTATTAATGACAAAATCGGGCTAGTGGTAGCCAATCATGTTCGAGAATTTTGTCGTAATTTTCACTAATTAGTGATGAAATGAATGAAATAGATATGTAGGCCATCGGTTATCTAACTTCTTCGGTGGCTGCGGTTCATGACGGCCTACCGCAAACATGGTAGTCTTTCAGTTTTGCTAATGATGATTTTGTCAAATTACGTTGAGGAAAATTTTAAAATTGAACAGACCACGACAACATTTAGCTTATCATCAATCTTTACCGCAACAGCTAGAAAAACCCCAGAGAAGTGCTTGTACGTTTTTTTTGTAATTGCATAATTGATTTTATTTCGATCCTTTTGCCTTTTAGTCCCTAATGTTACCCTGCAGCTCAACGGAATGCCTAGTAACTCATCTATTAACGTGACATGGAAGGTGATTGAAAAACCCTTTGGGTTAAATACGCCTGATAAGTATGAGATAGAGTCATGCACAGTCGATGATTCATGTCAGAATCGCAGCTGCTTAACAAACATCACATCAAAAAATTGGCATGAGTTTACAAATCTTCGTGGTGGCACTACACACAAGTTCAGAGTCAGGCCAATAGAATTATCTGCAAAGGATGACACGGTGTTAAAGTATTCTGAAGGAAATTTCAGCGAACAAATCAACGTAACGACAAAAGAAGGAGGTAAGGATATTAACTGGAAAATAATTTGAATTTGATATTTATGATACTTGGACACAGTAAGAACAGAACACAGGCAAATGTAAGCAGTAGGCTACCTTCACTTTAAAACCCTTAGAAAACTAGAATCTAATTTCTTCTCAAACAATCATCCATGAATCATGAAATGTTAACTTCATGAACAAAGCGGATATGATAAGCAACATAAGAAGCTCTTGTTTCTCCAGCCAATTCTCCGAGTCATTACCACAGGAAATGTTCCGAAACAATTTGGATAATTTGAGTACAAGGAACAAAGGATGAACATAATGGCGGCGTAGATTGTGCTTTGCTGATAATTCAAATTGTAATTTTCTTGTGCATGAGCAATGTGATAACCTTTTTGCTTCGTTTCTTTCTTTTTAATTTGAACTGAGTGTTATTTCGATCAGCCAAAATTTTCGTTTATTTTGAGGCCGGTAACCTTTTGATCCCTAAAAGTGACCAGCATCTAATTTCTCCTTACAACATCACCCCTGAATCACACTTTGAGGTCATGAGAATAAAGGAAATGATCACCAACAAAGGAAGCTCTTGATTGTTAAACAACTTCTCCTCGTTAGGACCCTGAGAAATGTATGGAAAACAGTACGGAGAATATACATACTGATCTTCAGGGGTAAAGGCTTAAGAAAAAAGTTGAAGGGAGGAGCCATTCATATTTGGTCAAAATAGCCCATAACAAAATTAAAATTATTTTAGGGCGAGAATTGACCAGAAAATTGTTAAAATGTATTTTGCGTGATATCAAAGATTGAATTTCAAAATTGAGCATTTCGTTTACAGCGTCGTGATTTCACTATTGATCCGCAGTCTCTTTTCCGTTTATTTCTTTCCTCTTATCAGGATATCCCGGATCATGCCCATTACTACTTGGGTTACCATAGTAACACATAGCTACTTAAAAACACCCACAGTTTGTCAGTTGTAACTAAAAAAATGAGTTTTTTAGTTACAAAATCTCTATTATCAAATAAATGAACAGAAATAAGAGTAAGGATATTCCTGAAAATCTTCACTGTTGCTAAGGGGTTCCCATAAATCAGCCAGAGCTTAAGATGGACTTGTCTTGCACGCTTGAGATTCCAACTTTTTTCCATCAATCGTTTTTAAACATCAGGTTTTGTGCTATCAAGGCGCACGTATTAGGAAACGAACGTGTTGAAGACAGTTTCGTCTATTTACATTGCCAGGGCGGAAATTTTTTCTATGCAATCTTTTCCTGAATAAAATTAATTATTTCTTGTTGCGTATTGTTAAAATGCTGTTAAACATTTTTTTTTCACCCAGCTCCAACAGGATCACCTTTAAATGTCACTGCAATCCCTCACAGCCAAAGCAGCATCAAAATTACATGGGATGAAGTTGATCCATGCTACAGAAATGGGAAAATAACTGAATACAACTTAGAAGTGTATAACAGCAGCGGACAAGGGATACAGGCTATTGATTTCAACGATACAACTCCGCGTGTAGGGATAGTGAAAAACCTCGTGTTCGCGAATTACAGCGTTCGAGTCAGAGCCTCCACAGTTGCCGGAAATGGACCTTTCAGCCAGTCGAAGAATACGACAACACATGAACCAGGTACGACCTGATAAAAATGATAATTGAACTGAGTGGGTCATCAGGTGATTTTTTAGGGCATCGCTTGGTTGTTAAGGGGAACGGTCGAACGGAGAGAGGGGGAAGGGAAAAGGGGGTGCAGTCGTCGTCAACAGAGTATAAGGGGGGCTAAAATCAATGACAAAATATGAACTTCAACGGAGATCGTTTGTTCCTGTGCGAGAAGAGCAAGAATATTGCACAGTTCCGCGTAAATAGAATGTTCCATCTTTATTTCAACCATTACAAAAATGCCTCTATAGACCGTTTGAATATAGCTTTGGATGTAATTACATAGCTTTTAGGGGGAGTGGAGTTGGGATCAGTCGTTACCGACAGAGTAAAGGGGGAAGGACTAGAAAAAAATGACTGCCGATGAGCGGGGTGGGGAAGGGTCGTTGGAATTTATAGAACCTTACGGGGGGGAGGGGGGAAATCGGGTAAATTTCCTCGTGACACAACCAAAAACAACGTGACGTAACCTCGTCCCCCCTCCCCCCCCCCCACTCTTAGGCGATAAATTATGACTGATCGTTTATATACACATTTTACAGTGGCTATGAAGCAGTGACAAGCCACAGTATATCTTAAGTTAAACCAAGTTATGCATCTTTGTTGTGGCTGGTTCTGATTTTCGACAACGTAAAAACGTAAACAATATTTTGATCCAAGAATACAATTACAATAAAAACGATTATAGGAATAATGATAATTTGATTTTTATTGATCTCTTTCGTCTATTTTTAGCACCGAACTTTGTTCCACAAATTTTAAGAGTCACAGCCACAGGAAATACAACCATCAATGTGAAGTGGAATTGCACAGGCATCCCACCTGGCGATTTGGCAGGATACAGTGTTTGGTACAACTCTACAACCGTCACTCAACAGAAAACCGTGGACCGACAACCCTGCGAAACAAACTTAACTGGTCTCAAACCATTCACTGACTACACAATCAGCGTAGCAGCTCGTACAACACAACCCGGAAACTATAGCAAAGAGCGATCCGCTAAAACTCTCGAAGGAGGTATATAGAGAATCTACTTGTTCTGGTAAATCTTGGTTTAGACTAAACAAATCCCCAATTAGTTACCGGAGGTAACCCAGGACGGCACTGATTTTGCTTCACTACACCCTGTGATTGACACGCGCAACTCTCTCAAATAATCAAAAGAAGCGCGTTAAAACGCACGTGACCAACATTGAGTTTCCATTAGCCCCCTATCTCTCTTTTAATTGGCCTTAGTTAACTCGCACAAGTGATTAACTCCCCAAAGTATCCATACATTATTCAGTAAACAGGTAACGAGAATACTCGAATTTATCAGGTGGAAGTTATCTTGCTCTGACGCCAACTTCTCTTAACTACTTTGTAAGGAAATGTATAGCAGCTAGAGGAGAGAATTGACAATCAGATCTTGAGAGTTAAGTGGTTAAGGGCCCAGAAATGCATACCTTTGATTGACACGAAGCCAAAGTTTCGAAATACCCCCAACCTGTTTTTTTTTTTTTTTTTTTTAAGTTTTAGTGTTAACTTAACGTCAATCAAACACGTTTCGATGACTTGACTTTTTTTTTCTATTCACTCAGTGCCTGGAGAAGCGCCAGAAGTCGAAGTGGAAATCCTGGAATCTTCTTCAGTCTCCATCACTTGGGAACCAATTCCCGAAAATTCCCGCAACGGCATAATAAAGGGTTACCACATAGAGTACCACCCTGAGGACGAAAACAAAACTGCAGTTCTGAAAGAAAACCTACCAAATGAGAACTTCACTTCTCATATTCTCACATCGCTGAGAAAATTTACGACTTACATGATTAAGGTGGCCGCGTATACCAAAGCAGGAATCGGCCCGCTATTCAATAAAACATTCAAGACGAGTGATGATTGTAAGTCCGTAGATTAAATGTTGGAATGGGGAACGGTAACTCGGGACAAGGGACAGGGGACAGAGGACGAGAGGGGAGAGACAGAAAAACGGTGGAAATGTGGAGAAAGGGAAGCAGGGAACCTCGGAATTCGAATTCGAATGATGGAAAGGAAAAGATTGAGAATATGGAATAGGAAATTTGGGACATAGGGAAAACAGAACCCAACACCGAATGTAGAATAGGGAACGGGGCTTCGGGGGTTCAGTGATGGGGAATAGGGGACGAAAAACGGGAAACGAAGGACTTGTAGCATACAGTTAAAATTAGTATTTTGAACACATTGTACATATCACCATACCTAACAGTAATTTCAAATACCGTAATGATTCAATTTAGTGCTCGGGGCGCCTAATTTCTTTTGGTACCTCAAGGGAGGACGCTTATTCGAAACAAGGCGCATATTGGGACAGGGCGATTAGTTGGACAGCCCACTTATTTCTTTTTCCAGAAACAGCAGAATGTGAAACAAACCTTTGATGTTCAGTTAACTACGGACCACCTAGACTGGAAAACAGACTTGTCGTCCCTGGATCCTTTCCTTGCTAGAACCAATAGCCAAGAAACTGTCGCAATATTTTAAGACGGAATATTTCGTTTGATGGTTTGATTTCGTTGAGAGACCGAGACAAGGACCACTTTTTGTTAAAGGAGGATAGAACACGGTTGAACTCAACGTTCATGCACTCTAACAATAATAGTACTGAAACAGAATTGGGGCGTTGTCGGAATAGGGGCGCTTATTGGAATGAGGGTGCTTACTCAATAGGAGTAATTGTCAGAATAGGGGCGCTCGTTAGAATAGGCGCGCTTATTAACGAAAACAAACTCGAGGGGAGGGCCCTTATCAGAGAGGGGGCGCCTATTGGAAGGAGAGCGCTAAATCGAATCATCACGGTAAATTAACAACTAAATTGGCAAATAGCATAAAAATTAATATATAGGTGTGGCCATTTTCTGCTCGATGCTCTTGAAGGACAAAGAAAATGACGGGGATTGAGAAACGAGAAACGAGAAATAGGAAGCAAGAAACGAGAAACAAGAAACGGGGAACGAGAAACGAGAAGCGAGAAACGAAAAAAGAAAAACGAGAAACGCAAAACTGGTAATGGAGAAATGGGTAACGATGTACTTAGAAATTATTAATGCCTTAAACGTAGTTTTTATAGCATTCAGTTAAAAGGATTTCTCGTAAAAGCTTAATTGATATGAGGATTCTTTAATTTATATCCATATTTCATAAACCGGCATTCGTAAACGAATAAATAAATGATTAAGATAAACATATCTTACCATCTATCATTTTCTGGACGATGCTCATAAAGTGCTGCTCAGACAACAAGATTGAAAGAATTTCTACATCCTGACCAAATCTTTTTTCTCATTAGTTCCCAGTGCAGCTCCTATAAACCTAACTGCTATCAACTCAGTCTCCCCACACGAAATCAAAGTAACCTGGAAACCAGTCCCCGAAGAGTACATGAACGGGGACTTAGTTGATTATCAAGTGACGTATCAGCGAGTGAAGATTGGAGGTGTACCAATAGATTTTGAACCTGTTGGGTCCGTCTCTACAGGTAAAAAAAATTCGTGGACTTTAAAGAATCTCGACCCTTATTCTGAGTACAAGATTACCGTCGCTGCTAGGACGGGGAGAGGACTGGGCCCCAGAACGTCAGCTTCATATGGAGGTAAGAAATTGATTATCACTCTTCTTTTACTCATGCTCAAGCATGCAGGGTATAAAATAAAAAATAAAGATAAAATCATGATGATTTAAGCGTTGAGACATCAACTACGTAGCGCCCTTCTCTTCCACTATCTCCAGGGGCTCGTTTCTCGAAAGTCATTCGATAATAGCTGGTCTTAACCCTCTAATAATGTACATGAAAAAATTATGCACTTCTGATTGGCTGAAAAAGGGCGCATTTTCATATAACACGTTTAGAGAATATCAATACCACTCATGATAAGGGTGTTATGTATTATTATTTTCAAAACGTCACAAATAAAACTACAAGGAAACAAATCAGAAAGGACTGGTTTGTGATCACGTCCGAACACAGTTTTCGAGCCATTTGATCACTCTTTTCATTCTCAAAACGCTGAAAGCATTTTATTTATATAACACGAAACTGAAACTTAAACGATTCACCGTGAACCGTTCTTCTTTAAGTGCAATCACACTGTTACTACAAAAAGTCCACCGTTAGCGCCAACAGCCCCCCTTAATTTTCTTCCCTTTGTTCCTTTTTCCACTCAGAAACTTGTCACTGCGAACAAAATTTCACGACAAGTTGGAGGCGATACGAACCCTATGTTAATTTCACAGAAGACAATGAACCTGGTGAGATCATTCCGGTAGTTCTTCGTTCCATGGTTCGGGAATGTTGCGGAAAATGCCAGAGTTACGGAGAGGTAAAACTTGACTTCAAACGCAACGGCAGATCGAACACATCGGAGCGCCATTCTTACATGGATCTCCTACAAAATTTGGACGAAACCACTGATTTTACTTTCCCTGTTTCTGGTTACAAAGAACAAGACAGTTATAAAGGAGGCTACGGCTTTGCGCCAATCATCGAGTCCGCTGGTGTTGCTTTTATTGTTTACCCAGACACGATGCAAAACCAGAACACTATGTACCAATCAGTGCTTCTTTGTTTACCTGTTATGAGTTTGCCAATAGTTTTAGCTTACATCGCCGGTGTCATTATATGGTGTTTGGTGAGTAAAATTTAAAGCTAACTCTTCACGTTTTCTAACAGTGTTTTGTTATGGAACACTCTCTCAGAGGAAGCTGACGTGTTGCGTGACGGGACCAAATTACGGTTATCAAGGAAATCATCACTATCCGGTGCCGGGGAGGGCGTAGGGTATTGTTAAACATAGAAAAAAAATTACATTTACAGGTGTTAAAAGATTGAACCGACATTTGGGATAATCCGATAATCCGGTTCTGTGCATAGTTACCCAGTACAGCTCCGGGGCGTAAACTATTGTTTCGGTGGGTTCAAAAAAATAGTTTTTTTCACAATTTGTTTCCTCTATCTTGGATTCAGTGGTTTGGGGTAAGTACGGTTTGACCTGTAGAAAACTTCATCATGCGTCCAGAAATTAAAAATTGTAGCAAACTTTTCAATCTTTATCATAGTTATCGAGCGTACAGGTATCATTCCGTTCATTACGTAAAGTGATTTGCTTTCTGTCATACATCCATTAGGAAAGAAGACAAAATCCACAAGATTTTCCACCCTCGTTTCTTCTTGGGACCTGGGAAGGAATTTGGTGGTCGTTCGTTTCCATGACAACACTTGGGTGAGTTAAAGTCCTGGGCCCAGTTGGGCGAAGGGTGCCCAGTTGGGCAAAGCATGGAGAAACACTCTATTACGTCTCGTGTTTCTCCCTACACTTTTTCGTGCTCTAGCCGCTTCCCACTAGCTTTACAACGGAACAGAGCACAGTCAAGGCTTCTCTATTTGTTAAATAGAGGAGGAATCCAAAATGAAACTTTTTAAAATCTCGGATTGGCGCCATCATGATCCTAATTCTGAGCAACTGCACCCAGATTTGTAGGAAGGAATTTGCAAATGCTGATCATTTATATATATATATATATATATATATATATATATATATATATATATATATATATTAGAGAAATCATGCGTATATTTACTGGTTAACGCACTTAGCGAGCGAATTATCGGAATTTACTTGCACGAGTTTATTAACTAACAATGAACGAGCAATTTCATTACCGACGGGGCTTTGCCAAAAATTTTCTGTCATTTCTCTTTATAAACGAGTAAAAGTGCCATAAAATAGAAGGAGAGGTCGACTTGATGGCAAAAAATGTTATTACTAGATGCAATGATAAACTAAGAGGGAACAAAAAAGGCTAAGGGGGAGGGGAGTGGAGAATATTAATCCAATTAGCGCAGAGAATTAAATGTAATGGCAATGGTTTTCCTTGAATTCCTTAGGTATGGCGACCGCGCCCCTCTGAGCCACAAGGGACGGTCTTTTGCTATGCTTTGGACACTTACTGGACTAGTCATCATTTCCCTAACCATGGCAATGATCACCACAGCACTCACATCAATTACTCTGCAGAGTAAAATAAAACTGTACGGAAGCAAGGTAATCAGCGGCTTTCCCATTCTTGACAAACCTTTTATGTAGAACGCACCGATACATACAACTTCCTATCGTAACTGAAAAGGTTGCTGATAAAGATTCGTTCGAACATCTCATCGTTTTTTAGTATCACTTTTTCTCTGCCGTTCGCAACTCTGACGAGAGCAGGAAAGGTAGTTCGTAAAATAAAATAAGGAAATTTCAGCTGCGCGTCGAAAGCCTGAACCATTAGTCTCAACAGATTCTTAATTAGGAGACCATAGAAAACGCTGACAGGAGCCAAGTAATGGGCTCCTGCCAGTGACTAGATATTTTGCATCATTATGCTCTAAGATTGATTTTTAAAAAATCGCATCATCCTCTAATCCAACCAAAACCAATGACAACTTGGTCAACGGCATTTTCCCGCCCTTCAACCAGTCACATGGTCTAACTTTAAGTTGTCATCGGCCGTTAACATTTTCCTCTCTCCCTATTGGCCATTCTGATAATTTTGGTCTTCTTGTTACGTTACTCAATAATCAAAGTAACTGAGTGATGATTTGTTTGAGTCAGCCTTCATTTCACTGGGAGGTTGGCAGGACTTTTCTAGACCGATCACAAAGCGAAATAAAGTAAAGCAAACACAGTGCAAAACGGATACCTATTGTTATTCTATAGTTCCACTAGGATACCATCCCTATAAAAAACAAAGTTAACGAATCATGGTATTAATCTTCTTCAGGTCGCAGCTGAGTTCAATTCTCCCGAATATAACGTGGCAACGAGACGAAATGCTAAGATTGATCCAGGTACCTTATCACAAAGTTAAATAACTATACATATCGGATAAAATGTACACCGTGATATGGGATGGGTAACCGATTCATCGCAGCCCCCTCCCCCCCCCCCCCCTTCGAAAGTTTATTGGCCTTCCCTGACGGTTCGCTGATATGTATTTGCACTTCAGTGTGGAAAGAGGCACCACAATGATCCGAACAGGTCACAAACACGAACCTCTCAACCCAGAGTCCAGCGCGCCATGTGTTTAGCTACCAAGTTTTCACCAATCTTACTTACTTGGCTGTTCTTCGTAAACTTTCCAACTTACTTAATTTACGTATTAGTTTTGATCAAACGTAGGCGTTAATAAAATAATAGTTTTTTTTTTATAACAAAGCACAAGCCACCTGATCTGAGACCACAAAGAGTTACGAAGCACCATGTAGCATGAGTATTGTTTCCTTTTTCTTCAACATACGCGACTAGAGAACCGCCCTGTTCATTAAGAAATTGCATTTACCCCCCCCTCCCCCCACGACAAAGCACTCCCTTTCCGACCCCCTCACCAAATAACTAAACACCATATGTTTTTGTTTCACTTTGAAGGGAAAGAATATAAAGGTGTCGATGACATGACGGAGGCACTTTTGAACAGAGAAGTCGAAGGGATTCTGGTGGATACTTATTCTGCGGGCTTGCGAAGCGATCTCTTCAATCGCCCCGGGCTACAAGTCAATGAGATCCTTGACTACAAGACCGCATATGGCGTGGTACTCAGTCCTAAAGTGACCCAACTTGGCAAGTGTTTCGAGCGCTACTTAACCTCTCACAGAGCGGAGATTTTCGAGATGATCAAAAGAAAAGCGAAGCCGATTGAGGTGAGCAAGAGATAGTCGCATAAGAATCGAAGCAAAGCTCTTTGAGTTGCGGTTCATCCCTTTTTACTTGATAAACTAAATTATCCCTTCAACCCCTTGGAGTGATTAGTTACTATTTTCTCCAATCAGTAACACCCCTAAAACAAAGATTGTCATGAGAATAAAGGAAATGATCACCCACTAAAGAAGCTCTTGATTGTTAAACAAATTCTCTTTGTCAGTAACATAGGAAATATGTAGAGAACAGTATGGAGTAAATGTATACTGACGTTAGGGTGTAAAGGGTTATGGACGCAGTTTGACTGGTTCTTGCTTATGACGCCACCATTAACAATGTTTTAAAACAATTGGATTCCATGGTACCATAGGTCTGTTCCGTTGTTGATCAGAGAAAACGTCAAGATGTGATAACGACATCATTGACACTCAGCTGCGCCTCGTGTGAAACTTTTTTTTCCCGCTTTTTAACGTCATCTGTGATGCAACACTGAACAAACACCCGGCAACATTGAGTCTGTTAGTTTAACTCCTTACACCCTAATATAAGTACAGGTATCCTCCATACTGTTCCCCGTACATTTCTTATGGTGCTGACAAGGAGAATTTGTGTAACAATCAACAGCTTCTTTTGGTGCTGATAATTTTCTTTGTTCTCATAACCTTACTGCATGATTCAGGGGTGATCTTGTAAGGAGAAATTAGATGCTAGTCAGCCTTGGGGGTTAAAGGGTTAATTGTTGTAGTTTGATATAAGGTAAGGGTGGGAAATTCCAGGAGAATCATTTTATGGTAAACATACTTAGCGTAATACATCCGAAGGTAAATAAAATATTGAAAAGCGTAGAATAGTCCCTAAAAGGCGATATTTCAACCGAGATAGGGAAATCACTCATAGGAACTGCCCCTTGTCGCGTGTGGTATAGCCACACCTTTCATTTCACCCAACGTTTTACTAGAATTTATGTTTGTTCCGAACCGACTCAACAGTAATAATAACAACGATGACAACGATAACGATGACGATGTCTTTTTCAATGTTTTTTTTTAGCACGAAATACTTCATTCCCCTTCAGGCCAATTTTAAAAGATTATTTTTGATAGTTTCGCAACCTTTTTTTTCTTTTTCTTTTTTTGCAAACTGGAGGTTTCTTTCAAGCGTACTATGTATTGAGAAAACACCCTATCCCTTCATACAGTGGAAGGAAGAGCAACTTATCATAGTGCAAGCTTAATCCAGGTTCCATTATAAACATGTTTTCATTATGTTTTACTCCAGACTTCTGGCGCCAAGGAAACGTCCGAAGAAGAGGCATCAGGCGGTCTACTGGACAGTGGTTCTCCCACCTTCCTAAAGGCATTGAAGTACGCATGCGTGTCGTTAGGAATTGCCCTTGTCCTGTCGCTCATATACGAGTGCATTCGTTGTATAAGAGCAAGGCAAAAAGTTCACCAAAAAGGTAAGGATAACGATATCTTCTTCTGCCCTTAAAGCAACTTTTAATTTTAAACTTTAATTTTCAATATTTTTCGGAACACCAAAAGGGATTTCGCTTTGCATGTGGCAAAGTAAACTGAAGAAAGTCGTCCTCGTTTACCACAAAACAAACAAACAAATGTAACGGACTGGTCATTATTTATCTCTGGGAGAGTCAGAGGATTTTATATGTGTTGCGATAAAATTTACCTGATATATGGCTCTCTTATAATCTTATGACCCCCCTTCCCCATTCCCTCATGGACGGTTAGGTGGCAGTCTATTTTCTATACTCATTCCCTCTGAAGACCATGTGACCCTGTCCGAAAATCTCTGTCTCACCCCTCCCCCCCTCCCCGCTCCATGCGATAAAAAAAAGTATTGGTCCCTGTACCGAAAAGAATGAAAAATAGGCTCATCTGAAGCAACAAAACTAGCAATTAAAATCACTACTTTTTCTTCGAAGAGAGCCATAAGGCAAAGCTTCAAGAAGAAATGCAGACCCTAGTGGAAGAGTTTAACCAGCGCGTGCTGGAAGTTAAGATGAAATTGAGGGAGAAGCACATCAGACAAATCATCAAATATTGGAAACTGCAGAAAAAATCGATGTGCTCGGCTGGGATGGAACATGAATGGCTAAGGATTTCCACTGCGTCTCCACACAATGGTGAACTCACTATATCTGAGATATAATCATCTGAGCTTTTTTAGATACGACAGAGCTAGTGTGACCCCTATAGCTTCCCATTCAAGAGAGTAACAACACGATGTTTTACGTAACTATTTTCTGACGTGCAAAGCTAGCTTCAACTTGAAAGTGGAAAATATTTGTTGGGCAAGTTAGAGCAAACACGGCTAAGGATGGAGAAAATTGCCACGGATTGCAAATATTCAAATCGAGTAATCATTAAGGACATTCCCTTGTTTCGTATCACGCGTCGTTACAAAAAAATTGCATGTGCAAGAAATGGCGGGTTTCTGTTCGAGGCCATGGTTTTCATTTCTTTGTGTGGGTGTGTTTGTGTGTGTACGACTGTGATGCTTCCATTTTTCACTGTAAATTGATAATCCTTCCTAAAAAAAAAAAAAGAAAAAAATTGCTCTATGAATGGTTGCGAGAAATCAAACCATTCTCTCCACCAACAAAACCAACTGTTTGACCACTAACGTTTTCCACATCGAGTTCTCACTGGCTTTTCAAAATATTAACCTTTCTTCTGGACAGCTTCAATGACGACTTTGATTTCTTATTTATGATGCTTCATTGAAATTAAAGCACTCTGACAACCAATGGGCAGAAGCGACTAACACATCCTGCGTGTGATGCGCTGTTTATCTTGATCAAACACTAAACCCAGTTTGATTCACATTCAAATCCCTTTGAGATAAGCAACCGTACGAGTTTGGTAAAAATTTCGCTGAAAGATTTACTTCAGATTAATGATATTTTCCGTGCAACTTTTGTCAAGGCTGTTGCTCTCATTTTACTTACGTAAATCAGATAATTCTCCTACGTTTGTTAAGCATTCATCGCGATTGACTCGCGAGCAATGTAAAAAAAGTATATATATATGATTATCTTCCAAGAGGAGATTTGAACGACATTTTCCACTGAAAAACCTTAAAATGGTCTTGAATGATGAAAGATGACTCACTTTAGGTAATTATTTTTAAATTAGCAAGAATCTGCTCAAATACCACATACCTCCCTTTTCCACATTCATTATTGTAGACAGTAGCTTACAGTCATTAATTAATCAATACGTGTGTCGTTAAAACAATAGAGAGTGATTACTAAGGTTTATGTACATTTAAAAGGTTTAGTTGAGTTGGTAAGGAATAAGCTTTGTACAACATCAAGACACATAGATAAACCTTTGTAAAAAATGTACGTGCAGTGTGACGTTAAAACAATACAGAGTGATTTCTAAGGTTTTTGTACATAAATAGGGTTTAGTTCAGTTGGTAGGAATAAGCTTTGTACAACAGCAAAACACATAGATGACACTTTCTAAAAAATGTACGTGCAGTTACTTGGAAAACAAACGTAGGATAAAGCCAAGTTAAAGTAGGGTAAAATAAAGTTATTTTGTGCTCAGCAAAAAGTGATTACTTTGTTTTCGCTGTTATCTGAGTATAGTTTACCAGAGACACGCCAATCAGTATTTCACGTTTTTTATTTCCCAGCGGGTGGGGGAGGGGGGTGGCATGGGGTGGTGGAAGGAGGAAGCAGGAGGAGGAGAAACTAGCCTCAATATTTCCTAAATGAGGGGTGAACACGTAGAAAAAATAAAGCGAGGGTTTATTTCCACTGTTAACGAAGGGATAACACACGAACTGGACAGAATTTAGCTTCCAAAAGTTTCCTTCTTAGGGCATCGTAAGGATGCAACACAAAAACGAACAACTATAATAATAGTAATTGCCAAACAAAACAAAAAAAGGTAAGAATGACAAAATAAACAGCAGATACTTTCTTTTGTTTATCCCGGTGCTATGTAGCAATATTTCGGTTCTTCTTTATTAAGTGTCAATAAATAATTAAATTCAAACAAAAGAAACCTAGAAATGATAGTCTACTACAAACACTACAGTCGTGGAAAATAAAATTTAAAAAAAAAACAACAGGCATAGTCAAACATTTGGGTTCAATCTTTCTGCAGTCTACTTCGCAGCAAATGTTAAGTGTCGTCACGCAACGCCCGTTACGTGGCAAGACCAACCAACGCCTACGCCTGCGAAAGAGACTGAACAAACTTGGACCTGAGCCCTTCGAGGAAAAGCGCTCACTTAAACTATTTAGACGTGAAAAAAGACTGAATTGTAATGCGTTGCTTTTTCTTCGGAGGCTCGTTTGTCGAGCTACCTAAATTTGAAGTCAAGGAAGAGTTGCTTTCTCCATTTTGCAACTCTAACGCAAAATGATAGTCTAAATGTTCCGGCATGATGCATTCTGGAAACGTTTCCCCACATTTCTCGCATTTGCACAAATCTGTTTTGTCCCAGTCTACTCGGTTACAAAGATTCGCGCGGGTCCCACCAGTGGCGGACCCACCAGCAATCGCGACATTCTTTGATGTTTTTCTTCCTTGTACTTCATTGGTGGACACCCTTGAATCAGAGAATGAAGGATTTCCTCTCCTCTTTTCATCTTGCTGATTGTTTTTAAACAGTGACCGTTCAATCTCTTGCCGAATTTCTTGTGGTAAAGATTCTAACACCGAAGAATCGATCTGGCAACCTAGGTAGGGATTGCAAGATCGTCTCTCACTATTTTGCTGCTTTTCTTCACATATATTCTTTCCTGATAAAAACACCTCTATGCCTTTCTTTTTTGGTAGGGTACTACCACTAAGCTTTGATTCATCCACTTTATTCTCATTATCTTTGCATTCTTTATTATCATATCTCCGAACTCCGTCACACGAATTTTCCCCGCGCTGGCTCTGGCTAACCACACTGCCAGAAACAGAAGTTCCATCGCATCCCTTGTTTCCATCTAAACTCACGCCAGATAAATACTCGTCCTCCACGTTTTCAGAGATGACGTTGTCCGCTGAATTTTCCGCTTCTTCCAACTTGTTTTTCTTACTGAAAAATGAGCTTATTGACGGCGTACTGTTATGATCACTTATTTCTTCAAATTTGCTGGCTGACACGTGTAAGGTGACAATAGCTGGATACCTAAAGAGTTTAAGATACTTCCATCAAGCCAAACATCTTGTGTGGAAACTTTGATTTTGATTGCTTGTTTCGAGCAAGTTTAAATTGAATATCGAACGTTATGCGACATTGCATCGATTTTGCTTTACTTCGATCTGTGATTGGTCTAGAAAACTCGTGCCACTCTCTCAACCAATCACCTATCACGCCTGCATTTTCCCGCGCTTTTTCGAGTTCTCATTGGCTCTTAAAAGTAAAATGTCACGATAAAATTGACGTGATCCCCACCCCACTCCATTAGCGGTAAATTTTCGATAATTCCACTTTATACTCTCTTGGCGACAACTGATTCCCCCGCTCCGTTCCCCCTGAAAACCATCTGATCCTTACCCACCCCTCCCCCTGATAACTATTGACAGTTCGCAAAATGTTTAAGAAATAAATAAACATCATGATTTAATTTTTTACTTACCATGCATCAGTTTTGTTTTTCTTTAAAGAGTTGAATGGCAACAGCACATTATAAAGGTCCTTTGCAATTTGATCGGCAGTTGAATTTTTCATGTGGCAAGAACGAGTAGCAGAGGAGTTATTTTCAGTCTTGAAGCCGACACCCAATAACTTGGCCTCCCGATTATTCTGTTGGGAAAATAATGAATGAAATTTAAAGCGTGAGCAAGATGATAGGAGACTTAACTAAAAATTTTAAGTTTGCAACTCTTCTGCTCTGAATATTCTCAGCAATTTTCAATAACTCGCAAGAGAAAGAGGATTGCTTTGATTTTGCTTCGCACTGCTCCGAGATTTGTCCGAAAAATTCGCTCCACTCTCGAGAACCAGTAAATTGCAACGATAAAACCAACCGCTCCATGTAAACCATGACTAAAGATAACACGACGACCAATCCGAACAAAGGCAATATCACCACGAGCCAAAGCGAACACAAAGCCAACTGCTTGAGGCACGTAAATCGCAGGAGATCAAACCGTGATTGGTTTTTCAATTTTGAATCGCACTGTTTGTAAGTTTTTAAACAAATTAAAGAGCAAAGCAAAACAAAGTCAATGTAAACGCGGATGACGATCAACAATCAACTGAAATTGTTTAAAACAACTTTGTTTATTTAACTAATGTTGGTTCCGACGATATGAAGAATAATATTTTTTATTTACCAATTCTGATTCTTTTGTGAGACGCTCGTGAAGTTCACCAGCCAGCTGATCCAACCAGTATTTTACCTAAAACGAAAGAAAAATCAGATGAAACCTCTAACATATCTCATGTTTAAGGCCTGGTCACCCACAGTCACTTTTCAGCTGGTCACCAATTCGCACCCTGCAAGCTACTCAGATTGTTGAAATTTATAAATTTATCATTACTAATGAATCACTGGTTTTCAAAAACGTTTTCTTAGAATTAATAAATTACCTTTTCTCCTGTTGCAAGCTTCCCCTTTCCGGGGAAATTCTTGCCGCATTCGATAGACTTCGGCAGCTGTCGAGGCCTAACAGGTTCATGATCTATTCCACGACTTATTTCAGACAGCCACTCCCTAGCAATAAAAAAAAAATGAAGGGGTTTTCTTCAATAACGCAAATAACAAATGAGAAAGCAGAGAGGAAAGAAAAGTCTTAAATTTTGACGACAAGCTTGTTTAATACCGTGGTATTAAGAGTGCCTATTTGAAGGATAAATTTTTGTTCTAAACACAATTCCTCCATTCGCTCTAACGAAGGGCAAACGCTCGAAACGTCAGCTTCGAAACTCTTTGCGGTGGCCAATTTACGTTACCAACTCAGTTGTTATACTCTCCCACCGACACAGCACCACAGTTTCTGTAGAAACTTACCCTCTTTGTAACAGAAAGAGGGTCATTTGTTTTCGTTTTTTTACATGTACATGTATTAGGCAAAAATATTTACCCTGTCTTATCTCCAAAACGACCTTGTAACTCACTAAGGGAGTAGTTGGCCAAATCACTCATCTTTTCTGCATGTAAATTTGAGCGCACTTCCAAGCCAAGTTTGCCTCCCATATTACGGCTACAAATGCACCAAATAAATTCAATTAATCACTATCATAATTGATAAAAAATTTATGACTGTTTCACAACATAGTGACTAAATTGACACTTCAAAAGGTCTTCTACATCAGGTGGCAATACATAAAGACACAAAACAAAATTCCTAGTTTGAAAACATTGATTGCTGTGTTAACTACTAATGCAACAAAATGGAATTCTTCATTAAGAACAGAGAACTCCTTGAAAATGCTTCTCACAAATAGAAGGAATCTCCCTCAGAATTACATTATGTATTGTCATCTTTGAAAAAACTCAATGGCAATATATAAAAACAGTCTTTATCACCTAGGAGTGACTACCATATTTAAAATTTCAACTTAAAATCCTCCAAGGCAAGTCCCTATGCTCAACAAAATGCTAAGGATTTTAAATGAATGAGGAAGGCTGTCAATAAATTTTGAAGAAGCTGTTACATTGGAGATTTCACCCACAGCAGTCTAAACCTTGCCCAAATGTAACAGACTGCAATCAACATTGTGATTCTTAACATCAAATGAGCCCAGCCATAACAGGTATAACAGGCTACAGCACTTATTGAGAGCCTTGGCCTGGGTTGTTCAAAGCTGGGTTAAGATAAACCAAGGTTAGTGTGAAATTTGATTGCAGTTCTGAAGGCTTTAAAAGAAAATTCAGTTCAAATATTTTTGCTTGCAACTTGATCATTGAATGGCCTAGAAAGGAATGGGGAAACTTTAACCTAAAAGACTTTTGAACAAAAAAATAAAGAGACCTGGGCCCAGTTGTTCGAAGGCCGATTAGCGCTAACCCAGGGTTAAATTTTAATCTGCGTTTCTTTATTCCTTTACTCAAAAGCCTTTTTGAGAAAATTTTCAGTGTCCTTTTTAAAGCATCAAGTAGTCATACTCTAAACAAAAAGAATTCGACTGAATTTTCTTGTAAAGCTTTTAGATCTGAAATCGGATTTCACACTAACCCTGGGTTATCTTAACCCAGCTTTGAACAACCCGGCCCTGGATTAAAATTTAACACTGGGTTAGCCCTGATCGGCCTTCAAACGACTGGGCGCTGAAGAGTTGTATAGAGAAAAGTCTGAAGTGACTTAATGGCTACATTCTGCTTCTGAATTGTCATTTCATCCCTTATGCCAGACACAGAAGAAGAAATAAAAAGTTCTAACCAAATTAACCTATGTATTATTTCAAGCACCGCCTGCTACAACTCAGATACACCAGAGGTTGTTGGCTGAGTGGTCTGCAGCAAGCAAGAAAAGGGAATTTATGTGAGGGGCTGATACAAGGGTGCAGTGTGAGTTTTAAGATCTGGGGGAGTTACCATTCACATCCTAGTGTTAGCAAAAAGTACCCACCTCCCATTTACAACTACAAAGGATAGGAATGCTTCTCCCTGAATTTGTTACACTACATGTACATGTAAATTAACTCAAATAACAATGACTAAATTCACATCTAGCATATGTAAGCATTTCAATTCTTACACTTTTTTTATGGGAACTGTTTCATACAACTTTGGCACTGCACTCTGGGGTAGAAGAGTCTGTTTATCTGGTTTGTGACGTCCACCACATAACTTTGCCAGCATCTGATAATGAAAAAAACAACATTGATTGTTGATAGCAGTTGATGATAAATAACAATCCACGGGTCAACAAAAGAAGCAAATCAATTTTCTGAGAGTCATAAAGAATCTATTTCCCCCTCACAGTATCACCTCTGAATCAAATAGCGAGGTTAAGAGGTTAAATGATTTTCCACTCATGAACTGCTGATTGTTTGGCTAATTCTCCTTTTCAGAACCATCAGAAAAGTACAGAGAACAGTATGGAGAATATGCATGCTGATGCTAGGGTGAAAAGGGTTAAGAAAAAAAGAAGCAAGGAAAACTGTAAAGAAACAGTAGAATATCCTCCATGTCTTAAAAAAATATATATCCCAGACAATCAAAATATGGCCAAAATATTCTGTGTAGATGCTATAAATAGAATTCTCCAATATCTCTATGCTTTTAGGATACCCTTTCACTACCAGATCTCATTAGTAATTCTCCGCACTGTCTGCCAGGTAATCAATTCTTGTGATGTTTGTTCTGAGAGAATTTGGTATCTGGTCAATAAATAATTCCCTAATTGACATTTTGTTTTATTCTCATTAATACTCTGGTTGATATAGTATTGATATTGTAAGGGGAAATTATGTCTTGGTCACTTGTGAAAGGGTTGAAGCAAAGGGTTGTGTGTTCTGAATTCAGAAATAAAATTGGAAAATCTATTTTAGGTTGGAACCTAGCAGAGAATAGCTCATTTTTGAGAGGTAAATTCAATTTCTCTGTTTGTTTTATATTGTTTTGTTCAGCAATTCTTGATATCCTACAGAAGAAGGGATCATGTAACCAAAAAAATATTTGTTCATAGAAGCCTCTAACCTTATTATGAGCAATTCCTGCTGAGCATGTGAATTGTGTCTCTTTTAGCACAGCTTTCCTCATTTCTGATACAATAATTGCACCAACTGCCAGCCTCCTAATGTTCCCATCATTTTGGAGAGAAGCTCTCCAAGCATCAGTATCTACATGTTTACCTTCCTGTTCATCTGCCATGAAACCTTCCAGAAATGTTGTTTCTGCAGACTTTTTTGCAATTTCATCTAGGCCCATTGTGCGCATTCTCCTGTAAATCAATATGTGCATGCATTTATCACAGAGTGGAACACTGGATATTATGATTCAAGAGATTTGATTGGATCAGCCGCTGGGATGGCCTTTTTATGTTCACACACAAGACTTACATGTTGACGTTTTCAGTCAAGTCTAGGTATGCTTCATCCACACTTGCCCTCTCACAATTGTCACAGAAGCGAGACAGCACTGCTATCACTTCTGCCCCTGCCTCACGATAATGCGTCAAGTTGGCTTTCCCACGTGCCTCTGGGACGCGCACCAAATTTATCTCAGGACACTTCTCTTTGGCCTCGTCTCCTCGCATGCTTCTTGTCACTCCACAATGACGTGCCTCATAGCTAACAGCTATAATCCTGTTATAGACATATAGTCATGAAGTTAGTAAGTGTCAGAGCTATTTAAGAAATAGATTCCATGTGGCTGTGCCTCTGTTCAGTAATAGATCACAGATAACATCAAAATGCAGTAAGAAACAAAAAGTGTGACTCATGAAGTGCAGCTGATTGTGTCACTGACATTCTAATCACATTTTTCCATCTTCTGCAATCTATTATCATACAGAACCATTGAAACATGGAATCTATTTGTTTTAAAAAATAAAAATGCTGTTTATTTTGTTAATGGTGCTGTTGTTTATGCATCTGTGCTATAATAGATCATAAGAGAGGACTAATCAAAATGAATTTATTATTCAGCTTATCATATAGCAATATTGTTAAATAAAAGATCAATTTCTATTGCCCTTCATGAAATATTTTAATGTTGATAGTACACTGATGACTTTGGATATGGTGCGCTGTATAATCCTCAATTAAGTTTTTAATTATTCGGTTCCTGTTCTATCTGGTATTGTGTAGTTAAAATTACAGGAACTGAGTACAAGCACCCTTGAAAGCATAGTCCTTGACACAGATAGGTAGAATGATGGAAAGAAACTCCATCAATAGAGCACTACCTTACAGTCTGGGAAAGAACCCATACTTCCTCCAGGACAAAAAAAGCTGGAGACAATAATCAGAGAGAAAAACGAAAAAAATGGTTGATCACACTTAGACAAATTTAACACTAATCGTACACATAATGACAATTCACAAATTTTTAAAAAAAGGAAAAAAAACAATAAACCATATAATTATGATGAGTTGTCACAGTGTCTCTTTTTTATAAATGCATTACTTAGCCCTTTACACCCTAACATCAGTAAAAATTTTCTCCACACTGTTCTCTATACATTCCTATAGTACTGACAAGGAGAATTTGTATAACAATCAGGAGCTTCTTTACTTGGTGATCATTCCCTCTATTCCCATAACCTCAATGTTTGTTTTAGGGATGATACTGATGGGAGAAATTAGTTGCTAATCACTCTTAGAGGTTAAAGGGTTAAGCAAAATCATGAGCTAAAGGTGAGTGATGTTCAAACTTTTCTCCTGCTCTCCCAAGTGGGTTGTTACCATGATAGTATTAACTAATAGAAAGTGCCATTTATTTCTTTAATAAAACTCCATAAACTTCAATTTTCCTTTGGATTACCGGTGCTTTAACCCTTAACTACCATAAGTGACCAAGAATTTCTCCTTAAAATATCAATACAATATCAAGTAGACAAGTGATGAGATTAGAGAAAAATATCAATTAGGGGATTGCAAGTTGATCCAATACCAATTTCTTCAAACTAACATCACAAGACCTGTATTGGCAGACAGTAAGGAGAATCACTAATGAGATCTTGGGAGTTAAAGGGTTATACAATATGTTTTTGACCAATCAGGTCACTTGTAGTATCTCAGTTATTGCATAAAAACTGTAATAACTTGATGTGTGCAATTCAGTTGTTAGTGCCAAAACTACACTACACTACACAAAAGCTGATCAATGAACTCATCAAAGGATAAGTTGTATTGAAGTGAATTAGCCAAGCAGCCATACTGTCCAACAATCGCCCTTTTTTTGGCTAAATTGGATCAATACAACGCCACTTTAGGGTCGACGAACAGAATACAGACTCCGTCTTAACGTGGTCAAAAGGAGCGCTGTCTAAGTTCTAATATAAAAGGCTAATCCTTAAAAAACAAACACACAAAAAAAGACACAACAAATGGTAGCGAAATACCTCAATCAGTACTACATTGTGTATTGATACTGTTATATTGTTAAGGCTAATGGAAAAAATGTCAAAGCTATCATATCATATTATGTAATTCGATCGAGAAACTTCTAGGCAAATTTCTTATCTATCGAAAAAATTAATACGCAACGCCGCCCAGATGTATCAATGTATTGATGCAAAAAGGCTCCCAGATTTCACGGTTAAATACTACGCGAGGAATACTTAATCAAAAGAAATCTTTAATTGAGAAAATTTAAAATTCGCTTACCCTCCACCTTTCCACGTTTTATACTGAACCACAGCGCAAGGTTTGCCTCGCAATTCTGGATTTCGTCTTTGTTCGACTTGAACATAGAAGCAGTCCATATCCACCAGAGCTACAACACGATCTAAAGCCATCTGGCGCGTTAGTTCGCCGACAAAGACACCGCTTTGATGTTTTCTACAGACTCGCTTCCAACGTCGCGTCAACACATTTCGTGGCCATTTTGAATAGTTCCCGCGAAGTAGTCGTGGGTTTCATACTAACTAGGGAGGGGTAGAGGATATTGAAAAAATAAATACTTCTCTGTGATTATAATAACGAGAATTTTTTAGGGAACAATTTTACCAGAATTATTTTACAAAGTCAATTTTTAAATTAATTTAGGACAAAAGTTATAATGTTTAAATAACACAGAAGATGAAAATATGTCCGGTGAGAAAAGGGTCTTGAAAAAAAGTATCACGTCCCTACCCCTAATGGTTACGTTCTCTAACTTTTACAAAGTCAATTTTTAAATTAATTTAGGACAAAAGTTATAATGTTTAAATAACACAGAAGATGAAAATATGTCCGGTGAGAAAAGGGTCTTGAAAAAAAGTATCACGTCCCTACCCCTAATGGTTACGTTCTCTAACTTTGTGGTCGCGATGCACTATGGATTGTAAACAAAATGGCCGGAGCGGAAAGAAGGGTGAGTTAAATTTCAAGTGCAATATTTGTCGCTCTTTTTTGTTGTAATTGAAAGTTCCTTTGCAACTTCTGTTCACATTATTATCACATCGATGAGTGGCTCTTTACAATCACAGAGGATTTTAGGTTACACCGTTCTTTAATAGAAAACCGCCACCGGAAATTTGATCACGGAAGAATATTGGACGATATTTTATGCTCTTTGTTTTTGATATGCCTGAATGAATTTGGTCCAACTCAAATGGCGCTATTCCGTGAAAACACGGCACTAAAATTTTTCGATAGAAAGCCAAGATGATCGACGTGAAATGCAAATGATCGATTTCCCAAGAGGATTGATGGAGTGTTCTAAAGAGTTGTTGCGAAATACAACAAACTCCTATTTAATATTAGGAAAGTTTTCGCATCTATCCGCGAATTCCCGCGTTGCATAGACGACTTTGATATTATGGGCGCCTTTCTAGAGACTTGATTAAAATGAGTAATTCTTTCGTTAAAATATAACTTTCACTTGGAATCATGTTGCGATTTTGAAAGAAGTTATAATTGATTTAATCGATCCGCTTTTTGAATCAAGCAACATCACGAATGTAACCTATATCACAGCTTTGATTACAGCTGATCAGATGCAGTGACTAATATCCTAAAAAATTATTTATATACATACAGTTTCTCTGTATTTATCACCATTTATCGTGCCCCAGCTAAAGCCAATATCTGAATATTTTTGGCATTTATAACAAGTTACTTGTTAGATTATCTGTCACCAGACAACTCAGAAGTTATGTTGTGTATTAAGACCAATCGTAAAGGTACTAATGAAAGTTTACGCAGCAGTAAAAGTGCCGTTAAAGCGCCCATGAAGGTAATGTTTAATCAAATTTAAAGATACTTTTGCATTTTCCATATTTCAAGAAGTTTCTTTTGAGTCCACTTGCAAAATTCTTTGCTTTGGGTCAGTTTTCATTGTTTTTCAAGTCCTTTCTTTTCTTAATGAAAGAATATATCACAGGTGTTAATTCGAAACAGCAGGTTCATGTCTTTTAAAGTATAAATTTTTTATGATGTTCATTGTAGCATTTTGATGACAGTTATGTGAGGCTAGTATCCTAAGAAAAATGTCAGTTGTCGACGTTGTTTGCCTAGAAATGGCATGGCCAACATTTAAAGTTGCACTCTGTAATTAAATTAAATGTATTCCTCTACAGTTCCTGACAGTTATGCTAATTTGCTGTATCCTTTCTGTTGTTTTTGGCATGTTTCTTCACAGCAGGCTTTTCTCTGCTCTTAATTTGTTATGTTAAGCAATTCTTAAGCTTGACAATGGTAGAATTGACTATTTTTTGCACTGAAACCAGCCCTTGAAATATATGACTAGAGAACAAACACTTTTTCTTGTAATTGTACATACTACAACATTCACCACAATACTTGAAAATTTGTTCTTGTGATTACCCTCTTCCTGACACAATTTAGAGATTTGCATTCCTTGCATGCCAAGTATTTATCAAGCTGTTTTTTGCTGTCTAGCTGAGACTCAAGGTTTATCTGGATGAAAGGCAGAAAGTGGCAGAAATATTTGTTACACAAGTGACAAAATGCAAAGATATAGTGCAAAGGTTACAACGACAGATCCAGGAGACTGATTGCTATCTAATAGAAGTGTGGCAAGGATGTGGTAGGTTTGGTGTTATTGATGCATATCTTTATAAACCTAAAATCAACTCCACCAAGCTAGTAACAGTTTTTGGAAGTATTTTTCATAGAGAATTGAACTGGCGGTACTTTTGCAACATTACTCTCTTTCATGCACCATTTGCAGCAATATCACTCTGCTTTTTTTACAAAATGCGATGTGGCTCTCTGCCAATTTGTGTACCTCTTCATGAATACATAATCACTGGTTAGATTTGTATATTTATGAATAATTTTCTATTTTTGTACTTATGTCTCCAGTAGATTGTTTTTTATAACGAAATTGTATCTTCATTTTATAACTACTAGCTATCAATCCATGAATTTCAACCAGTTGATGACGCTCAATATTTTTAATACCTGTTGCCAAATCGAAAATGATTAAATTAAGATACAGGAATGTGCTTAGAATTGGATTGACACATTGGATAAACAATAGGAAAAGCATTTATTTGTAAATTTAGAAATATTGTAATATTTTAGCACATTACCCTGTTTTAAATAAATACAGCCTCTCCTTCAGCTAATATTCAATTTTTCAAATTAAGGAAAAGTTGCAGGTAAAATTTGTGATCAATAACAATTTTTTTTAACCTATCTATTTTTATGCTGCTGTAAAAAGGCTATAATACCTTGAAGTTTAATTTGTGTTTTGTAGACAGGATGTAAGCTACTTTTTGTTTCTTCCTCAGAACGTCTTGTACCTGATAGTGAGTCAATCTTCAGTACTTTACTTGAATGGGGAAGCGATCTGGAAGATGTGAAGTTTTACCTGCGACCAAGGGAGGAGATACCATCTTACTCACAAGCTGTTAATGGTAAGATATGTAATTTATTACCCTGGGTATCTTTCACCTGGAGTTCCTGCAGATCAGTTACATATTTGTGACCCTCTTTTGTCATTGTGGGAATAAAACTTGATACTTTGCATATTGCTTTTTAAATTTTACTTCATGAAATGCTTTGAGTGCTTTAGGTTCTTTTTTTTTGTTGTTGTTTTGTTTTGTTTTCATCTTTTCATAATCTAAGCCGGACATTCCATGAAATGTTTTATTTCTGAATGCTTTCCTGACTCAAAAAAAACTCAATTCCAGAAACACTATCTCATGAATAAACTTCTGATATTGAAGTAAATGCACCCTCTCAATTTTAATATATGAAAGCATGTGATCCAGACTTAATATTTTTGAAAAAATATATTTTTTAAGCCCAGTTTTCCCTGTTATTGTTAAATAAAAAAATTTGAAAATATACATGAAATATACGTGCCTTTTGTTTTCCCATCTAAAGCAGACACTTTTAAATGAGAAAAGAAAAGGTGTATATGCTTCAGGTATTTTTTTTTTCAAATTGCAATGTTTTTTAAAATGGATGTCTACATATATATTAGTTAGATATAGCTCTTTGGCATTACAAAGCTTTGCTTTCATGTCCAAATTGAGTGCTCTACTTAGGAGGAGTCATGTCTCACAATTGTGCATCCTCACTAGTTTATCTAGTTCAAGTCCTCTGGCATGGCTTGGAAGATACCACAAATGTGGGATCATTCGGGGTAACTTAATGCTTACATCTCCTTCCTAGCATCAGCACTGCACTGAATGCCAAAACAGTACTGTCTGCAGTTATATATATTAGTCTTTTGAGAAGTGTTTTGGAAAAGTGGCACATGAGGTGCAGCAGAGTGCGTCACTGATATTCCCATAACATTTTATGTCTGCTGTGATCTATTACTGGCAGTAACTGTACAGACCCAATTTGGCAACATGGAACCCATTTGTTTCATATAATAAAAATTAAAGTAAAATGCTCATAAAGGTGACCTTAACTATGCATCTGTCCACCAAAAGGTCATTAAAATAAGAACCAATCCTTGTGTGTAGATTCAACTTCTCGACATATAATTCTACATCTGTACGGCCATTCAAAGTATGTTTAAAGTCATAAGCTTTGTCTTACTTTCTCAAATTTAGGATCAACAAGTCAAAGGGTTAATGGTTTTAAAGAGGAAACACCACTTTCACGAGATGTGGTAAGAAAGACATCCCCATGAAAAAAAAGATTGATGGAACAATAATAGTAATTGTTAATTTGACCCTTAGGGTCAGGTATTCGAGCAAAGTTTAGCAGTTGTTTAACAAAACCGTGTTCTAAGCCATCTTCAATTCAGCCCAACCTTAAACTGAACTTTTACTGTTGTGAGCAGTGCCAAGAGGTCCATAAGCTTATATAGGAAATTTATTTAATGAAATCAACTCTCACATAGAGAATCCCTAAGGCCCACTTCTTGCATAAGACCATAATTTGAGTAAGACCTCATGTAAATACTGAAACCAGGCCCTAGGCTTCCTGTAAATAATACACTTATAAGTTCTAATGTTCTGCAAAAAAATATTTCCATGCCTCTATCAGTCTTGTAATCAAACCAAGAGTCTTTAAGAGAAAATATTGTTGCCTTCTGAAGTAATACTGTCCAACTTATTTACTCATTTTGTAAATTCATTTTGTCTCAATCAAATTTTATCCTACAAAAAACTTTAAATTGTTTGACATTGCATTTTAAATAGAGAAGCCCTTTTAGAATGGAACAAGACTTCTTGGCTCTGCTGATACAGATCAACCCTTGAACTCCTATAAGAGACCAAGATATAATTTCTCCTTACAATATCAATACAATATCAAGCAGACAAGTATTGAGAATGAAGGAAAGTATCAAAAAAGGTTCAAGTTGATCCAATACCAAATTCTCCAAGCTTACATCATGAGAATTGTATGGCGGATGGTAAGGAGAATAACTGACGTGATCTTGGTAGTGAAAAGGTTAAACCTGTCCAGAGATTGTTATCTCATATATTTTTTGGTTTTTGTTTTTTGTTTGCTATGTATCAGCTTTTAGGCGGGAATAGAATATCGATTAGTGAACTGAAAGAATTCGCCGCCAGACAACAGCACGAGATTGCAGCTAAAGAAAAAGAACTTAAAGCAAAGCAGGTTCAGTTTATGGAAATGAGACGGAAATTACAGAACAAACCTCAGAATCCATCTGTGCAGCAGTTGTCGGCTAAAGCCGATGAGCAGGAACAGCGGCTGAGAGAATTACGCCATGCGCAGGATCAAACAGATTCTTATAAACTAAGCAATGGTACTTTGGGTACGTTTGGAATTTTAACCTTTTTATTATCTGCGAGTTTATTCTCCTTGCAAACTGATACACTTATTCTTGCATGTTGGTTGTGAGTGCTCTACAGATATCAAACATTACTTTCCATCACAAGATTTTGCCTTCTCCCAAAATGAGCCAATCGGAACAAAAGTCGTGTTGAGAACCCATCCTATCCCAGAAGTCATAGAGTCAAGAGATTTTCCCGGTTTTTTTAACGCGCCAAGCTGTGTTAGACTTAATGTTTGAGAGAATCAGAATATTTAAACCTTCAAACAGCCAATGAAATGCAAAGAGAGAACCACTCATGTGGCTTTCCCCACGTTTTTTTTTTTTTTTTTTTTTTTTACCGGTAGCATCTGTTGTGAAACATTATCAGCTTATTCGACGTTGTTACGCAGTAGTAGCTGTGGCTGATTTACTATCTCAACTTAACCAATCGAAACGACATCCCTAAATAGCCAATCAAATGCAAAGAATGAACTTCTCCAGTGATTGTTTCCCGCGCTTTTCACCTGTTGCAAGAATTGTAACGAATTCTAATTGACCTATCACAACTTTCCCCAGATAGCAATTGTCTCTCTCTCGACAGTCGTTCTTTAGCAACACTAACGATGAAATTGTCCTTATTTCAGCCGAGGAATTGGAAAATGTTCGTTCCCATTTCATGGAGAAAGAAAAAGAACTAGCAATAGCAGTTGCAAGAGTTGAAAGTCTCACTCGGCAACTGGATAAACAAAGAAAGGGATGGTCTCAGGCAACTCCAAGTCGACAGAAAACGCACCAAGAGCTGGAACTAGAACGACTTCGAAAGGAATTGATGGTAAATGCATATCACGTAATTGCTGTGCACCATTGTGACGCAAGTGTGCTCTGTTATTACTAGATAAATTGCAAAACACTTGTTTTTCCTTCCTCGATATTTCCTTCCACCTCTGCTAAAGAGTATTCCGTAAACTGATGACGGAAGTTTTACAAAGAACGGTCTCCATATTGGTGAAATGTCAATCGTCAAATGGGTGGCCGTAAACGATGACGTCAAATAATTATGTCATCACTTGGTTACAGTCCCCTTTCTATCAATCTATATGCTAGTGCTCCGTCGCTTAATCGGATGGAGGCAGCCTTTCGTTTTTAAGACAATGATCTTATTTTGAATGATAATAACACAATACTATTGAGGTCGCGTTTTTTTCTGCGTTTTTCTAAGTTTGCTTGATTTCCCTTTGATTCCTCAATTGGTTCTTTGTGTTATTTCCCTCTCTTCTGATTGGCTGTTGTGACTGCTTTTACTTTTGGTTTACGGTACTTAATTGAACCTAATAGTAGCTTTTCCTTCTTATTTAGACTCGGAACGAATTGAATCATCAGCAAAGCGTACAGATACAATCTCAAAAACAGCTCCTCGCGGAAAAACACAAAGAACTGTTTGAACTTGAATCCCAAATTGACAGGCACTCCAATAATTTACGGCATAAAAGATCACAGGGTAACCACATCGCTGCTTCGAACCATCACGTCGTGAATGGGGTCACTTCATCCACAGACGAACCAGACTTTTTGGAGATGGACTACAGTAGTTTAAGGACCTTCTCGAAACGACAGCATAAAACGAACAACGCCGAGCCTAAAAGCGGAACCGGAAATTCTGCTACTACATCCGGTTCCTTTCGCAGGCGCGGTCGCAACGGCAGAAAATTAGAAACGTTGCTTGAAGTAGAAGAGGAAGTTTCTGACGGTCACGCAAGTAATAAATCGTCGACGGAAGACCTAACGCAGGGACCAGGTCCACCGAGAGCGTCACGCGTGACAGAGTTGAAATCACGTTTTGAAGCAGAAGGCGTGACGTCTGCAAAGATGGTAAATCGGTCTCCTAGTCCTGCTCGTCGCGTGGACCCCGAAGGAGTTGAAACACCTCCAAAAATGGCTGGTGTCGACGGTTTGCATTCAGTTAGTGAAAATCGATATTACAATGGAAGTGATTTATTTGACTATTCTTCTTTGAAGTCAAGACCTTCTCGTGTAAACGAGGAGGAACAGATCTCCACTTCAAAAGAGGAGGCCCTTGAAGTTTCACCTTCGTCAGAAGCAAAACCTGAACCAGCACACAATGGCACGGAGTGTTCGAGTCCTAGCGATGGAGAAGATTTTTCTGGACACAGTTCTCCTTTGTCGGTTGCGTCTTCGTCCTCTTCGTCATCGAATTCGTCTACTTCCAAAGCTGCAGTCTTTGCAATTACGGGCGTTGTGAAGAAGACGGGGAACTTTGCGCCCCAATCAGAGAAGCTGCAGTCCCAGTACTCAGAATCATTTTCGCCTCAACGCGTACCCCAAGGGCTTTCGTATTCAAACAAGTTTGAAAATTCTAGAGCTCAGCCAGAGCAGCCAGTTGGTGATGTTTTAACGCCTAAGAGTTTCGATGGAGATTTTCCATTGCAAGCTCGCCTGGTTAAATCAGAAGGGTTTTCAACAAAAAATGAAAATATTGGCACCTCAGCACAACCGACGGTGCTTGATTTTTCAAGATCAAGAATGAAACCCCAACAACCAATACATGAAAGTGTTCAGAATAACCAAATGAACGGTAGGAAAGTCGAACAAAAGTTTTCCAGTCCACCTGAAGTAAAATCTTTAGCGACCAAACTTGAACAATTCAATGCAAGGAGTGCAAAACCAGCTACGGGTGCACAAATTGGAAGCGATAGAGGAAACGTTTCCAAACGGACTGAGCTGAAATCTACGGATTCTTCGGTTAAATCTGGAAAGATGCAGTTGTCACGGCTTCGGTATTCGACGGGCACTTCAGTAAACAGCGCTCTGCCGCAACAAATTGTGATGGAAAACAGCGAATCAGAAAAAAACGTGAAGGATCTATCGTCAAAACGAAACAAGGAAACAGCCTTGATGGATGCTTCAGGGGCAAATAGCTTGGAAAATTCATCGCATGCTTCGCTGCAACGGTTATCACAAAACTCTATCCAAACAAATGGCCATGCTGAGAAAGAAGATTCGGTGGCGTCAATTAACGATTTTGGACGCTCAAGCGAAAAGGAAAGATCTGAAAAAACTTCAAACCGAAACGATGAAACTGATAGCTCAAGAATGTTCTATGAAAAACAAAATAATGATATCTTGCCTGTGGATGATGCGCAAACCCCGCCATTAGTATTTCGACCAATATCTTACCGCGCGAAGAAGTCAGCTGGTTTGCAAAGTAGCGTCAGTACATCTGCCGATCGATCCGAACTCGGTTCAGCGATTTCTAATTCGGTATCCATTCGTGGCAACTCGTCTTCGCTTACGAAGATAACGGTAACGCCGTCTGCTTCGTATTATAATGCGAGAGATTCGAACATCCCCGAGCAACGTTCGCCTGTTCCGACGAGTAAACGATCTAGGTTTATGTTTCACAGCGTGACTCCTACTTCATCCGAGGGTGACACTTTACTCGGTGGCACTTTTAACGAGCAAGAACGCAAGGAATTCGGAGACAATGGAAATTTAGACAAGGAAACTGGACTCACAAATACACAGATTGATAACAAGACACCAGGAAACACAGATGTTCGCCTAAATTCCAAACAAGTTGTTTCGTCATTCAATATACAGCTATCGAGTCGGAGTCAAAAAGCGAAAGAAGGACTGGAAGAAATTTCTTCGCCTGAGAAAATTAGTAAATCAGATCAAGGGAAAGAAAATAATAAATCTTCGGAACTTGTCTCGTTAAGAAGGAAAATCTTCGAAGGTAAAGAGCTTATTGTCGAAAGTGGTCGACCCAGTTCCAAAAATGAACGAACTAACTCCGAAAGAGACCGAGTACCTCCCGAAATCGGGCCATTTTATCACGAAAATGGTAATTTAAAACCCGAAAGTGGTCGACTTAGCTTCGGAGTTGGTAGACCAGATGCCGAAAGTCTTCGATTAAGTCAGAAAGGAGAAAGTGAGGAAACGAATGAAAACACACCAATAGATTTATCTTCCGAACTTTCAATTTCTCCGAATGCAAATCTTCCCGATGTTACAAGAGTTGGTTTTCAGAAAAGCCAACTTGAACAAGCACGTTTGTCTAAAACCACGTTATCTTCTTCAGATGATGGGATCCATGGGTTCAAAGCCGAACTGAGGCCAAAGGATTCACATGATAAAAATGACACTCTTTCAGGAACCAATCAAGGTTTAAGACACCTGGAAACAAAGGACACGGTAACAGTTCAAGATTTCCCAGTTGATATCAATAATATTAACACAGTGACACCCTTATCTGTAAACGGAGATATAGGACTTAATAGTCAGTCGAATAATTCCTTATCAGAACTCGCCCAAGATAAGCGGAATATCGATGAAACTTCAAATTTCGCGCTATTGAATAGAGATGTACATAAAAATTCTCCAGAAAACGTATCCAGCGGTTTTACTGAAAGTGCCGCTACGTCTGCGCAGAAGATTTCTAAAAAGAAGAAGCCGAGGCGCGTCAGCCTTGACCCTTATGCTGTATTACTGGACGCTGCAGTTGAGGGAGAACTGGATCTAGTAAAGCTAGTCGTTCGTGAGGTACTGTTTTGAAATATCTCATCTCGATTCTTTCTTTCTCTTTCTTTCTTTCTTTTTTCAATCTTTCTCTCTTTATTTTTTCCTTCTTTACTATTTTTTTCTTTCTTCCGTTTTATTTCCCTTTTTTTCCTTTCTCTCTTTTTCCCTTTCTTTCTAACCTTCGTTCTTTTTATTTTTCCCTCTACCTTTCTTTCTTTCCTTCGTCTAACATGAGTTGCTTTAGGCTGCCTTTAACTATTAGAAGTGATTCACATGAAAGTTCTCTCTACAATTTCCATACATTGTCCTATAAACAAGTAAGGAGAATAGACAAAATCATCACCCATGGGGTTTTATCTTGTCAGTTATAACATGGTATTCTCTCAAAAAATATACTTGGAAATGTACAGAAAGTAGAAGGGAGAATTTGAAATCGAAAATGTGAGGTTTTGAGGTTAGGAAACTGACTGGCTTCATTTTCATGTTTCTTAGGTGGATGATCCCAGTGAACCGAACAATGATGGCATCACAGCCCTTCACAATGCTGTTTGCGCAAGTCACGATGAAGTGGTTAAATTTCTCGTGGAATTCGGTGTGGATATCAACTCACCAGACTCGCATGGATGGTATGAAGATGTTAAGTTTACCCTTAAATTTCAACTTATGGTTAAGTTATATCGCCGTTGATGACATGGAATAGAACGCAAGTCTCGTGGCCTTGGTGAAAAAGGCGCTGTGAGAGTGAAACCGTAGTTTTATTGAGTAAGAACCAAAGTGATCACAGCAGCCAGTCATAGCAGATAAGGACCTTCCGAGTGGCCAACAAGAGCTCAAAGTTAAAAAAAAAAAAAAAGAAAAAAAAAGAAAACAGGCAAATAAAGTGTCTGAAGCGCGGGAAGGTCTAATGTTCAAATCTCTTAGTTCAAATCCTCTCTTTGAATCACGTTCGTGAAAGATTTTTACTTTTTCTTGAAAATATTTTACTTATGGTCCTCTTCTTTTCCCTTTGCACAGGACTCCACTTCACTGTGCAGCTGCAAACAACGCCACAGAAATGGCTCGCTTCCTAATTGAACATGGCGCGTGTATTTTTGCTGCTACTTCACTAGAGAAGAAAACTCCCATGCAGTGTTGTGAACGGGGTGTACCCGATTACTTTAGCTGTATGAAATATCTGAATGGTGAGTCATTCTCGTATTTTGGAATGTTTATTATTATTATTATCATCATTTTTTTTTTTGGTTCGTTGTTTCATTATTTGTTTTTGGACGGAATGCTTTAATAATTAGAATCATGGAAAAGAGTTGAGTCCTCGTCGTCGAAATCGTGATCAGAGTTTCTCAGAGGGCGTAAAACTGTCATTTATCCTCCTCCTTTTTACTTGTGTTTATGAGAAGGCGCTAGAACTAGTTCCGCGAGATTTGTGCAACTTTCTTAGCAATATCCAAATAAGACTTTTTTTTTCAGATTGTTATCGAAAGTACACGTAGTTTGGGGACTGCTGTAGCTGTGTTTGACTAAGATTTATAATTGGTTCAGAAAACTCGTGCTGCACTCTCGACCGACAAGTTAAAAAACTGAAATCAATCACAACTTATTTGGTTTGTTCTCGATTTCCCGTGTGTGAGGCAGTTAAAAGCTCTCTCCTCCAAGGTCTTACTGATTTCCTGTGATATTTCCCTTTATTCCGATTACTTTGGGTATGGTGTTACGACACTTAATAAGAACGAGTTATTGACTCCGGATTATCGGATTACTTTTTCGGATTCTCATCGTTGATCGCCTTTTTTCACGGATTTTGTCCACCGATGTCGAAGAGATCGACATTTTTCTCCCAGTAAAAAATAAGATTCTTTTCTACCCATCACGGAATAAATGACGAGTGGCATGAACGCGTGTAGACCTATACCAAAACTGATTAGAATGGTTTCTATTAACACTGTCTTTTTCTCTCCTCATTCAGATGTTCAGGAAAACTTCGGACTCGTTAACGACGGTCGGGTTTACGCACTCTACACCTACACAGCTGAAAAGGACGACGAGTTGAGCTTCGAATGCGGCGAAGAATTACTGGTACTGACGCGGGGAGATGAGACCGAGAAGGAATGGTGGTGGGCCCGGAACAACCGCGAGGAGACTGGGTACATACCGAGAAATTTACTTGGGGTAGGTGATAATACCTTATGTGAGCTTCTTTCTATGGAAGGGCGGTGAATATCTTTGTTTTGTTTCTTCTTGCTTGATCGCTCATGCTGCCCCAAAATCATCTCCAAATTGATGATACATCCAGGCTCTGGGTGAAGCCACCCTTGGAAATTCAAATACCTTTTCTTGACAACGATTTGAACGTAACCAAGAACAACCTGCCCTGTTGGGTGTGTCCGCTGTGGTCTACCCTGCGACCAGGCGCGTTTTTTTGCCTCTCTCTTTTCCTTTTTCAGGGGCACGCGATGGCGTAGCAGCGCAAGAGTCAGTCGTCGGAAACACGTTCCGTCCACTCTTGTGTCACCGCACTATCCCCCCTTCCCCGAAAGATATGAACTCCTGATCGAGGGCTAACCACGGTCTTGATGTGTTTAACGGGACATACGATTTTGCAACGTCTTGGACAGGATGTCTCTCTAGACCTCAAGTCCTGAACAAGGCGTGAACATTGGCCATGCGCGGTTTTCATGAGCAATACTAACATTTTTTTCATCTCATTCTCCGTAATTTGACTGAAGTGGCTCTGTGAAGCCGATATGTCAAAATTCGCGATGTATTGCACAGTTAGCGGTATGAGCAGATTTTGTCATCATGGGGATCAGGCCCTTCGGCTGCATTCCCTCCCCATCCCCACCCCTGAGCGGAAACCTTCCTTACGTACATTGTTTATAAAATGTTTATAATACTAAGGCTTTACATGGTTGATTCTTTTCTCACAGTTACGCCCCAGAATTTCGCCCGTTTGACGAGGCAAAAGAAACGCTAATCTAAAGAAGGTGAACTTATGTGCATGAAATACAGTCAAAGACTAAAACAAGCTAGGACATATTTGGGGGAACATAACTTATATCACAAAATTCTTTTCAAGATTACTGCTAAAAACCATGAAAGAGGTTGTGCCTCAAAATCTGATTAGAAAACAGTGAGTGGTAAACTGTATCAGTAACTTAATGATAATAGTGTCTTTACATGCACAAATAGCAATTTTTTTTTCAAGGCCAGGTAGTAGCAGATTTGTCATTCTGTTTTGGATCTAGTGTTGAATCACTTTCGAATATTTATAGAAATAGTGGCTATTTATTTTTTAAAGAAGTAGAACTTAATAAGATTCTTTTTCACATCGACAATAGTTCAAAACACAAGCATAATTTTTTAGTAATGGTATTTGCAGAAATATATATTTAAATGATATTATTAATGAGTATGCATATTTCATATATTTGAGCACTTTATGATGGGTGACATGATAACAAAAACCTAATAATAAATATGTTGATAATTTATCTTGGACAAATTTAGGTTTCCGGGAAATCAGAGCTTAATGATAGCCAATTTCAGAATAGTTTATATAACTGAGTTTCCAAGATAGTGAAATTTGTTGCAATGTCAACTTACTAGAAAAAGGTACATGATTATATCATTGAAAAATCAAGTTTGTGATTTCATTGTCAAATTTTTTTCTAAGACTTGAATCAACAGTTTTTGTGAAAGAAAAATTTACTTAACTAAAATTAGTGGCTTAGGTCTATAAACATTAAATTAATATATAAATGCACAAGTCTTCTCTGTTAGATTTTGTCACCAGTGCCCAGTCCTAACTCTCTCATTACCTATGACGTCACGAACTTATGAAGTCACATTTATGCCACCTGCACCTCCCCCTCTAATACTCCAACCCCACCCCTCCCTTGTCAAACTACAACCCTTCCTTTAACCCTTCAACTCCCATGAGTGACCAAGACAGAATTTCTCCTTACAAGGTCAAAACAATATCAACCAGATAAGTGTTGAGAATAAAGAAAAATATCAATTTGGGGATAATTAGTTGATCCAACACTACATTCTCTGAACTAACATGATAAGAATTGTATGGTTGACAGAAAGGAGAATTAAAAATTTTATCTGGGAGTTAAAGGGTTAAGACTGACCTCAACACTTTACAGTGAACAGATTGAAGTTTTATTCTGTTGTTTGGTAAACATTCTGCACACGATTGGTGATATTTAAATGAGAACAAAAAAAAAAAAAAAAACGGAAGCCTCAACAAGTACAAAAATAATTATTCCATTTGTTGTTGGTTCTTTTTCCAAAGCCTGGCCATTTGGAGCAGTTTAAAGTTAGGCATATTGGCTTCATCGTCTGGTAATATGTAATATTCTTCTCATTTAGCGTCTGACTGCAAGGAGGAATATTTTTAATAGTGTCACAAATCTCCAAAGAAAAATATAAGATCTAATAAAGAGAAAAGAAAATTGCAGTGGGGCTAAAATTTTACATACGTGGCTACGAATTATTTCTGATAACAACAACATTTGGCAAATTGAAAACAGAATTGATATGTCACGCGACATTTTGGCTTAGGTAACCGATTGCGTGACGACCGACAATCGAAGTTATAAGAAGAAGTTTGAAGAGATTTCTTACTCCGTCGTCCGTTTGTACTTTTATCCTCTTCTTTCTCGGCGAGGCATCTTTATCTTGATTTTTTCTTGTGAGTTTTCGTCTCCATATTCATCCTAAAGGATCAAAATAAAATTAAATCAGTTCGACCTTTCATAAAAGTTTCTTTATCAACCAATTTTAATAATACCTCGAACTCTTTATTTCCACGCTTCAAGTACCATCACTCGCTCTTCTTTCTCCTCTGCGTTTCTGAGAGATTTGCTGGCGCGTTCGTAAACAGTCTTGAAAAATAATATTTATAGTATGATCAAAATGGAGAAAGATGATTCACATCTCAGAGGATTCGAGTTCACAGATTTTTTGACAGCATTTGAAGCAGTAGAAACTATTTCAACTTAGATGTTCTGCCATGAATCCTTTCCTACACGACAAATAAATTATTTCGTTGAGTTGTTCGCTTTGGGCTCTCCTCAAAGGTTCATCGGGCGTTGCGTGACTGTAGGTTTCCCACTCAGATGAACTACCATGGTCACGGTCTCGATCAAGAATATAGCATAGCCATTTTACATACCTTGCTTGTATGATACTTTCATCGGTTGCTGTAGAGGCCTCGAACTGTGCAAAACTAATCCAAACCTTTGAAAAGAACATTTCAGGAGAATCACAGACGGAAACTAGAACTTTACACAAGGTAAGCGAATACAAGGAAACATGGCTGTACATTTGCTTCGACATGTTCGCGGTTAATTAATATCATGATGAAATTAACGACACTGTACATTTTTGCAAGGCACTGAAAACAATCATACTCGAATAGAAAGACGTAATGGAAATATCTGCTCTTGTACAAGAGATTCAACAAAATAGCCGAGATAGAATTTAGGGAAAAACAATTAAAAAATACAACCTTGACGTGTTGCGTTCGTTTTAGTAGCCTCTCATACGGATCTCGTGTTTTGTCGTACTCTTCCAAGTTTATCTCAAAATCTATGTAGGCTTTCCGCAAAACCTGAGAACAACAGAAACTACTGTTACTTACTTGTTGCTATATGTTTTAATATAACAGTTTGAACAATTAAACGAGGGGAATTAGGAGGGAAATTTCGTGAAAGCTGAGTACAAAAGAGGAGTCTTTTCCTCTGCTTAAAAAACTAGGTAACTTGGGAAAATATAGCAGATTAATAAATTTGTTCAGTTACAAAAAAAAAAAAAAAAAAAAAAAAAAAAAAGAGGAAGAAGAAGAGAGAAAAAAAGATCTTTCGTGAATGCCGTGACCAGGATTCGAACCTGGGTTATTGCGGCCACAACGCAATGTACTAACCACTATACGATCACGGCTGCCAACCCCGCACGATAGAAAAGATGGAAACAATATTAGAATTTAAAATAACCTATCAACGTCATTTCCGTTCTGCAAGGCTAATTCCATAGTTTTACATAACCTTCAAAGAAAGGAACTTAGAAACAAATTTTAAGAATAAAAATTTTAACAGTCGAAAGGAAGTAGAGCATCTTCGCCAAAAATGATGAGCTATGAAATTCTCATGAAAACATAACTTCCGGTTTTAATCCACAACTCCGTGGAAAGCATTATACGAATATTCATTTCAGTTCGGGCAAATCACCTGAATTGCAAATGTCATTTCGTTTCACAACAATTGATAAAACGTTCGAATTAAAACATAAGGCGTGATTTCATAGATGTTGTGTGTTTCTTAAAAAGTTCACATCGTGAATTGTCTGTGAAAGAGCAAAAAAAAAAACCCATAGCGAGCTTGATAAGCCTCTAAAACCTCAAAAACGCTCTCTCCAGAACCAATGGGTCTTTGGTCACAGTGATATACACCCGACAAAATCTTAAGTCAAATACTTTTCGGCATAGACTGGAAAATACTGCTTTAAGTATAGGATTCAATAATGGTTAAGAAGAAAAAAATTATGGGAATGTATGTTTTTACAGCTGTTTGGAATGGCGTGCAAATTACCTTTCGACCTCTCTAGTAAAGTGTATGTCAGTGTTTTGTTCGTTACGGCGGTGGCGGAATGCGTCGATTTCGTCGTGTCGTACGGCGGTGAAAGTATCGTCAACGTATACGTAACCAAAGTGGTATCGTCTGTCGGCAAGTCGAAAGGGAGCTTTCCTCGATGTTCTGCATCCCCTGATTTCTGCTACAACAACAGAAACTGGAGACCCCATAGCTGCACCGTGTAACTGTTTGTAGTGTTTACCGTTGTACTGAAAATAAGTTGATGTCAGGCAAAGGTTTAGTAAGTCCATAATGTCCTCTGTCGGTAGCGGTAGAGGGTCGGTAGATTGTAGGATAGCAGTCTCAATAAATTGTAGTTGAAGCGGAATAATTGTAAAAAGCGATTTCACATCAAATGACACTAGTTTGTAGTCGTCAGGTATCTGCACAGTCCTGGTGGCGTTAATGAAGTCCTCGGTGGATTTTAGTTTGCGTCTGGAATTGTCGATGAGCGGTTGTAGTATTATCGTTAGGTACTTGGACAGTTGGTATAGAACTACAGAAGGAAACAATAGGTCGCATTGGGAAACCAAGTTTGTGTAGTTTCGGCAGACCATAAAGTTTCGGTGGCTGTGGTACTGAGCTCCTTAGTCGGTAGTAGCGTTGGGTGTCAATGGCGTTTGTCTTCTTGAGTGTTAGTAATGTGCTGTTAAATTTGCGTTGAAGCGCAGGAGTCGGGTCACGTTTGAGTTCTTCTTACGTTTGTTTGTCATTAACAAGTGCGTTCATTTTGTCGTGATAGTCAGTCTTGTCCATGACAACAGTAACTCGTCCTTTGTCAGCTAGTAGCCGAATAACTATGTCCTTGTCGTTTCTCAATCGTTTGAGGGCATGTTGTTCGTCTTTAGTCAAGTTGCTGTCATGTAGTGACGCTGATTGTATAGTGGAAGCAATTCTACTTCTGATGCTATCCTTACTAGACTCAGGCAAAAACCTCACAACTAGACTGACTGAACACAAATTAGCGACGAGGAAGGCGATACCAACAATCACATTGCTGAACATCACCGACTTACGAAACACACTATTGACTGGGACTCTGCGCAATGCCTAACCTACAGCACCAACTACTTTCAAGGACTGACCCTGGAAAGCTGGTTTACTAACTTGGAACAGACTCCCCTCAGCAGGTGCCAACCACTACCGGCACCATACAAACGACTCATTCACGACGTTAACATTACGAACGAACCGAACAGAACGACCTAACTTAGCTAACGGATCCAAACCGACTAATCACGACTGACCTACGCCACTTGAGTCTTACAGCCGATAACATCACGGCAAAACTGACCAATCAGTTTACGCAAACCGGACTAAGTACATTCGACTGACAACAACCTTTCACTTAACTCTGCTGATGACTTCCGCTCAGGTTGTCGAAACGTCAGTCACCATTACCGACAACAGTCCTTCTCAGGACTACACTCACCCGAACGATCAAACCACACTATTACATGTTACCCCCGGCTTCAAACCATTTACTGTACTTTTCACTGCCTTACACACGTGTTACGTATCTTATCATGTGACCTGGATCAGACCGTTTTCAAAATGGCCGTCGATCACGCGACAAAAAAAATTTGTGGAAAATTTGGTTTTGCACATTATATCGTGTATTTGCTCATTTAGGATTCTTTAACCTAAGAGAAATGTATTGGGGCCAAAAAGAAGGAGGAAAATTTGGCGTCAGTTACCCTTTAATTTAATAACACATTGACACCTAAACCGCCCGTAACCGGCCATGCCGCGCGCGCGGTGGACTCACACGAGAGACGCTTTTTCCCACCCACTTACTATGCAGAATTTAGTTCACAGACTCCTCTATTGTAAGAGGATCTATAAAACAATCAGAATCCGTCTTTTGCGCAGATATTTTGGTAGCTTTGGCGGATACTAAAAAGGGGCCACTTTATGCGTTTACAAGAAATGATCAAATATGAAAAAAGGGCGTCCGCGCGACCGACTTTCAATATTTTCAAGTCGGATTTTCCGTTCCTTACTGATCACGTTAGACCTTCTGGAACACAAAATAATAATAAAAAATGCTATAGAATACTCTGCTCGGAAAATAATTGACATCAAAGTCTTAAAAGCGACAAAATAACCTTTCGAGTCAACAACACTAGGATTCACTGAGGCGGTGCGAATTGGGGCCATAGAATGAAAACCAAACTTTCGGACTTCGAGCGATGCCTAGCGACATTATGAAGATTCTAAGACCTAGTAAATATTATTTTTGATTAAAGAGATGTCCAAAAAGTACTTTTTTAAGAGAAGACGTTGTGTCAAAACGTAGAACTTTCAGAATTTTCAACATAAGGCTGCGCAATTTTCTGACCGTGCATAGGTGGCCTAAGCTCCAGCTGTGAGATGATCACCTTGCGAAATAATAGTCATGGCAAAACTATAAGAGTTTGTATGGGAATATTTACGACCGCTCTAAGGAACAATAAATGTAAGATAAATGCCTCACCTTACTTCCAAAGTACATCGCTTGTTATCTGACCGCTTACCATGTTGAAAAGCACCCATTTTAGCGAGTTATCCATTTCTAGTAGTAAGCGGTCAGATAACAAGCAATGCACTGTGGATGTAAGGTAAGGTATTTTTATTGAGAATTTGACTTATTTTTTTAATCCTTTAAGTGGTCGTAAATATTCCCATACAAACTCTTGTAATTTCGCCATGACAGTTATTTCGCAAGATGATTACTTCGCCATCTGTAGGCCGTGAAGTCAAGTAAACTACGATCTAAGCATGATGAATTCTATTTCGTGTGTTTCGTACACGCAAGAAATTCGCACGTTTTACGCTTCTAAAAGAAAATCAAGAACTTTTTTGGATAAAGCTTTCATACTGAAAAGTTCCTTTGCCAGTTTCGTCTTTTTTCTCACTTATAAATTTCATGTAACCCGCCTAGCCGTGGTCGAAAAATAAAACGCGTTTACATGCAATCTTACGACCCCGGGTGCTGGGGTGAGGTTTCTTGAGGTTGTTGTTGCGCTTGCAATTAAGGAGTTTGAGCAGAGGCGTTCCAAGCTCACATCTCGAATAAGAAGAAAGATTAATTCTCGGACAATATGTATTTATTCATGAAAGGGTCAAGCGTTGTGTTACGCGGTGTCAGGTTACGCGTGTGTCCGTTGCAGTTTCTGGTGATTTCTGCCATGAGACGGCTAGGAAATGTACAAAGTCTTAAAACACACATGTTTCGCCTTTGAGCTTTTTGCCATGAACACAGCCCCGGCTAGGCGGGTTACCCCACCTTGAGACGTTTAAATGGCAAATTGTCACAGGGTTACCCTACCTGGCAGACCGGGCAACCCGCCTAGGCGGGTCACCCCACCTATCATGTAAACGTGATCAAGATAAAATAAGAAATTATATTGACAGGCGAGTTACCCCACCTAGGCGGGTTACCTCACCTACCTGGGGTTCCCCACCTCCATGTAAACAGGCCCTAACTTATTTTCAACGTAAGAAGCCATATATGCATATCAAGTTTTACTCTAAAAATCAAGATAAAAGATAATCATCGGTTCTTTCAAGTATTGTCTACCCCTATGTAAAGCCACCAACATCGATTACAGTTTAAGACTAAGACGGACAATCCAACCGCAAAATACAGATCTGTTGCCCTGTTGTGAATCGACTGTGTTAAATGATCGTCCGGGTGAGGGTAGACCCAAAACGACCTTTGTTCTTGAACGTGACAGACCGTTTCGGCGTTAGCCTATCCAATAAGTCTTTACGCGCCTCGTTTGGCTTGACCATGCACGTAGCGGCGTGTTTTTGTTGTTGTTGTTGTTGTTTTCTTTTCTTTTTTTTTTTTTTAGCTAAGTGGAGAAGAACGATGTGCGTGACTGAACTGCTGGGAAGTAACATTCCCGCATCTATGGCGGAATGTAGTTAATGACGTTACACTGCTTCATTCAGTCAAATTGCAATCAATATATCAATGCCGCAAACAGTAGTAAGGCTCAATCAGCATCAACTGATCATGCTCTTTGCCCTCGTGATTAAAAACAATACCCTATGTCTCAGCCAATCAGCATTCAGTAATTTAACCCGCATGTGGTAACATTTATAAAGAGCGTGCCACGGTTTTTCGGTTGACCGACTTAGTCTATTCATCATAAGCGAGGAATTAACACTGACATAACGTTACAAAAAGGGTCAACTACGTCCTTGAATCTGATTGGTCACAAAAACTCAGCTGTCATGTACTCTGTTTTCTCGGAATCAAAAATTAAATCTTAGATTTCACAATTAGTCGTTTCATTAATTTGTACTTCAAGGCGATCATAATGGAACCTCTCGTGGAAAACCTCAAGAAACAAGTCACATGTTCAATTTGTCTCGATACTTACACAGACCCCAAAATATTATCGTGCTTCCACACTTTTTGTTGCAAGTGTTTGGAGGAACATGCAAGAAACACCCACAGACAAGGCAAATTCAGATGCCCTGAGTGTCAGGCGGAAATCGATTTACCTGAAGGCAATCGCTTCGACCGTTTGTCCACCAGCTTCATCCATAATAGTTTGTTAGGTCTCCTTGAAACGGAAGATCGCGAGGACTTGCTGAAACCGCCATTTTGCTCGCAACACAAGAACGAAAGACTACGATATTTCTGCTATTCCGACGAAGCATGCATTTGTCCTGTTTGCTTAGTTGAAGATCACCGAGGCCATGAGTTCGACGTTATTGAAAAAGCAGTGGAGGAGGATAAGAAATACATCATGATGAACGTCGACACCATCAAGGAAAAGGCAAACTTGTCTCGAGAAGAGATAGGAAAATTTGAGAAAACCTCTGAGGATGTGGAAATGTTCATCGCAATCGCTAAACAAGAAGTGTCTGAGGCAGCTCAACACGTGATCACGAAGACGCGACAAAAAGAGCAACAGTTGTTAGAGTCCTTAGAAATGACACGTAGAAAGAGAATAAAGCTAATTAACTCGGCTAAACAAGAACTGGAATCTCTGGTAAATCAAATGAACCAAGCGGCTGAGTTTGCGGAAAATCTCGTTCAGAAAAGCTCACCCTTGGATATTATACAGACCAAGACAGCTTTGAAGCAGAAATTCCAAGAGCTTCGTGGAGTTGAGATTTCAAGGCATCATCCGACAATATTTGTCAAATTTACCGCGGCATCTCAACACGACTTGAAACTGGGTTTTATTCAACTCGACGAGAATGCGGCAAACGCAGCTAAATCAACTCTAGTAGGACTGGATCAAACTTTCCAAGCTGGTGTAGAAGCAGAGTTTACGTTGTGTCTAAAAACAGCAGAAGGAGAGATTTGTAACCAGGCCGATCTAAGAGAGCAAGTCGAATGGCTGATTAAACCCACCGAAGATGTCACAAACATGACTGTTCAAGAAAGGGAGGACTGCAATCTTAGGCTGAAGTTTACACCTAAGACGCCCGGCACCTACTGCCTTAAGGTGAAGATTAATGGCGAAAAGCTTTCCACCTCTCCGCTCACTTTGAAAGTGAAAGAACGTGAACTTGTCGTAGTCGGCGAATTGGACTTGAAGTTCAACCAAGGGCAGGAGTTCAAGGGACCCAATGGAATCGCCGTAAACAGGCAAGGCGACATAGCTGTTGTAGATTATTACGGAGACTGTGTTTTTGTATTCAATAAAGAAGGGAACTGTTTACACCAATTTGGAAAAGAAGGAACACATCCTGGACAATTCAAAAATCCAAATGGGGTGTCATTTTTAAACAACAACGAAATTCTTATTGCTGATCAATCAAATAATAGAATACAACATATAAATATCCAGACAGGAACTGTTGTAAAAACCTTTGGAAAAAAAGGTGAGAGAAAAGGACACTTCAAGACTCCACTTAGTATTTGCCTTGATGATACAGAACGAGTTGTTGTCACTGAATTATCCAACAATAGAGTTCAAGTAATGTCAAAAGAGGGCAAAGCTCTATTTACAATAGGAGACAGTGGTCCAGAGAAACTCAGCACACCATACAGCTGCATTCCTTACAAAAACATTTTCCTGGTAACTGAAAGAGACAATCACGTCATAAAAGCATTTGATGCGTCTAAGACTTTCCTGTACAAGTTTGGCGAAAAAGGGAATCAAGATGGACAGTTCAACTCACCCCGTGGCATGTGCTTAGGCGGCTCTGATAACCTTCTTGTCTGTGACTATTTCAATGACAGAGTTCAGCAATTTTCTTTGGACGGTCGCTTTACAGGCAAAACTACCGTTCCTTTACAAAGTCCATTTCAAATTGTTACAGCACCAGATGGGCGTATACTGGTCACAAGCCTTAAAGCTAAGAAAATATATATACTGAAGTGAATGTGTTACTTATCATCCAAATGCTGTATGCCAGCGGAAACTAGAGTCGAATCATTTATTTTCCAAGGTAAATTTCTTAACAAGTGGCGGAAACACTCCACGGTGTAAGTGCATCGTTAGCCCTCAAATACAGGAAAGGGGGTAAGCACAGAATTCGAATTGACCAATATACCATGAGCAGTCAGACATATAGGAAAATTGTCTTCAGAAAAGGAAACTTCAACGAGTCTAAAATAGATTTAACTTTTGTTCGTGAGGTCTGCCTTTCACTTCATCTGGTCAAATAAGAAGAGCAAACATTTCAGGAAGACACAGCCATTATTAGGGAAAAGAACTACCCCATGGTCTAATGCAATCTGAAGAAAAGAAAAAGACATATAATCAATAGGAACCTCACACTTCTGTGCTTTGTTGCATGAAGGGCATGGCCAAGTGGCTTCACCCTTTGACTTCAAAGATCCAATTAGTAATTCTCCCCACCGACTGACATACATTTCTCAATAAATTCGACAAGAGAATTTAGTGTGATATCAGAATACCCTCGGGTGATAAGTTTGTCTTTTCTCATAACCTGCCTACAAGATAACATAGGAATAGTGAGTAGAATTTACATGTTAATAACCTCTTGGAGTTTTAGGGCAAAGACAAGAGAATTTGGTGTCGTATCAGAATAATACCCTCAGCTGATAAGCTTGTCTTTTCTCATAACCTGTCTTCAAGATATCATATTGTAATCGTAAGGAGAATTCGCACGTTAATCACCTCTGGAATCGCATCTCTCATCTCTTGGAGTTTTAGGGTGAAGGCACTGGAATTGAGATCTATCGTTCCCAGGCCCTAATCATCCACTCTAGCGCTCCATGAGATTTGTTTCTCAGAAGTCTTAAAAACAACTTCTTCCCTGTGCTTTCTAAACAACCAACTAGTTTGCCTTACTCACTAAATAGGATGAACTTTCTAACAATTTTGATAAAATTTATGTTTACAAAACATACCCATTAAGCTATCAGGTTACTTTGCTGCCCTTTTTGTTCCATTTACCAATCATAATCAATAGATACTCTGTACACACAGTCTCAGTAATTCTAGATAGCAAATATATTTCATTTTTTTGGTAGATTTATTGTTTGGGTAAATAAAAATATGTTAAATGCTTGACTTGTACTCATTGCATGCAATTTTCAGTTATAATTAATTAACCCCTAAAACACTAACATCAGTGTGCAATTTCTCTATACTCTTCTCTATAAGTTTCCTAAAGTGCTGACAAAGAGAATTTGTTTACCAATCAAAAGTTTCTTTCATTGGTGATCATTTCCTTTATTCTCATGACCTTAATGTCTGATTCAGGGGTGAAATTGTCAGGAGAAATTGGATACTAATCACTCTTGGGTGTTAAAGGGTTATAATAAGTACTTATTACTAAATTTATTTTCAGCCTCTCAATTCAAAAATCTCAATTTTCATGTCCAGTTGGGTTCAGACACTGATTTTACTTTTGCGTCAATGATTTTTAATTTTTTTTTTTTTTGTTCTTTTTTTTTTTTTTTTTTTTTTTGCATTGGAGACCTCTTCCACAGACAAAGACTTAAAAGATAAAGAATAACTTGTCGAGAACGACCCTTTAGACAAAATATTGTTCAAACAACAATTTTATCGACAAATATGTTACGGATTCACAGGATTAAATGTATATCTCAATAAATTGTTTCTAAACAAAAGCATATTTCAAAGAAGCGTTTCTTGTACGTAGACTGGTTAAAGTTTGCAAATTTAGTCCTTCACAAGCATGGAACAAACTTAATTATAAAATTATTCAAATAGTACGCGCGCTCTGATTGGCCATAAAACCATTTTACATGAGCGTATGTAAACACGGTTTTCATTCCTCTTTCATTAGTTATTTTATAAAAGAAATGTAAATTGGTTTCCGTGTTTACGTAGCCTGATGTAAACGCTTCGCGTCGTGGTTTCCTACGCTTATCTCGTGTTCTCCCAACCTCCTGCGTGTTTACATCAGGCTATGTAAACACGGAAACCATTTTACATTTCTTCAAGATTGAATATGACAATAGGCAGAAAATTGATGAAAAAAACATGGATTAGAGGCAAAGAAGCTTTAAAAACATTTTTAAGAACTACGAAGGGCGATAATTTCGTTGATTTATGAATCTTTCAAGCACGTTTTGCGCTTTTCAACATTGCACATCTAAATCTCTCCTCGCCCTGAAGTTTCCGTTTCAGTAAAAGGCCATGAATTCTTTCCAATTTTAATAACAATAAACATGTCAAAAATAGCGATTTAAATCTCGCATACTTTATCATGTAAGTTTATTGCAGTTATTGATACTCGCAGAATTCATTACCGTATTCTAACAATTACCTTGACAATGGTGCCATGAAGACTCCGAAACGTCGGTTCATCTCGCTATTTTTTACGTGTTTATATATAACTAAATCTTTATTAAGAACAATAAAATTAAAACAACGGATTTTCTTAATATGAAGCTTTCAGACAAATATTAATTTACTTCTAAACGCAGTAGATAAACAGTTTAACTTTACAAAGAGGTCAACTAAGCCAAGGAAAGTGACAGGCAAAAATAGATCAGCTGACACGGACTTTGTTTTGTTTTCTAGGAATCTGAAACAATGGCTGTTTGTTCCAATTTTTTTAAGTACTGTCTATTTTTATGTAAAGCCACTGGCAAGATTGTTTTTTCACGAACGGGACATCGATGACAGTTTAGACTAAGACAGGCACTCCAACCGCAAAGGACAGATCTGTTGTCTTGCTGTAAATCGATTGTGTTGTTGCTTGATCGTCCGGGGTCGATCGTGTTTGCACGGGAGTGTGGGTAGTGATTTGTTTTGTTTTTCTCTCGTACAGGGTTACTCAAACGCGCTCGCTTCGCGTTTTCTCGCCTTACCAATGCTATCGGAAAAAGGCAAGGCAGCTAAGGAAAGATTAGCATCCCGCTTGAATAGGTAACTTGACGAGGTGACTTACCAAAGAGAACCTTTCGAAGGACGAAGTCAAAACGGATTGCTATAAAGGAACTTGAATAATTTCGACCGAATTCCTGAAGTTGAACAATGCGTGACCTTGTTTCTTCTCAAAAGGAATTAGCAACAAACATCACACACTGCTTCTGTTTTTCTTTTCTTTTTGTTTTTTTCAATCAACCCCCAAAAAATATAGAAACAATCATCCATGTTTAAAAATATGTTTATGAGATATAAAAAGGATGTTTTTTTACAAATTGCCAAACCGTGACTTTCACAATTGCTTTAGGGTTTAAAAAGGTCAGCCAAAACAAAGAGTTTGATTGGCCAGTGGCAATCAGTCGATACGGACTTAGTTATGTTTTCTCGCAAACCTAAAATAATATCTGCATTTAAGCCATTGCATTGGGTGCCCGAGACATATCAAACTCATGGGGTACAAATAGCCTTAACATGAATATAGTGACCACGCCCACTTCAACGCCCCATTCAAATCGAGTGTAATTTTCGAATGTTTTACCATCGTGCGGATTCTCTACGGAAAAAGCACTCAATGTACTTTTGAAATATTAAACTATAATATTGTGGCTTTCTATTTCGCTAATTTTCTAACTTGAAGGTAAAGTTTTTCCCTCGTCATTTTTACCTTTTTGCGGTTGCGTGAAATTAATAAGGCGTTTTTGATCAAAACACGACCGAGCGAAGGGTCTCGGGCGATATCTCTTTTAAGCAGGCGCAAATTAAAAATGTACCGCCAGAATCAAAAAGAGAAACAAATTTCCTTTGTTTTGATATGTAAAGTGCCGAACAAAAAGCAGATTTACCCTCGTCAAATGGCGTTTCAAAACAGCTGTATCTTCCACCTTTTGATTTTTTCCGGTTTTGTAAGCGTGAAAGCAGTAGGAGAGGGATCGGGAAACTCAGAAAGCGCTTTGGGAATTAATCTGCCATCGTTTACTTACGAGATAAACAAGTAAGAGTTGTGAAGTTCGTCGAAGTATGAAGTCTAAATAAATGCCTTTTTTAAGCTTGTTTGCTGGATTTTTCGTAAACTTCCCGGGTTAATTTTTCGTTTCAGCTTACTAATCTATACTATTTCAAAGCAAAGCAACGTAAAGACGAAGACGAAGAACCATGAGTCGGTCCTTCAACAATCGTAAACAAAGTGTTTGAGCAATCAGGTATAGGAGGTGTAATAATCAACAGCCGTATATCAGAAGTCTTCAGAAAGAAAATATTCTGTCTTTAGAAAGCTGTCAAGAAAGCTAGTAATCGTGGCGGAGGGCAATTAAATGCACTTCTTAGCAAGTTGGAAACGGGTCCTCGGTATCGATTTAATATCATATCGATCTCAATATAATACAGTTTTGTATTTTTCTTCCATGGATTCGCCTTTCTAACGGGGGTGTATGTTGAGTATTCATTGCAAAATCGCTTTGTTTTTTTTATTTCCCTCTTTGGCCTGTCCGCCATTTTAAAAATTCGCAACGGAGAGCATGCGCATTACGTGGGGTTAGTGGTCGCGTACACCTGGAACCGAGAAAAACAAATGTTCGTCGCGCTGGGGAAAGAGTTTGATATGTTTAGTTTGTTTCGCTTCGAAGATGTAGTCTCTTTTGAAAGCTCTCAAGAAGCAAGTTACTTGCTCGATCTGTCTTGATACCTAAACCGAACCTAAAACTATATCATGTCTTCACACGTTTTGTTTCCAGTGTTTGGAGAAACATGCCAGAGTGAACCAGCGGTAAGGAAAGTTCCGATGCCCCGAGTGTCAGGCAGTGATCGATTTACCAGAAGGAAATCGCTTCGATCGTTTGCCCATCAGTTTTTTCCACAATAGTTTTTTCAGTCTCCTTGCCGTTCGACAGAGTGGTGATACAAGTAGCATTACTTGTTCCCAATGCAGGAAAACTAACCCTCAGATGTACTATTGCTTTGATTGCGGATGATTCATGTGCCTGGATTGTTTCAATTCGCATCAAATGCTGAGTGCAACGTTTGGGGGACACAAAGTCACGCCCGTCAAAGACTTTAAAAGAGAGGACTACGAAGCACTACTGAAGTGACAGCCATTTTGCTCACAACAGTTCCACAGGAAAGAAATCACGCGATTCTTTTGCTCGCAGTGTCAAGTTTGCATTTATTTTATTTGCATCGTCACGTATCATCAAAACCACAACGCCCTTTTGCTTGACAAAGCAGCACACGACGAAAAGGAAAACATCATGTCTGGTGCTAAGATCATCAAGGAAAAAGAAACCCAACTTTGTCAAGTCATCAAGGAGTTCGAAGAAACGATTTCTGAGCTTGAAAGAAATTTCACAACAGCCAAGCGAGAGGTCTCGCGAACAGCCGAACAAATGATCGTAGACATTCGACACCGCGAGTGAGAAGCGATTGTATCCCTGGAAACAACACGCGTGTCGAGACTTGAGAAGATTAACGCGGCTAAACAGGAAGAGGAATCCCTGGTAAAACAAGTGAGCCAAGCAGCTGAGTTTGCGGAGAATCTGGTGCAAAGAGGCTCAAGTTCAGACATCATGCAGAATAAAGAAGCTTTGAGGCAGAAATTTCAAGAGCTTGGCGAAGTTGAAGTTCCTAAACATCACCAGACTACATTTGCCAAATTTACCCCGGCATCCCTACAAGACTTGAAACTGGGATTTATTCGACTCTACAAAAATCCGGCAAACATAGCTAAATCAACTGTAGAAGGACTGGATCAAACTTTCCAAGCTAGTGTAGATGCAGAGTTTACGTTATGTCCAAAAACAGCACAAGGAGAGATTGTTAGCCAGGCCGATCTTGAAGATCAGGTTGAATTGCTGATAAAACCCACCAAAGATGTCACAAACGTGACTGTTCAAGAAAAAGGAGATGGCAATCTTAGGCTGAAGTTTACACCTTAAGTGCCTGGCTCCTACAGCGTTGAGGTGAAGATTAGTGGCGAAAAGCTTTCGACCTCTCCGTTCACTTTGCCAATGAAAGAACGTCAACTTAGCGTAGTCGTGGTACCTTGGGTACGCCCTTTCTTCTCCGAATTTTGTGTTTATTCTGCTGTTATGCAACAGCCTTCAAGAATAATTTTCTTATGGGATACCTTTTTAAGGATGATTTTAATTCTGTTACTAAGTTGATTCTAATTTTTATATTGTCAATCTTGTTTTTGTTTTGCCCAAACTTGACTGTCAGACCAAGAAATTTAAGTCAGAAAGACATTTCGTAAAGCGTAAACACCGCGAAGGTATCTATTGAGCATGCGAACTCCGTTTTGCGTGGCCCAACGTGATTCGCTATTTAAGTGTAAAAACATGACGAAGGTTAGAGACTGACAGCTCAGTAAGTGTCAAATTTGTAAACGGTGACCCACACTTTCCTCGAGAGATCAGAGCTAGTCCCCGTTGTAATAACTAGTGCAGTAAGAAGGAATAAAGAAAGAGACAACAAGACTACGAGTTTTAGAGTAATTTTACTCTTAACAAAATGCATCGTTAGCCCTCAAATACAGAAGCCAAGGGGAAGGGGTAATCACAAGATTGACCTCTGCCCCATAGCAGTCCGATATATAGCGAAATTATCTTCAGAAAAGGAAACTTGAACGAATCTAAGATAGATTTATCTTTTCTTCGTGAGGTCTACTTTTCCCTTCATCTTGTCGAATAGGAAGAGCAGATATTTAAGGAGGACACAGCCATTATCAGGGCAAAGAACAACAACATGATCTTAATGTTATCTAGAGGAAACTTGACTGAAGAGAGCAAAGAAAAAGGAAAACAAAAAGACCTAATCAATAGGAACCTCACATTTCTGTGCCTTGTACAAGAGGTTTCAAGTAGTTAGGTAAGAATGTCTCGATTAGGTTTATTCTTTTAACTAAATGATGTGCAGTTTACCTATCCATGTCTTTTTCACCAATAATCTTCAAAGTGAATTTCAAGGGATTTTCTTGCTTCAATTTTATTTGACTAGAAGTTGCAGAAAGGGCATGGCAGGTGGCTTCATCCCTTTGACCTCAAAGATCCAATTAGTAATTCTCCCAACCGACTACCATACATTTCTCTATAAATGCAACTAGTGAATTATGTGTGATAACAGAATGATACCATCAACTGATAAGCTTGTCTTTTCTCATAACCTTCTACAAGATAACATATCGGAATTCAGAAGAAGAATTTACATGTTAATCAACTCTTGGAGCTTAAGCCGTAAAGACGAGCGAGGTAACTTGGTGTTGTATCAGAATAATACCCTCAGCTCATAAGTTTGTCTTTTCTTTCTACAAGATAATATATTTGAATCGTAAGGAGAATTTACATGTTAATCGCCTCTTGGAGTTGTAGGGTGAAGGCACAGGAATTGATATCTAAAGTTTCCAGGCCCTAACCATTCACTCTGGCGCTCCACGAGATTTGTTTCTCAGAAGTCTTAAAAACATGTTCTTCCCTGTGCTTTGTAAACAACCAACTGGTTTACCTTAATGACGAGGTAAGATGAACCTCTCTAACAATTTTGATGATATTTATGTTTGTACAACATACCCAATTACCTATCAGATTAATTAGCTGCCCTTTTTGTTACATTTACCAATGATAATCAATTGATACACTGTACACAGTCGCAGTAATTCCAGGTACTTGACTTGTGCTGATTGCATGCAATTTTAAGTTATACTCTATTAACTCTTCAAATCCTAACATCAGTGTGCAATTTCTCTATACTGTCCTCTATACGTTTCCAAGGAGAATTTGTGTAACAATCTAGAGTTTCTTTTATTGGTGATAATTTCCTTTATTCTCCTGACCGACCGAATAGTTCGTGAACGCGGCAGACCGTTTCGGCGTTAGCCTGTCTAATTAGTCTTTGCGTTCCTCGTTTGGCCTGATCATGCATATAGCGGCGTGTTTTTTTTTTTTTTTTTTTTTTTTTTTTTTGCGTAGTGGAGAAGAACGCTGTGTGTGACAAAACTGCTGAGAAGTTATAGCCCCGCATATGTGGCGGAATATTTCGTTTCGTTTCGGCGTTAGCCTGCGTGGAAGTAATTATTCCAGGAGAGTGTTGAGTTGTTCTCCGGTCAAAATTTGCATGTACTGTTTTGCAGGTTTTGAAACATTGTAAAAACAATCGACTCTTAAACTAGTCTTTAGACTCTAAACATTATGTTGCTTCCGCTAATTTTTCTGAAACGTCAGTTACTTCCGATGAACTGAGTTTTTTTCAAGAGTCCCCTTACCAGGAAAATCAGAAAACTAAAACTATTCCAACTCCTGGGTTCAATGAAACTACGAAATGAAATATTCCGCCACGTGTGCCACACTATAACCTCCCAGCATTTTTGTCACGCACAGCGGTCTTCTCCACCACGCAAATAAACACACCACTACGTGCATGGTCAGGCCAAACGAGGCACGCAAAGACTAATTAAACCGCTCACTTTCAGTTTGTTATAAACGATTCCTTCTCCTATTTCATTTTCCATTGCATATTTTTCTTTTAATCTCTGTCGTTAATTCCTTTGCATATGTAATCGCAAGTACCTTCGCTGCGCGATTCGGGCAATTTGGGAAAAACTTTGAAAATACAAGGTGAAATTAATCCTTAATTGCCCGAGGGCACTTGCGAACACCTGTTTGTCACATAGAGAGCTCTATTTTTCGAGGGGATTGCACGTGCGAGGGGTCAATACGTCCTTCAATGTGATTGGTCACAAAAACTTAGCTGTTATGGGCTTTGTTATGTCTTCGCGGAATCAAAAATTATTATTCACAATTGTCTGTTTGTGCTCGTTGCTTGAATAATCTGTTCTTCAAGGCGATCGTGATGGAACCTCTCGTAGAAAACCTCAAGAAGCAAGTCACATGTTCAATTTGTCTCGATACTTACTCAGACCCGAAAATAATTTCGTGCTTCCACACTTTTTGTTGCAAGTGTTTGGAGGAACATGCAAGAAACACCCAAAAACAAGGCAAATTCAGTTGCCCCGAGTGTCAAGCAGATATCGAATTACCAGAAGGAAATCGCTTCGACCGTTTGCCCACCAGCTTTCACCAAAATAGTTTGGTAGGTCTCCTTGAAACGGAAGATCGCGAGGCCTTGCTCAAGCCGCCATTTTGCTCGCAACACAAGAACGAAAGACTACGATATTTCTGCTTTTCCTGCGAAGCGTGTATTTGTCCTGTTTGCTTCGCCGAAGATCACCGAGGCCATGAGTTCGACGTTATTGAAAAAGCACTACAGGAGGATAAGAAATACATCATGTTGAATGTCGACACCATCAAGGAAGAGGCAAAATTGTTTCGAGAAGAGATAAAAAAGCTTGAGAAAACCTCTGAGGATGTTGAAGTGACTATCGCAGTCGCTAAACAAGAAGTGTCTGAGGCAGCTCAACACGTGATCACAAAGATGCGACAGCAAGAAAAACAGCTCTTAGACTCCTTAGAAATGACGCGTAGAAAGAGAATAGAGCGAATTCACTCAGCAAAGCAAGAACTGGAATCGCTGGTAAAACAAATGAACCAAGCGGCTGAGTTTGCGGAAAATCTGGTGCAGAGAAGCTCAGGCTTGAATATTATACAGACCAAGACAACTTTGAAGCAGAAATTCCAAGAGCTTCGAGGAGTTGAGATTTCAAGGCATCATCTGACAACATTTGTCAAATTTACCGCAGCATCGCAACAACACTTGAAACTGGGTTTTATTCAACTCACCGAGAAACCGGCAAAAGCCGCTAAATCAACTATAGAAGGATTGGATCGAACTTTCCAGGCTGGTGTAGAAGCAGAGTTCACGCTATGTCCAAAAACAGCAGACGGAGAGATTAGTAACCAGGCTGATCTTAACGATCAAGTTGAATTCCTGATAAAACCCACCCAAGATGTCACAAACGTGACTGTTCAAGGAAGAGAAGACGGCAATCTAAAACTGAAGTTTACACCTATAGTGCCTGGCGCCTACAGCGTTGAGGTGAAGATTAATGGCGAAAAGCTTCCGACCTGTCCGTTCGCTTTACCAGTGAAAGAACGTCAACTTGTCATAGTCGGTGAATTGGACTTGAAGTTCAACCAAGGGCAGAAGCTTAAGGGACCCACCGGAATCGCCGTAAATAGGCAAGGAGACATAGTTGTTGTAGATAATCTTGGACACTGTGTTTTTGTATTCAATAAAGAAGGGAACTGTTTAAAACAAATTGGAAAAGAGGGAACAGATCCTGGACAATTCAAATGTCCCACCGGAGTGTTACTTTTAAACGACCACGAAGTTCTTGTTGCAGATGCGTTAAATAATAGAATACAACACATAAATATCCAGACAGGAACTGTTTTGAAAACCTTTGGAAAAAAAGGTGAGAGAAAAGGATACTTTATGGCTCCATGTTCTGTGCACCTCGATCACGCAGAACGTTTTGTTGTCACTGAATTGCATAACAATAGAGTTCAAGTAATGTCAAAAGAGGGCGAAGCTCTATTCACAGTAGGAGACAGCGGTCCAGAGAAACTCAGTACACCATACAGCTGCATTCATTACAAAAACATTTTCCTGGTAACTGATAGAGACAAACACTTCATAAAAGCATTCGATGCGTCAAACACTTTCCTGTACAAGTTTGGCAAAAAAGGGAATCAAGACGGACAGTTCAACGTACCCTGTGGCATGTGTTTAGACGGCTCCAATAACCTTCTCGTTTGTGACTCAAGCAATAACAGAGTTCAGCAGTTTTCTTTGGACGGTCGCTTTACGGGCAAAACTATCGTTCCTTTACTAGGTCCACGTCGAATTACAACAGCGCCAGATGGGCGTATACTAGTCTCTTGCAAAGTAGCGAAGAAAATATACATTCTGAGGTAAATGTGTTACTATTCTAAAAATCATTCAAATGCTAAATGTTGTATACCAGCGGAAACCAAAGTTGAACAAATTTTTCAGGCAAAATTTCTTCGCAAGAGGCAGAAACGCTCAACGGTGTAAATGCAGTTAGCCTCTTGGTTTCTGTAGTTGAGGGCCTCAACTGCAGAAACCAAGAGAAGGGTAAGCACAAAATTGACTACTGCCCCATAGCAGTCTGATATATAGGAAAATTATCTTCAGAAAAAGAAACTTCAACGAGTCTAGGATAGATTTAGCTATTCTTCGTTAGGTCTGCCTTTCACTTCATCTGGTCGAATAAGAAGAGCAGATGTTTCAGGAGGACACAGCTCTTATCAGGGCAAAGATCCAATTAGTAATTCTCTCCACTGACTTCCATACATTTCTCTATAAATTCAACAAGAGAATTTGATGTTACATCACAATAACACTCAGCAGCTGATAAGCTTGTATGTTCTCATAACCTGTTTGCAAGATAAAATTTTGCAATTGTAAGGAGAATTGACATGTCAACCACCTCTTGGAGTTAAAGGGTGAAGGCACTGGAATTGAGTTCTAGAGTTCCAGGGTCCTAACCATCCACTCTGTCTCCAAATGAAATTTGTTTCTCTTTACTCCCAAAATCAATTTGTTCCCAGTCCTTTGTAAACAATCAGCTGGTTTGCCTCCGATAAGTTGAACTTTCCCACAGCTTAGAAAATATTTTTATGCATGTTTATATGACATACCCATTTAGCACTCAGGTGGATTTGTTTTCCTTCTTAATTCCATTCTACCAATCATAATCAACTGATGCACTGCACATACAGGTAGTAATTCTAAGAATAAACTGTACTTTTCTTTTTTGGTAGTTTTGTAGTTTGGATGATTAACAAATAGAGAAGCCTTGTCTGTGCTCTGTTCTGTTATATAGCACGCGGGAAGCGGCTAGAGCACGAAAGAAGAGTAGGGAGAAACACTCGACTACGTCTCGTGTTTCTCCCTACTTCATGACTGGTCTAACGCTTACTAAGTGCTTTACAACAGAACAGAGCACAGTCAAAGCTTCTCTATTTGTTTTATAATAAAGAATCCATTAAATTCCCTACGCACTACTTTCAACTTTCAAAACAAACTTTATTTCTAAAGCGAACAGTGACGTCAGCATGCTCTATACTCTCATAAAGCACGCTACAATAAGCCAATCAGAATCCCTGTTAGAATAGTTCATAATAGTTCGGCAAATCGAATTTAACTGTTTCGCCTGAAGCCTTTTAGTCTCTAATACAGAATCTGAAAGTGAAAAGTTCAGTGAAATCCGGCTGAATTGTGGCTCATAAAAACGTGCAAATTTTTTCACATGACAATTAGAAAACAAACCGTTCAAGCATGTATTTTATAAATGAACGACAGCCGAATTTACCGGAATATGAAGATTGCTTGGAATAACAGCGCCGTAAAACTCGGCTGCAGTGACTGATGTGATCTTCAGCTCAACGCCACGGAAAGTATATCAGAGCACGTTCCTAGTTGTTCTCTCGAAGGACGGCCGATGTTGTTTTTGAAGCTTATTTGACTGCGATGACCGGAGGTCGCCATGATGAGCAAGCTGCGTTGGACCTCAGCATGACGCCGACATGATTAGTATTAGTTTTAACAGTTACGCCAGTTTGGCTGTATTTGGCACAACGGATTGCGTGACGACAGACAAACAAAGTTACTTGAAGAAGTTTGAAGAGATTTCTTACGTCGTCCGTTTGTACTTTTCTCCTCTTCTTTACTTGGCGAGGCATCTTTTTCTTGATTTTTTTCTTGTGGGCTTTCGTCTCCCTATTCGTCCTAGAGGATCAAAATGATAAAATTAAATCGGATTCGGACCTTTCAAAAAAAGTTTCCTTATTCATACATTCTAGAATAAAGAGTAGCGATATAAAAACATGACATTTCGGCGACGACATGTCATCATTATCAAATACAAATTCTAACAAGATAGTGAACGTTCTATATACAATAGTAAGTGACAAATTACATTAGAATAAACGAGGTGGGAATAAACAAAAGAATGGAAACACATTTTAAATCAACAGTTTCGCTGGAATGGAGTCATTTTGAGTGTTCAGAGTCGGTCTCTTTTTCCTTATCAAAAGCATCTCGTAAATAAGGCACTCAAATTTTCCGTGGCATTTCTTTAAGATGGTAAACTGCTCGTGAAGATTGGTAGGTCTTTGATTGTGTTTATCCTGTAGGTGTTTACCGATGACGGAATACTTATGCTCCTCGATGCGCAGGTGGAGGTGACGGCTCGTGTAGCCTATGTAATTCGAATCACACGAATTACATTAAAATTCATACACAACGCATTGTTGGTTTACAAGTTCATACAACCAATTTTAATGATACCTCGAACTCTTTCCACGCTTCCAGTACGATCACTCGTTCTTCTTTCTCCTCTGCATTTCTGAGAGATTTGCTGGCGCGTTCGTAAACAGTCCTGAAAAATAATATTCATAGTACAAACAAAATAGTGAAAGGTGAGGATTCGATTTCACAGATTTTTTGATAGCATTTGAGGCAGTAGAAACTATTTCAACTTAAATATTCCACCATGAATCCTCTCCTACAGGACAAATAAATTCTTCCATTGAGTTATCCGCTCTGGGGCTCTCCGCAAAGGTTCATCGGGCGTTGCGTGACTGCGGAAAAATTTTCGCGAGTCGTGAATAGGATTCGTTTCTAGGTTGTTGCGGTATTAAACGCTCAGTCATAAGTACTAGAAGATCACGACTGTAAATCAGCATCACGTTTAAATCACAGAACAATATTAGAATTTAAAGTACCCTATCAACGTCACTTCCGTTCTACATAACTGATCCATATTTTTAGGTAACCTTCAAAGAGAGGAACTTACACCACGTACGCTTGAAACAAATTTTGAGAATACGAATTTTAATAGTGAAGCATTTTCACGAAAAATGATGAATTGCGAAACTCTCGTGAAAACATAACTTCCGGTTTTAATCCAAGGTGAAAATTACAGTAATTGAGAGGACCGCTAAATACGATGCCACTTAATACAGGTTCCACAAATTTGCATATCTGTCTTATTCTTATTCAAGCTTATCCTTGTTTCGATGGCATAATAAAATTAAAGAGACCAGAAGTACTGTTACTCTTCCGAGATGGAATGGAAACACCGCGCAGCTTTTCCCTCAGCCGCCGTTTTACTAACTTGACGCCTGGAGCTGGCAACAAATAAAACAGAATATGCCGTGCGTTAAGTTAACTACACGCTTCATTGTAATACATTACCTCGGGCATATCAACGAACGGTTGGTTGACAGCCAATTCAAACAGAGCACGTGCCCTGTCAGTATCACCAAGAATGGTTTCCAGTTCGGTGTACTAAAAATAGAAAAAAGGAGAAAACAGAGCAAAGGTTTCAATAAAAGCCGACTGCCAGCGCTTCACTATCGTCGTTTTACATATCTAACACATAGTCTCTCTTGACTGCTACATTTAATAAAGATTTCGTCGGTTTAAGTTCGTTCCCTGGCTTGATCATTTATCAATATTTATGCCCTTATTTTACTAGTTTATTTGTTCATTCGTGTGGGTGCGTGGCCGGGCACGTTCTTTGGTTTCTTCATTCCCAATTCGATAACTTTCCGTTCGCAAGTTTTGTTCTGGTCAAACTCCCTCTATAGTTAATTGGAAATGTTTACGGAAAAGCACACTTATAAAACAAAAAAAAACAGCTACTTCAACAACAACAACAGAAAACACTCTCTCCTAACTTTGACCCATGTAGTACAATCTGCAGAATTAGACTCCAGGAATTTCTCGTACAACTTACGACAGCGATCAAATTCTCGAAGCTGTTAAAAGCAAAACGGATAAAAGATCTGCAAACGGTTCCCTTCTCGCCCACTTTTGAGCAAGACTACGCCCACCCGTTTCAAGTATTCATCCAGATAATGAAATCACGCATTACACTTACAAACGCCTACCGTGCTGCCTTGAGATCCTTCTGACGGATTTCAAACTGTGCATACAACAGCCACACTTTTCCGAAAGTGAACTGAAAACAAAAACAGACATTCATTGCATAATTTCGTTAAAAAGAAACTGAAACATATGTTGAAGTCCTGAATGAAATAACTGTCCTAAATGTAATAAAGTCCAATGTAATCGTTTAACTGCGCTAGTGCACTGTGTTATAGCAGACGCCACATTGAGATGTTAAAGTGACAACTGTTGCACTAAAGAATCCTCTGACCAATATTCATGGCATATTGCGGGGTCGCTGACATTAATCAGCGTCTTTTTATTTGCTTAAGACGTAGATTGAGAAGCATTGGCTACAAAACCTTATACTGATGTGCTTTTGGCATCAAATTGGTAGACCCAAACACAATGAGAACGCTGACCGGGACCAAACGTTATCACATTTAGGACTTTATTTCATTTAGGACAGTTATTACATTTAGGCCTTCAACAAACGCGACAGTCTTTCCGTGCCTCGTTTGGCCTGATCATGCACGTGACGGCGTTTTTTTTTTTGCGTAGTGGAGATGAACGCCGTGCGTGACAAAACTGCTGGGAGGTTATAGTCCCGCGTATGTGGCGGAATACAGTTAATAGTGTTACACTGCTTCATTGTGTTAAATTGCAATCAATAAATCGTTGCCGCAAACAGCAAAAATACTCAATCAAGTAATCATGCCCTTTTGATTACCAAAAGTGCCTTCGTGATTCAGAAAATAAATTGCCCCCTGTTTCAGCCAATCAGCATTCAGTAATACCTCCCCCCCCTCCCTCCTCCCCCCTTCTGTGATAACATTTAAAAGGAGCGTTGTACGGTTTCCAGGTTTCGGCGCGACTGACTAATACATAAACCAAGCACAAAATTGGGGTAAGCACCAAATTGACTTATGCCCCATGAGCATCTAGCGACTGTTTTAGATGCGATTCCGAGAACACCTTCGCAACGTGGAAAGAAATGACAAGGACGCTAGACACTTTACTCTCCCTAATCATTCAAAACAACCTATGGCAGTTTGCGGCCTTTCCCTACATCTAGGCAGTTCGGAAAGCCGCTAAACACTAGAACAAAAATTTATCTTCCAAATCGGCACCCTTAATCTCCACGGTATCAACGAGCGCTTTTCATTCAACTAATTTATTCCTGTTTTCTCGTCACTATATTCCCACAAATAGCGAAGCTGCATTTTGTGCATATAAACCCACACACGACCCACAATTCCTCCAATCGTTCTGACGAAGGGCTAACGTTCGAAACGTCAGCCTTTTTACCCTTTATGGTGGCCAATTTACGTTTTCAATTCAGTTGTAAACACTAAATTACCTAAGATAGATTTAACTATTCTCTGTGTGGTCTGCCTTTCACTTGATCTGGTCGATGAGAAGAGCAGATATTTCAGGATATAACACTGACAGATCGTTGCAAAAAGGTCTATTACATCCTTAAAAGTGATTGGTTACAAAAACTCAGCTGTCATGGACTTTGTTCTAGCTTCTCGGAATCAAAAATTATTATTCACAACTGTCTGTTTGTATTCTTCGCTTTAATAATCTGTTCTTCAAGGCGATCGTGATGGAACCTCTCGTGGAAAACCTCAAGAAACAAGTCACATGTTCAATTTGTCTCGATACTTACAAAGACCCGAAAATAATTTCGTGCTTCCACACTTTTTGTTGTAAGTGTTTGGAAGAACATGCGACAAAAACCCACAGACAAGGCAAATTCAGATGTCCCGAGTGTCAAGCGGAAATCGATTTACCAGAAGGAAATCGCTTCGACCGTTTGCCTACCAGCTTTCACCATAATAGTTTGGTAGGTCTCCTTGAAACGGAAGATCGCGAGGCCTTACTGAAGCCGCCGTTTTGCTCGCAACACAAGAACGAAAGATTACGATATTTCTGCTCTTCCTGCGAAGCGTGTATTTGTCCTGTTTGCTTCGCCGAAGATCACCGAGGCCATGAGTTTGACGTTATTGAAAAGAGAGTGCAGGAAGATAAGAAACACATCATGTTGAACGTCGACACCATCAAGGAAAAGGAAAAGTTGTTTCGAGAAGAGATTAGAAAACTTGAAAAAACCTCAGAGGATGTGGAAATGATTATCGCAATCGCTAAACAAGACGTGTCTGAAGCAGCTCAACACGTGATCATAGAGACGCGACAGCAAGAAAAACAGCTCTTAGAGTCCTTAGAAATGACGCGTAGGAAGAGAATAGAGCAAATTAACTCGGCTAAGCAAGAACTGGAATTTCTGGTAAAACAAATGAACCAGGCGGCTAAATTAGCGGAAGGCCTCGTTCAGAGATGGTCTGGCTTGCATATTGTATCCAACATGACAACTTTGAAGCAGAAATTTCAAAAGCTTTGTGGAGTTAAGATTTCAAGGCATCATCCGACAACATTTGTCAAATTTACTGCGGCATCGCAACAAGACTTGAAACTGGGTTTTATTCAACTCACGGAGAAACCGGCAAAAGCCGCTAATCGACTGTAAAAGGATTGGATCAAACTTTCCAGGCTGGTGTAGAAGTAGAGTTAACGTTGTGTCCAAAAACTGCAGAGGGAGAGATTTGTAACCAGGCCGATTTTCACGATCAAGTTGAATTGCTGTTAAAACCTGCCGTTGATGTCACAAACGTGACTGTTCAAGAAAAAGGAGACGGCAATCTTAGGCTGAAGTTTACACCTAAAGTGCCTGGCGCCTACAGCGTTGAGGTGAAGATTAATGGCGAAAAGCTTCCGACCTGTCCGTTCACTTTGCCAGTGAAAGAACGTCAACTTGTCGTAGTCGGTGAATTTGACTTGAAGTTCAACCAAGGGCAGGAGTTCAAGGGACCAAGTGGAATCGCCGTTAACAGGCAAGGCGACATAGCTGTTGCAGATTATTACGGACACTGTGTTTTCGTATTCAATAAAGATGGGAACTGTTTACAACAAATTGGAAAAGAAGGAACAGATCCTGGACAATTCAAAAATCCAAATGGGGTGTCATTTTTAAACAACAACGAAATTCTTATTGCAGATCAATCAAATAACAGAATACAACACATAAATATCCAGACAGGAACTGTTGTAAAAACCTTTGGAAAAGAAGGTGAGGGAAAAGGACACTTTAAGACTCCACTTAGTATTTGCTTTGACGATACAGAACGAATTGTTGTCACTGAATTCAAAAACAATAGAGTTCAAGTAATGTCAAAAGAGGGCGAAGCTCTATTCACAATAGGAGACAATGGTCCAGAGAAACTCAGCACACCATACGGCTGCGTTCCTTACAAAAACATTTTCCTGGTAACTGAAAGAGACAATCACGTCATGAAAGCATTTGATGCGTCAAACACTTTCCTGTACAAGTTTGGCGAAAAAGGGAATCAAGATGGACAGTTCGACGCGCCCCGTGGCATGTGTTTAGACGGCTCTAATAACCTTCTTGTTTGTGACTCAAACAATAACAGAGTTCAGCAATTTTCTTTGGACGGTCGCTTTACAGGCAAAACTACCGTTCCTTTACAAGGTCCAAGTCGAATTGTAACAGCGCCAGATGGGCGTATACTAGTCTCTTGCAAAAAAGCAAGTAAAATACACATTCTGAGGTAAATCTGTTACAATTCTATGAATCATTCACATGCTGTATGCCCGCGGAAACCTAAGTCGAATACTTTCTTTTTTAAAGCAAAATTTTTTCACAAATGGCAAACACTCAACGGTGTAAATGTATTGTTAGCCCTTAGGGGGAGGGTAAGCACAAAATTGACTAATGGCCCACAAGCAGTCAGATATATAGGAAAATTATCTTCAGAAAAGGAGACTTAACGAGTCTAAGATAGATTTAACCAGTCTTGTTGTGGTCTGCCTTTCACTTCATCTGGTCGAATGAGAAGAGCAGATATTTCAGGAGGACACAGCTCTTATCAGGACAAAGAACTACCAGGTGGTCTAATGTAATCTGGGGAAAACTTCAAGAAAAAAAAAAGAGAAAAAGAGACAATTAATATTAATTAAATAATTATTAATATCAAATAATTATTAATATCAAATAATTATTATTTATTAATTATTAATTAATAATATCAAACTTCTGTGCCTTGTACAAGGGGTTTCAAATAGTTAGGTAAAAAGGTTTTCATTGGGTATATTTATCACCTCTTGAGTTAAAGGGTGAAGGCACTGGAATTGATATCCAGAGTTCCCCGGTCCTAACCATCCACTCTGCCTCCAAATAAGATTTATTTCTCTTTAGTCCCAAGGAAATTTTGTTCCTGGAGCATTGTAAACAACCAACTGGTTTGCCTTCTATTGGTTGAACTTTTGAACAACTTAATGTATAATATTCAATATAAGCATGTTTATATGACTTACCCATTTAGCACTCAGGTGGATTTGTTTTCCTTCTTAATTCCATTTTACCAATCATAATCAATTGATGCACTGTACATACAGGTGGTAATTCTGAGAATAAACTGTTTTTCATTTCCTGGTAGTTCTGTAGTTTGGATGAATAAAAATATGTTAAATATACTCATTGTATGAAATTTTCAGTCACACTCTATTCAGGGCTCATTACCAAATTAGTCTTGAGCCTCTATGAATCTTCAAAAACTTTGCTCATATTTTCAATTGAGACTATCAATGTACAAAAATATTTGATCATTCAGGAACTTTTTCATCCAGGCTTAGAAAACAAGGGAATCAAGATAGAGACCTCAACAGATCCAATAGCATGAATTAGGTCAGCTTCAAAATTATTTTTGTTTGAGACCATTGCAATGACCCTTCGACCCCAATAGAGTGACTAGCATCTAATTAACCCCCCCCCCCTTCCACATCAAATATTAAGGTCAAGACAATAAAGGAAATGATCACCAACTTGAGAAGCTCTTGATTGTTAATTAAAAATTCTCCCTATCAACACCTTAAGAAATGCATATAGAGCAGTATGGACAATATGCATACCAATGCTAGCTTTAAAGGGATAACAGAGCTCTATCAGCAATTTTCCAAGAAAAAAAATTAAACATTTAATTTCTTTATGAGGTTTACTTTAAATGGCAACAGATCTAGACGTGCATATATGTTTCATTAGCAGCGTAACTGGGAAATTATACATGCATGCTCTGGAGTACGTGATTTCAAGTTCAACTCTTAAGTTTCCAATCACTCCATAAAAAGCCAGCCAAGGGTAAACATAATTAATTTTCACCCCGCGAAAGTTTTCAACCAAAGTAATTCATTCAAAATCCCTTACCCTGATAAACAATTTACCGATCAAAAATTACCTTCGACATGTAAATAAAAATTTTCTCAGAAACAGGTGAAAATTTTTATCATTGCATTTTCGAATTATGCTCATTTTTAATCATCTTTTTCAACTTTCTACTTATGGTGACTGCAATGGGCAAAACTACTGTTAGCAGTGGTAAAGAAAAGGAGGTTATGACCACCAGGTATATCCACCTGAATGTGCTGTGAACCTTCCCCCTTTTGACTTTAACCCTTTAACTCCCAAGATCTTCATTTTATTCTCCCCTCTAGCTGCTACACATAGTCGTGTGAATTTGTTGTTAGATCAAGATATCAACTTCTACCTGATAAGGTTGAGTATTCTCATTACCTGTTGGCAAGTTAATGTGAGGATAATGTAAAGAGAAGTTTCATGTTAATCACTTCTGGGAGTTAAAGGGCCAAGGGGTTAAAGCAGTGGTTGTTAAGGATATCGAACAAAAGAACAGCCTTTTTTTTTTTTATTAGATCAATTGTCAATTACTTTGTGTGCCTAGTTACGATCGTAGTTACAATGTTTATCTTTTCCCTATTGGTTTGTAATCGGATCTTTTAGCGTCACCACGCGCATATAAAAGCTAAGTTAGCGTCCCTATAAGCCAGAGTTTCGCAAGATTTCGCCTTGAACAGCAGTACCTTCGTTCTTTCGTTCCAAACCTTTGGCACAAGCGGGACCGATATGTAAGTGATTTTGTTAGTTTTATTTCAATATGTTTAAGTTTAGTTTTTCACCTTGGGCGATAGCGCACATATGTACTGTGTTGTACAACAGTACAACTAATTATCTTGAAATCAAAGGAGTATTTTGAAATAACTAGACGCTCACACAGTAAAGCCCACATTTTAGTCTTTGGGCTGTTAATCAGCCGCAAATGGTCATCGTGTAGCCGATCTTTGAATCTCGAGTAGTTTTAATTTAGCCTTTTATGATTTGTTTATGTTTATTCACGTTAATTGTTGTTATTTTAATCGCGTTATCGACATAGGCACGTAAAGCGTTTCTTTCATGCCTTTCGCACCAATTCAAGTAGATTCATGCATTCGTTATAATATTATTGCAATTTCAGTTTACGATCGTGATCGTGATCTAAATAAACACCGTTGATAGTCATCTTGGTTTTCGTGGTTTCACTACGACCGGTAAAATAGTCCCCACATCAGCGACACTTAGAAAACACGCATAGCGACACCCCTCGAAGTTTCCTCTTTCGTCGCAAGCGTCACAGTGGTAATTAGAACAGAAATTCTCCTTCTGACAATATGTCAATGTTTTCTGTGGACATGTGCTAAAAATTAGGATTTCATCAGCTGGGAGACTTGTATTCTTAAATGGAAGAACAAAAAATTCTCAGGGAACCTGCATGTACACAGATATACATGTATAAGCTCAAACATGTATTACCATACATAATTTTCCTTAAAATATGTAGTTTTCTGATGATAGGAAGCAGTAAAATTTTTTTTGTTAAATATAACAGTGTGTAGGTTAAGAATTACATTGAATGCCAATATATGAAGCTGCCACCAGTCTCATTTACATTAATTAGTGGGTTCTTTTTTTGTGTTTGCAAAAAAAGGAGAGGCTAATTTTAAGCCATCTTGACAGAACAAGCTTGGTCGATGACAGATTTAAAAAAGTATCTTATGGCAAAAAAATTTAACCGAAAAACTGCGAGGAGACTGGGTACATACTGAGAAATTTACTAGGGCTAGGTGAATAAGCTCTTTGTATACTTGTTCCTATGGGAGGCGGTAAATGTTTTTGTTTTGTTTCTGCTTGTATACATAACTTATGTAACAAAATTTTCCACAAGATTACTGCTAAAAACCAAGAAAGAGGCTGAGCCTCAAAGTCTGATTAGAAAACAGTGAGTGGTAAACTGTATCAGTAACTTAATGATAATTTATGATAATCATTTTTTTTTTCAGAGGCCAGGTAATAGATTTGTCATTCTGTTTTGGATTAAGCGTTGGATCACTTTCAAATATTTATAGAAATAGTGGCTATTCAGTTTTTAAAGAAGCAGAACTTAATAAGATTCTTTTCCACACCGTCAATGGTTCAAAACACAAGCATAACTTTTTAGCGGTGGTATTTGCAGAAATATAAATTTAAATGTTATCATTAATGAGTATGCATATTTCATATTTGAGCACTTTATAATGGCTGTTATGACAACAAAAACCCAATAATAGGTACCTTAATAATTTATCTTTGACAAATTTAGGTTTCTACGAAATCAGAGCTTAATGATAGCCAATTTTAGAATTGTTTTCAGAACTTGGTTTCCAAGATAATGAAATAGGTTGTGATGTCAGCTTGCAAGGAAAAGGAACATTCTAATATTGAAAAATCAAGTTGGTGATTTTATTGTCAAGTGTTTTTCTTAGACTTGCATCAACACTTTTTTAAAAGGAAATAACTTATTTAACAAAAAATTAATGGCTTGGGTCTCTAAACAATTAAGTAATATATAAATGCACAAGTCTTGTCTGTTTGATTTTGTCACTAGTGCTCAGTCTTCACACCGTTACTACTTATGACGTCACGGACTCATGAGGTCGCATTTATGCCACCTACACTTCCCTCTCTAATACTCCTACCCCACCCCACCCCCCTCCCTTTTCAAACTACAAAACCACTCCTTTAAGACTGACCTCAACACTTTACAGTGAACAGATTGAAGTTTTATTCTATTGTCTGGTAAACATTCTGCACACAATTAGTGATATTTATATGAAAACGAAAAAAACCAACAACAACTACGAAAATAATTATTCCATTTGTTGTTGGTTCTTTTTCCAAAGCCTGGCCATCTGGAGCAGTTTAAAGTTTGGCATGTTGGCTTCATCGTCAGGAAAGATGTAATCATAGTATTCTTCCCATCCAGCGTCTGACTGCAAGGAAAAATAATTTTAATGGTGTTTCAAATCTCCAAAGAAAAACATAAAATCTAACAAAGAGAAAAGAAAATTGCAGTGAGGCTAAAATACTATACACGCGGCTACGAATTACCTCTGATAACAGCCACATTTGGAACAAATTCGTAAGAAAACTGAAAACAGAATCGATATGTCACGCGACATTTTGGCTTAGGCAACGGATTGCGTGACGACAGACAATCAAAGTTACTTGAAGAAGTTTGAAGAGATTTCTTACTCCGTCGTCCGTTTGTACTTTTCTCCTCTTCTTTACTCGGCGAGGCATCTTTTTCTTTATTTTTTCTTGTGAGCTTTCGTCTCCATATTCGTCCTAAAGGATCAAATTAATAAAATTAAATTGGATTCGACCTTTCAAAAAAGTTTCCTTATTCATACAACCAATTTTAATAATACCTCGAACTCTTTCCACGCTTCCAGTACCATCACTCGTTCTTCTTTCTCCTCTGCGTTTCTGAGAGACTTGCTGGCGCGTTCGTAAACAATCCTGAAAAATAATATTTAGAGCACATTCAAGATAGAGAAAGATGATTCACGTCTAAGAGGATTCGATTTCACAGATTTTTTGATAGCATTTGAAGCAGTAGAACTATTTCAACTTAAATATTCCATCATGAATCCTCTCCTACAGAACAAATAAATTCTTTCATTGAGTTGTTTGCTCTGGGGCTCTCCGCAAAGGTTCGTCGGGCGTTGCGTGACTTTAGGCTTTCCTCTTATGAATTATTACCGTAACGGTCTCGATCTAGAATATAGTATAGCCTTTTTACATACCTTGCTTGTATGATGCTTTCATCAGTTGCTGTAGAGGCCTCGAACTGTGCAAAACTAATCCAAACCTTTGAAGAGAACATTTCAGGAAAATCAAGGTAAGCGAATACAAGGAAACATGGCTGTAAATTTGCTTCGACATGTTCGCGGTTAATTAATTAATATCATGATGAAATTAACGACAAAGTACACTTGCAAGGCACTAAAAACAATCATACACGAATAGAAGGACATAATAGAAATAATTACTCATGTACAGGAGATTCAACAAAATAGCAGAGATATAATTTTTTAGGGAAAAACAATTAAAAAATACAACCTTGACGTGTTGCGTTCGTTTTAGTAGCCTCTCATACAGATCTCGTGTTTTGTCGTACTCTTCCAAGTTTATCTCAAAATCTATGTAAGCTTTCCACAAAACCTGAGAACAACGAAAACTACTGTTATTTACTTGTTGCTAGATGTTAACATAATATAACAACTTGAACAATTTAAAGAGGGGAAAACAAAGGAAAAATTTCGTGAAAGCTGAGTAAAAACATAAGCACTAGACGATCACGACTGTAAATTAGCCTCACGTTTAAATCACAGGACAATATTAGAATTTAAAGTACCCTATAAACGTCACTTCCGTTCTGCATAGCTGATTCCATATTTTTACATAACCTTCAAAGAGAGGAACTTACACCGCGTACTCGTGCTTGAAACAAATTTTGAGAATACGAATTTTAATAGTCGAAAGGAAGTGAAGCATTTTCACGAAAAATGATGAACCATTAACTTCTCATGAAAACATAACTTCCGATTTTAATCCAAGGTGAAAATTACAGTAATTAAGGGGAGACTATTCCGGACTTTGACAACCGACCGCTAAATACGATGCCGCTTAATACAGGTTCCACAAATTTGCATATCTGTCGAAGCTCATTCTAGTTTCGAGAGCACAATTAGAGACCAAAAGTATTGTTACTCTTCCGAGATGGAATGGAACCCCGCGCAGCTTTTCCCACAGCAGAAAAAAACAGAATATGCCGTGCGTTGAGTTAAATACACCCTTCATTGCAATACATTACCTCGGGCATATCAAGCAAAGGTTGGTTAACAGCCAATTCAAACAGCGCACGTGCCCTGTCAGTATCACCAAGAATGGTTTCCAGTTCGGCGTACTAAAAATAGAAAAAAGGAGAAAACAGAGCAAAGGTTTCAATAACAGCCGACTACCAGCGGTTCACTATCGTCGATATCTCACTGCCTCGATCGAAAAGTGCTCTATTTGCAAGTTAACCCTTTCACTCCCATAGGGTGATCAACGTGTAACTTCTCCCTATAACATGAACACATTATCTAGCAAACTCAAACTTATCAGATAGCAGTCTACATCTTGATCTAACACCCAATTCTCCCAAAGAATTTACGAGGAAATGTGTCGCAGCTAAAGGGGAGAATTGACTATTTTATCTTGGGAGTTAAAGGGTTAATCTGTTACCTCTCCCGAACTATTCACGGTACTTTTCCTTCTTCACATATCTTACACATAGTCTCTCTTGACTGCCGCACATTTAATAAAGATATCGTCGATTTAATTTCGTTCCCTAACTTGTTCATTGCGAACCTTAAGCTAACCCCAACATCGACAGCAACGAGGAAGTGGAAAAACAAAAGATCTAATGAGCAGAACAATAGCTCAGCTCGTGCGATTTAAAATTTGTACATTTCTTAGCCTTCCTCTGCAAAACAACGACGTGAAATCACCAAAATTTGCGTGGTCTGAGAAAGGAAACTCCGACGGCAAATTATTTAAAATTCCATTTTGAACTCAACACTGCTTACATAAGTTATGCCGAAGTAAAGATGTAGTGCCGTAAGAGACAATAAACACGTCCAGCCATTTGCAAAATCTTAACTAAAAAGATAAATTCATCTCTTGATCGACGTCTCCTTCAGCGTTGCCGTCCTAACCGCCTAAGGTCCCTGTTTGTTAATATTCATGCCCTAATTTTATTTGTTTTGTTTTTTTTCATTCGTGTGGGCGCGCGACTGGACATTCCTTCGATCCAGGCCTGCCTTCGATCGTTTGTTCTTACGTTTGTTTAATCAAACGTTTCTTAGTTTCTCATTCCCAATTCGAAAACCTTCCGTCTGTTTTCAAGTTTTGTTTTTGTCAAAAACAGTTTTGACAAAGTTTGTTAATTGCAAGTGTTTACAGAAAAGCACACCTATGAAACAATAATAAAAAACAACTACTATAAAAACATAAAACATTCTCTCCTAACCTTGACCCATGTGGTACAATTTGCAGGATTAAACTCCAGGAATTTCTCGTACAACTTACGACAGCGATCAAATTCTCGAAGCTGTTAAAAGCAAAACGGACAATGAGGCAGAATTTGCATCACAAAGGGTAACTAGAGACACCGTCACGGAGTCGCAATTCGTGTCAGCTAAAAAAGTAACCAATATTTCTAAGAAACACAAAAAGTCGAGAAAAAATACGAATTGAAATGGTTCAGGAGTGGAAGGAGGAAGGCTTAGAAAATCACTTCGATAAAGATTTTTAGATTAAGGTCTCAACTCCTTGGAGTTCCTTTTCATAATCCTTCTACTCACCTGTAACTCGAGACCGATGTATTCTCGGAAGAGTCGGTCTTTGGGACATTTCCCGATCGCTGTGCCCTGTGACGAACACAAATAATACATTAGCAGAGCGTATGTGAGGCCCAATGGACTGGACTGGTGGTTCGGAAAGCTGGAACACGGATTGAAAGTTCCTGACCAGGCCACTTTTTATGTTGTTGGATGGGGCCAGGAGAAAACGATGTCCCATTGTTTATGTCTTGATGAGACATAGTACCTCCCTCCATCTCCCTCCATTCAGTAGGCCTTAACCCTTTAACTCTCGTGAGTGACCAAGACAGAATTTCTCCTCGCTATTTCTATACAATATTATGCAGAAAAGTGACGAGAATAAAGAAAAATATCAATTATGGGATTACTAATTGATCCGATACCAAATTCTCCAAAATAACATAATGAGAATCATTTGGCAGACAGTAAGGAGAATTACTAATGAGATCTTAGGAGTTAAGGGGTTAAATAAGTACAGGCGAGGATCCACAGAAAACTGGAGGGGGAGGGGGGGTTGGAAGCCTACGATGAACTACCACATATCCAGGAAGAGTATCACTATTCATAGTATCTTCATTCTAAGAAATCCGCGATTATCTTCGCCGATGTAAACCATTAATTTCGTGGGAAGAGTCGTGGAACTCTAGCGCGCTAATGGATTAGGCAGATCGTGATTTTGTGTTCACAACAAATCTTTACATCTCTACCAGCCAAGCTCGTTTTCGTTGGCATCAAGCCATCTAAAGTATTGTCCACTGCAGTCAACTTTGCACCAAGCACCCTCGTAAGGTTTTCCCAAACAGTTCGCCGATACCCAATCATACCTCTTGGTTCAGAGAGGCATTGTGAAAGTAACTGTCTTGCAGAAGAACACTTTAAAATGAATCGGGACGAAACAAGAATCAACACAATCTGATCTGCAAACGGTTCCCTTCTCACCCACTTTTGAGCAAGACTGCGCCCGCCCGCCCTATTCATCCAGATAATGAAATCACCCATGACACTCACCAACGCCTGCCGTGCTGCCTTGAGATCCTTCTGACGGATTTCAAACTGTGCATACAATAGCCAGACTTTACCGAAAGTGAACTGGAAATGAAAAAATAAAAAACAGACATTCACTGCTTAATCTCGTTAAAAAGAAACCGAAATATATCCAAAACCTTGCTTATCCTTTTAAGAACAAATTAAAGACACCAAAATAACACTTAAATGGAAAAGCAAAGTTTCCAACAACATGAAAAAATCCTAGTTTAAGTTTTACTCTGTCAAGCCGTATGAAGGGAACATTGGGAACATTGGGAACATTTTCTTGATACAACAATAAATTCCTATGGATACCCAGCAAAGAAATGATTGGTTATTAGTTGGGAGAATTAGGGTTTCAGAAATAATCAGACAGAGTAGGGAGCGTTGTAATGTTCAAGCAGTAGTATAGTACAGGATATAACAACCGCTACGCACCGCAAATAAGGTAGTTCTCAAAAGTTGTTTACCTTCTTGTGTGGTATAAGATCCAAACATGCACGATACACCTGTCTTGTGCGGTCCATGTCCTGTAACAACAAGAATCAGACGGATACAAGAAAACTTTAAGTTTTCAATGTGGAATAAAATTTACCTCTGCACTTTGGAGAAGCATTGGCACAAATTTCTAATAGTTCACTTGCTAAACTCTGGAACTAGAGGTGTGTGTTCGACCCTTCATTGTGTTCCGTTCATAAGCATTAAACTTTAATTTTGTAGTGCTTCTTTTCACCCAGGGGTACAAGTCCGAGTGAGTACTAGTGAACTGCCATGAAAACCTAAGGAAATGCTCAGGGAGGGGAGAGGGGTAAAAACAAACCTGAGGAGTAGGGTGAACTAAGATGGACTAGCTTTCCATGGAAGGATATTGACAAAACCGCTCTAATCCACCTTAGGTAACAAAACCCGGATTAAGATGAAGAACTTATACGAGTCAGTTTCTTCTGCAGACTTGATCTACATCTGCGTAGGCCAACAGCTGCAAAAATAGAACAAACCTTGGCCAGAAGTTCTTCATACAGCGCATAGTTGATCCACAGGTAAATGTATCGTCTCCATAAACGCTTTTCCTCGGCGGGTGGAATATTGGCGATGGCTCTTTCGTAAACTTCTCTCACTGCATCGGGATCTGCCTCACTTTCCATCAGACGTAGGTAATCAAACCACGCGTCGTAATTATTCGGATTTGTTTTCACCTCCTGGTGAATAAAACGAAAAATAGAAGGTTAAATGTACTAGTTGTATATGCTAGGTTTGACACGACGTAAAATGAAGCTGTATGCTACGGGCTTTCCCTTTAACACTTTTCTCTGGCAGTGTGGATGAAAAATTGTGATACGTTTTTCCTTGACAAATCGCCCGGCTCAACTAACTGAAATATCTGAAATTTTTTCCCTTGTCCCTTCACAGATTTAAATCCCCGCCCAGAGCACGAAAGACATAGGAGTCTCAACGGAAAATTTAACGGTCGCACATGTAAGGGACTGTGGGTAGTGATTTGTATTCCTTTTCTTTCGCACGAGATCGCTCGAGCGCGCTCGCTTCGCGTTTTCTCGCCTAACAATTGCTATATCGAAAAAAGGCAAGACAGCTAAGGAAAGATTCGCTTCCTGCTTGAATAGATAACTTGACGAGGTGGCTTGCCAAAGAGAACCTCTAAAAGGACAAAGTCAAAACGAATTGCTACAAAGGCACTTGAATAATTTCGGCTGATCCCCTGAAGTTAAACAATGCGTGACCTTGTTTCTTCTCACACGGAATTAGCAACAAACATCACACACTGCTTCTGTTTTTCTTTTCTTTTTGTTTTTTCCATCAGCTCCCCAAAAATATAGAAACAATCATCCATGTTAAAAAACATTTTCATGATATTTTTTAATTTTACTACACAGACAGTTACGGAAGGAAGATACAAGTTTCCTTGAGGACAATTGTTGAAAACGAATTCTCAAGTCGAGAAGAATATCACTTTAAGGTTTAAAAAAGTCAGCCAAAACAAAGAGTTTGATTGGTCAGTGGCAATCAGTCGATACGGACTTTGTTCTGTTTTCATGGAAACCTAAAAATGATATCTGCTTTCAAGCCATTGTATTATGAGTCTCCTGACAGTCTAGTTTGATTCGCTTTGAAGATGGAGTCTCTTTTGAAAGATCTCAAGAAGCAAGTTACTTGCTCAATCTGTCTTGATACTTACACCGAACCTAAAACTATATCATGTCTTCACACGTTTTGTTGCAAGTGTTTAGAGAAGCATGCGATAATGAGCCAGAGGCAAGGAAAATTCCGATGCCCGGAGTGTCACGCGGAAATCGATTTACCAAAAGGAAACCGCTTCGACCCTTTGCCCATCAGTTTTTTCCAAAAGAGTTTGACGAGTCTCCTCGCCGTTCGACAACGTGGTGATGCAAGTAGCATTGCTTGTTCCCATTGCAGAAAAACCAACTCTCAGATGTACTATTGCTTTGATTGCGGACGATTCATGTGCCTGGATTGTTTCAATGCGCATCAACTGCTGATTGCAACGTTTGAGGGGCACAAAGTCACGCCAGTTGAGGACTTTAAAGAAGAGGATTACGAAGCACTACTGAAGCGACAGCCATTTTGCTCACAACAGTTCCACGAGAAAGAAGTCACACGGTTCTTTTGCTCGCAGTGTCAAGTTTGCATTTGTCCAATCTGCATTGTCACGGATCATCAAAACCACATCGCCGTTTTGTTCGACAAAGCAGCACACGACGAAAAAGAAAACATCATGTCTGGTGCTAAGATCATCAAGGAAAAAGAAACTCAACTTTGTCAAGTCATCAAGGAGTTCGAAGAAACGATTTCTGAGCTTGATAGAAATTTCACAACAGCCAAGCGAGAAGTCTCACGAACAGCCCAACAAATGATAGCAAACATTCGACAGCGCGAGCGAGAAGCGATTGTATCCCTGGAAACAACACGCATGTCGAGACTTGAGAAGATTAACGCGGCTAAACAGGAAGTAAAATCCCTAGTAAAACAAATCAGCCAAGCAGCTGAGTTTGCGGAGAATCTGGTGCAGAGAAGCTCAAGCTCGGATATAATGCAGAACAAAGAAGCTTTGAGGCAGAAATTTCAAGAGCTTCGTGGCGTTGAAGTTCCAAAACATCACCAGACTACATTTGCCAAATTTAACGCGGCATCCCAACAAGACTTGAAACTGGGTTTTATTCAACTCGCAGCTGAATCAATTGTAAAAGGACTGGACCAAACTTTCCAAGCTGGTATGGAAGTAGAGTTTACCTTGTGTCCAAACACATCAGAAGGAGAGATTAGTAACCAGGCCGACCTTAACGATCAAGTTGAATTGCTAATAAAACCCACCGAAGATGTCACAAACGTGACTGTTCACGAAAAAGGAGACGGAAATCTTACGGTGAAGTTTACACCTAAAGTGCCTGGCGCCTACAGCGTTGAGGTGAAGATTAATGGCGAAAAGCTTTCTACCTCTCCGTTCCCTTTGGCAGTGAAAGAACGTCAACTTGTCGTAGTTGGTGAGTTGAAATTGAAGTTAAACCAAGGGCAGGAGTTCAAGCGACAAACTGGAATCACTGTAAACACGCAAGGCGACATAGCTGTTGTAGATAATCTTGGACACTGTGTTTTTGTATTCAATAAAGAAGGGAACTGTTCAAAACAAATTGGAAAAGAAGGAACACATCCTGGACAATTTAAATATCCATATGATGTGTTATTTTTAAACAAAAACGAATTACTAATTGCAGATCAAGTAAATAATAGAATCCAACATATAAATATCCAGACAGGATCTGTTGTAAAAACCTTTGGAAAAAAAGGTGGGGGAAAAGGACACTTCAAGAATCCACTTCGTATTCGCCTTGATGATACAGAACGTATTGTTGTCAGTGAATTCTCTAACAATAGAGTTCAAGTAATGTCAAAAGAGGGCGAAGCTCTATTCACAATAGGAGACAGTGGTCCAGAGAAACTCAGCACACCATGCAGCTGCGTCCCTTACAAAAACATTTTCCTGGTAACTGAAAGAGACAATCACGTCATAAAAGCATTTGATGCGTCAAACACTTTCCTGTACAAGTTTGGCGAAAAAGGCAATCAAGACGGACAGTTCAACTCACCCCGTGGCATGTGTTTAGACGGCCCTAATAACCTTCTTGTTTGTGACTATTTCAATAACAGAGTTCAGCAATTTTCTTTGGACGGTCGCTTTACGGGCAAAACTACCGTTCCTTTACAAAGTCCATTTCAAATTATAACAGCGCCAGATGGGCGTATACTAGTCACAAGCCTTGTAGCTAAGAAAATATATATACTGAAGTGAATGTGTTACTATTCTACGAATCATTCAATGCTGCATGTATGCCAGCAGAAACTAAAGTCGAATCATTCATATTTTAAAGCAAATTTCTTACACAAACAGTCTTTAGAGAACAATCTGTCGACAACGACCTTTTCTACAAAAACTTGTTCTAGCAACAATTTTATCAACAAAAATGTTACGGGTTCACAGGATTAAATGCATATCTCAACAAATTGTTTGATAATAAAAGCATATTTCAAAGAAGCGTCGCCTGTACGTAGACTGCTCAAAACTTGTAAATTTAGTACTTCACGAGTGTGGAACAATCTTTAAGACCGAATCTGACAGTAGACAGAAAATTGATGAAAAAACAAGGGGAAGAGGGAAAGAAGCTTTAAACACATTTATAAGAACAATGAAGGGCGATAATATCGTTAAATGATGAGAGTCTCTCAAGCACGTTTAGCGCTTTTCAACCTTGCTTATCTAAATCTCTCCTCGCCATAAGGCCCCGAAGTTTTCCTTTCAGTAACAAGCCATGAATTATTTGCTATTTCATTAACAATAAAACTCAAACAACGGATTTTCTAACAATAAAGCTTTCAGACAGATAGATATTTACTTTTAAAAACGCACGAGATAATCAGTTTAACGTTACAGAAAGGTCAACTAAGCCAAACAAAAGTGACAAGACAAAAATAGATCAGCTCACACGGACTTTGTGTTGTTTTCTAGGAATCGGAAACAAAGGCTGTTTGTTCCAATATTTTTAAAGCATTTTCTGTTCTTAGAGAAAACCACCGGCAAAATTGTTTACACGAACGGTACATCGATGACAGTTTAAGACTAAGACGTACACTCTAACCGCACAGGACATATCTGTTGTCTTGTTGTGAAGCGATTGTGTTGTATGATTTGTATGATCGTCGGGGTGAGGGTAGACCCAAAAACGACTGTTGCTCGTGAACGCGACAGACCGTTTTGGCGTTAGCCTATCCAATTAGTCTTTGAGCGCTCTGCGTGACAAAACTGCTGGAAAGTTATAGTCCTGCATATGTGGCTGAATACAGTTAATAACGTTACACTGCTTCATTCAGTTGAATTCCAATCATTAAACCGTTGTCGCAAACATCAAAAAGGCTCAATCAGCATTAAGTAATCATGCCCTATTGATTACCAAAAAATCCCTCGTGATTGATAAAAAATGTCATCAGTCTCAGCAAATCAGCTTTCAGAAATTTTGTGATAATATTTAAAAGGAGCCTTCCACGGTTTCAAGGTTTCAGCACGACCGACTAAGTCTATTCATTTTACACGAGGAAACAACACTGACATAACGTTACAAAAAAGGTCAACTACGTCCTTGAATGTGATTGGCCGCAAAAACTTAGCTGTCAAGGACTTTGTGCTGTTTTCTCGGAGTTAAAAATTAAATCTTTGATTGCACAATTGTCTGTTTGTATTCGTCGCTTGAATAATCTGTTCTTCAAGGCGATCGTGATGGAACCTCTCGTGGAAAACCTCAAGAAACAAGTCACATGTTCAATTTGTCTCGATACTTACAAAGACCCCAAAATATTATCGTGCTTCCACACTTTTTGTTGCAAGTGTTTGGAGGAACATGCAACAAAAACCCACAGACAAGGCAAATTCAGATGCCCCGAGTGTCAGGCGGAAATCAATCTACCAGAAGGTAATCGCTTCGACCGTTTACCCACCAGCTTTCACCAAAATAGTTTGGTAGGTCTTCTTGAAACGGAAGATCGCGAGGCCTTGCTGAGGCCGCCATTTTGCTCGCAACACAAGAACGAAAGACTACGATATTTCTGCTCTTCCTGTGAAGCGTGTATTTGTCCTGTTTGCTTCGCCGAAGATCACCGATGCCATGAGTTCGACGTTATTGAAAAGGCAGTGCAGGAGCATAGGAAATACATCATGTCGAACGTCGACACCATCAAGAAAAAGGTAAACTTGTTTCGAGAAGAGATAGAAAAACTTGAGAAAACCTCTGAGGATGTGGAAATGATTATCGCAATCGCTAAACAAGACGTGTCTGAGGCAGCTCAACACGTGATCACAAAGACGCGACAGCAAGAAAAACAGCTTTTAGAGTCCTTAGAAATGACGCGTAGAAAGAGAATAGAGCAAATTAACTCGGCTAAACAAGAACTGGAATCGCTGGTAAAACAAATACACCAAGAGGCTGAGTTTGCGGAAAATCTCGTGCAGAGAAGCCCAGTCTGGGATATTATAAAGACCAAGACAACTTTGAAGGAGAAATTTCAAGAGCTTCGTGGAGTTGAGGTTTCAAGGCATCATCCAACAACATTTGTCAAATTTACCGTGGCATCGCAACAAGACTTGAAACTGGGTTTTATTCAACTCACCGAGAAACCGGCAAAAGCAGCTACATCAACTGTAGAAGGACTGGATCAAACTTTCCAGGCTGGTGTAGAAGCAGAGTTTACGTTATGTCTAAAAACAGCAGAGGGAGAGATTTGTAACCAGGCCGATCTAAACGATCAAGTTGAATTGCTGATAAAACCCACCAAAGATGTTACAAACGAAAGTGTTGAAGAAAAAGGAGACGGCAATCTTAAGCTGAAATTTACACCTATAGTGCCTGGCCCCTACAACGTTGAGGTGAAGATTAATGGCGAAGAGCTTTCCACCTCTCCGTTCACGTTGGCAGTGAAACAACGTCAACTTGTCGTGGTCGGTGAATTGGACTTGAAGTTCAACAAAGGACAGGGGTTCGAGGGACCCACTGGAATCGCTGTAAACAGGCAAGGCGACATAGCTGTTGTAGATACTCTTGGACACTGTGTTTTTGTATTCAATAAAGATGGGAACTGTTTAAAACAATTTGGAAAAGAGGGAGCAGATCCTGGACAATTCCAATATCCAGCTGGAGTGTTATTTTTAAACAACAACGAAATTCTTATTGCAGATCAATTCAATAATAGAATTCAACATATAAATATCCAGACAGGAACTGTTGTAAAAACCTTTGGAAAAAAAGGTGAGGGAAAAGGACACTTTAATACTCCACTTAGTATTTGCCTTGACGATACAGAACGTATTGTTGTCACTGAATACGTAAACAATAGAGTTCAAGTAATGTCAAAAGAGGGCGAAGCTCTATTCACAATAGGAGACAGTGGTCCAGAGAAACTCAGCAAACCGAACACCTGCATTCCTTACAAAAACATTTTCCTGGTAATTGAAAGAGACAATCACGTCATAAAAGCATTTGATGCGTCAAACACTTTCCTGTACAAGTTTGGCGAAAAAGGGAATCAAGACGGACAGTTCAACAAACCCTGTGGCATGTGTTTAGACGGCTCTGATAACTTTCTTGTTTGTGACTCACGCAATAACAGAGTTCAGCAATTTTCTTTGGACGGTCGCTTTACAGGCAAAACTACCGTTCCTCTAAAAGATCCACATCGAGTTGTAACAGCGCCAGATGGGCGTATACTAGTCAGAAGCCGTACAGCTAAGAAAATATACATTCTGAGGTAAATGTGTTATAATTCTATGAATCATTCAAATGCTGTATGCCAGTGAAAACTTAAGTCGAATCATTCAATTTTTTTGAGCAAAATTTCTTCGCAAGCAGCAGAAACACTCAACGGTGTCGATGCATCGTTAGCCCTCAAATACAGAAGCCAGGGGGAAGGGGATTAGCGCAAAATTGACTAACACCCCAAGAGCAGTCAGATACATAGGAAAATTATATTCAGAAAAGGAAACTTAAACGAGTCTAGGATATATTTAGCTTTTCTTCATGTGGTGTGCCTTTTACTTCATTCTTTCGAATAAGAAGAGCAGATATTTCAGGAAGACACAGCCCTTGTCAGGGCAAAGAACTAACATGTGGTCTAATGTAATCTGGACAAAACTTCACTGAATAGAGCAAAAATAAAAACCAAAAGAAAAAGACATAATCAATGGGACCTCAATTTTCTGTGCCTTGTACAAGGGGTTTCAGATAGTTAGGTAAAAGTGTTTCAATTAGGTATATTCTTTTAAATGAATGATGTACAGTTTAGCTATATATGTCTTTTTCACCAATCATTTCCAAAATGAATTTAAGGAGATTTTCTCGCTCCAATGTTATTTAATTGCAAGTTGCAGAAAGGGCATGGCCAAGCGGCTTCACCTTTTGAATTCAAAGATCCAATTAGTAATTCTTCCCACTGACTACCATACATTTCTCTATAAATCCGACAAGAGAATTTGGTATTACATCAGAATAACACCCACCAGCTGATAAGCTTGTATGTTCTCATAACCTGTTTGCAAGATAACATTTTGCAATTGCAAGGAGAATTCACATGTTAATCACCTCTAGGAGTTAATGAGTGAAGGCACTGGAATTGAAATCTAGAGTTCCCAGGTCCTAACCATCCACTTTGCCTCCAAATGAGATTTGTTTGTCTTTACTCCCAAGATCCATTTGTTGCCAGTCCCTTTTGAACAACCAGCTGGTTTGCGTCTGATAAGTTGAAATTTCTCACAACTTAGATAATAAATATGCATGTTTATATATATACTCATTTAGCACTCAGGTGGATTAGTTTTCCTTCTTAATTCCATTTTACCAATCCTAACCCATTGATGCACCGTACGTACAGGTAGTAATTCTAAGAGTAAACTGTACTTCATTTATTGGGTAGTTTTGTAGTTTGGATGAATAAAAATATTTTAAATACTTGACTTGTACTCATTGTATGCAATTTTCAGTCACACTCTATTCAGGGCTCATAACCAAATTAATCTTCAGCCAATATGAATCTTCAAAAACTTTGCTCATATTTTCCATTGACACAATCACTGTATAAAAATATTTGATCATTCAGGAACTTTTTCATCTAAGTTTGGAAAACAAGGGAATCAAGATAGACACTTCAACAGATCCAATCGCATGAATTTGGTCAGCTCCAAAAATAATTTTGTCTGAGACCATTGCAATGACCCTTCAAACCCTAAGAGTGACCAGTATCTAATTACCCCCTTCCCCCTTCTCCCCCCCGAATCAAATATTAAGGTCACAACAATTAAGGAGGGGATCACCAACTAGAGAAGCTCTTGATTGTTAAATAGTCTCCTTGTCAATACCCTAAGAAATGCATAGAGAACAGTAAAGACAATATGCATACCGATGCTAGTATTAAAGGGATAACAGAGATCTGTCAGCAAATTAGTTTGGACGTCACGAACTCATGAAGTCACATTTGTGCCCCTTACACCTCCCCCTCTGATACTTCTACCCCATCCCCACCCCCACCCCTTGTCAAACTACAAACCACTCCTTTAGGACTGACCTCAACACTTTACAGTGAACAGATTGAAGTTTTATTCTATTGTTTGGTAAACATTCTGCACACAATTAGTGATATTCATACGACAGCAAAAAAAAACAGTAGCCACAACAACAACAACAAATAATTATTCCATTTTTTCTTGGTTCTTTTTCCAAAGCCTAGCCATCTGGAGCAGTTTAAAGTTAGGCATGTTGGCTTCATCGTCAGGAAAGATGTAATCATAGTATTCTTCCCATCCAGCGTCTGACTGCAAGGAAAAATATTTTTAATAGTCTTTCAAAACAACGTAAGATCTAACAAAGAGAAAAGAAAATTGCAGTGAGGCTAAAATATTATACACGCAGCTACGAATTATCTCTGATAACAGCCACATTTGGAACAAAATCGTAAGCAAATTGAAAACAGAATCGATATGTCACGCGACATTTTGGCTTAGGCAACGGATTGCGTGACGACAGACAATCAAAGTTACTTGAAGAAGTTTGAAGAGATTTCTTACTCCGTCGTCCGTTTGTACTTTTCTCCTCTTCTTTACTCGGCGAGGCATCTTTTTCTTTATTTTTTCTAGTGAGCTTTCGTCTCCATATTCGTCCTAGAGGATCAAAATGATAAAATTAAATCGGATTCGACCTTTCAAAAAAAGTTTCCTTATTCATACAACCAATTTTAATAATACCTCGAACTCTTTCCAGGCTTCCAGTACCATCACTCGTTCTTCTTTCTCCTCTGCGTTTCTGAGAGATTTGCTGGCGCGTTCGTAAACAGTCCTGAAAAATAATATTTATAGTACAAACAAAATAGAGAAAGGTGAGGATTCCATTTCACAGATTTTTTGATAGCATTTAAAGCAATAGAACTATTTCAACTTAAATATTCCATCATGAATCCTCTCCTACAGGACAAATAAATCTTCCATTGGGTAGTCCACTCTGGGGCTCTCCGCAAAGGTTCATCGGGCGTTGCGTGACCGTAGGCTTTCCTCCTATGAACTTTTTACACACCTTGCTTGTATGATGTTTTCATCGGTTGCTGTAGAGGCCTCGAACTGTGCAAAACTAATCCAAACCTATAAAGTGAATACAGGGAAACGTGGCTGCAAATTTGCTTCGACATGTGGCGGTTAATTAACATCATGATGAAATTAACGACACAGTACACTTTTGCGAGGCACTAAAAACAATCATACACGAATAGAAGGACATAATGGAAATATCTGCTCTTGTACAAGAGATTCAACAAAATCGCAGAGATATAATTTAGGGAAAAATAATTTAAAAATACTACCTTGACGTGTTGCGTTCGTTTTAGTAGCCTCTCATACAGATCTCGTGTTTTGTCGTACTCTTCCAAGTTTATCTCAAAATCTATGTAAGCTTTCCACAAAACCTGAGAACAACAAAAACTACAATTATTCACTTGTTGCTGCTAATCAGACTCACAGAAATGAGTAACACTGTTAGTATTTTAGTTAGTAGTTAGTACTCTGTCAACGTCACTTCCGTTCTGCGAGAGTGATTCTCTATTTCTACATAACCTTCAAAAAGAGGAACTTACACCGCGTACTCGTGCTTGAAACAAATTTTAAGAATACGAATGTTAATAGTCGAAAGGAAGTGAAGCATTTTCACTAAAAATGATGAACTACTAACTTCTCGTGAAAACATAACTTCCGGTTTTAATGCAAGGTGAAAATTACAGTAATTAAGGGGAGACTAATTCGGGACTTTGACAACCCACCGCTAAATATGATGCCGCTTAATAGAGGTTCCACAAATTTGCATATCCGTCGAAGTTTATTCAAGTTTCGAGAGCATAATGAGAGACCAAAAGTATTGTTACTCTTCCGAGATGGAATGGAAACACCGCGCAGCTTTCCCCACAGCAGAAAAAACAGAATATGCCGTGCGTTGAGTTAAATACACCCTTCATTGCAATACATTACCTCGGGCATATCAAGCAAAGGTTGGTTAACAGCCAATTCAAACAGCGCACGTGCCCTGTCAGTATCGCCAAGAATGGTTTCCAGTTCAGCGTACTAAAAACAGAAAAAAGGAGAAAACAGAGCAAAGGTTTCAATAACAGCCGACTACCAGCGGTTCACTATCGTCGATCTCTCATTGCCTCGATCGAAAAGTGCTCTATTTGCAAGTTAACCCTTTCACTCCCATTGGGTGCTCAACGTGTAACTTCTCCCTATAATATGAATACATTATCTAGCAAATTCAAACTTATCAGGTAGAAGTCTATATCTTGATCTAACACACAATTCTCCCAACTAATTTACGAGGAAATGTGTTGCAGCTAAAGGAGAGAATTGACAATCTTATCTTGGGATTTTAAGGGTTAATCTATTGTCTTAAACGAATTATTATTCCACGGTACTTCACCTCTTTTACATATCTTACACATTGTCTTCCTTGACTGCCAAATTTAATAAAGAAGTCGTCAATTTAATTTCGTTCCATAGCTTGATCATTGAGGACGTTAAGCTAACCCCAGCCTCGACAGCAATGAGGATGTGGAAAAACAAAAGATCTAATGAGCAGAACAATAGCTCAGCCAAATTCAAAACTGTGATCATTTATCAGCCTTCCTTAGGTCCTGGTTAAGGTCCCTGTTTGTTAGTATTCATGCCCTTATAAAACAGTAAAAAAACAACTACTTCAACAACAACAACAGAAAACACACTCTCCTAACCTTGACCCATGTGGTACAATTTGCAGGATTAAACTCCAGGAATTTCTCGTACAACTTACGACAGCGATCAAATTCTCGAAGCTGTTAAAAGCAAACGGACAAAGAGGCAGAATTTGCATCACAAAGGGTAACTAGAGACACCGTCACGGAGTCGCAATTCGTGTCAGCTAAAAAAGTAACCAATATTTCTAACAAACACAAAAAGTCGAGAAAAAATACGAATTGAAATGGTTAAGGAGTGGAAGGGGGAAGGCTTAGAAAATCACTTCGATAAAGATTTTTAGATTAAGGTCTCAACTCCTTAGAGTTCCTTTTCATAATCTTTCTACTCACCTGTAACTCGAGACCGATGTATTCTCGGAAGAGTCGGTCTTTGGGACATTTCCCGATCGCTGTGCCCTGTGACGAACACAAATAATACATTAGCAGAGCGTGTGTGAGACTCAATGGACTGGACTGGCAGTTCGGGAAGCTGGAACACGGATTGAAAGTTCCAGACCAGGCCACTTTTTATGTTGTTGGATGGGGCCAGGAGAAAACGATGTCCCATTGTTTATGTCTTGATGAGACATAGTACCTCCCTCCATCTCCCTCCATTCAGTAGGCCTCAACCCTTTAACTCTCGTGAGTGACCAAGACAGAATTTTTCCTCGCTATTTCTTTACAATATTATGCAGACAAGTGACGAGAATAAAGAAAAATATCAATTATGGGATTGCTAATTGATCCGATACCAAATTCTCCAAAATAAAATAATGAGAATCATTGGCAGACAGTAAGGAGAATTACTAATGAGATTTTAGAAGTTAAGGGGTTAAATAGGTACAGGCGAGGATCCACAGAAAATTGGAGGGGGGGGAGGTTGGAAGCCTACGATGAACTACCACATATCCAGGAGGAGTAACGCTACTCATAGTAACTTCATTCTAAGAAATCTGCGATTATCTTCGTCGATGTAAACCACTAATTTCGTGGGAAGAGTCGTGGAACTCTAGTGCGCTAATGGATTAGGCGGATCGTGAGTTTGCGTTCACAACAAATCTTTGCATTTCTACCAGCCAAGATCGTTTTCGTTGGCATCAAGCCATCTAAAGTATTGTCCACTGCAGTCAACTTTGCACCAAGCACCCTCGTAAGGTTTTCCCAAACAGTTCGCCGATACCCAATCATACCTCTTGGTTCAGAGAGGCATTGTGAAAGTAACTGTCTTGCAGAAGAACACTTTAAAATAAATAGGGACGAAACAAGAATCAACACAATCTGATCTGCAAACGGTTCCCTTCTCACCCACTTTTGAGCAAGACTGCGCCCGCCCGCCCTATTCATCCAGATAATGAAATCACCCATGACACTCACCAACGCCTGCCGTGCTGCCTTGAGATCCTTCTGACGGATTTCAAACTGTGCATACAATAGCCAGACTTTACCGAAAGTGAACTGGAAATGAAAAAATAAAAAACAGACATTCACTGCTTATTCTCGTTAAAAAGAAACCGAAATATATCCAAAACCTTGCTTATCCTTTTAAGAACAAATTAAAGACACCAAAATAATACTTAAATGGAAAAGCAAAGTTTCCAACAACATGAAAAAATCCTAGTTTAAGTTTTACTCTGTCAAGCCGTATGAAGACGTAAAGGGATTATAGACTTGGGAACATTGTCCTGATACAACAATAAATTCCTATGGATACCCAACAAAGAAATGATTGGTTATTAGTTGGGAGAATTAGGGTTTCAGAAATAATTAGACAGAGTAGGGAACGTTGTAATGTTCAAGCAGTAGTATAGTACAGGATATAACAACCGCTACGCACCGCAAATAAGGTAGTTCTCAACAGTTGTTTACCTTCTTGTGTGGTATAAGATCCAAACATGCACGATACACCTGTCTTGTGCGGTCCATGTCCTGTAACAACAAGAATCAGACGGACATAAGAAAACTTTAAGTTTTCAATGCGGAATATATTTTACCTCTGCACTTTGGAGAAGCGTTGGCACAAATTTCTAATAGTTCACTTGCTAAACTCTGGAACTAGAGGTCTGTGTTCGACCCTTCATTGTGTTTCGTTCATAAGCATGAAACTTTAATTTTGTAGTGCTTCTTTTCACCCAGGGGTACAAGTCCGAGTGAGTACTAGTGAACTGCCATGAAAACCTAAGGAAATGCTCAGGGAGGGGAGGGGGGTAAAAAAAAACCTGGGGAGTAGGGTGAACTAAGATGGACTAGCTTTCCATGGAAGGATATTGACAAAACTCTAATCCACCTTAGGTAACAAAACACGGGTTAAGATGAAGAACTTATACGAGTTAGTTTCTTCTGCAGACTTGATCTACATCTGCGTAGGCCAACAGCTGCAAAAATAGAACAAACCTTGGCCAGAAGTTCTTCGTACAGCGCATAGTTGATCCACAGGTAAATGTATCGTCTCCATAAACACTTCTCCTCGGCGGGTGGAATATTGGCGATGGCTCTTTCGTAAACTTCTCTCACTGCATCGGGATCTGCCTCACTTTCCATCAGACGAAGGTAATCAAACCACGCGTCGTAATTATTCGGATTTGTTTTCACCTCCTGGTGAATAAAACGAAAAATAGAAGATTTAATGTACTAGTTGTATATGCTAGGTTTGACATGACCTAAAATGAAGCTGCATGCTACAGGCTTTCCCTTTAACACTTTTCTCTGGCAGTGTGGAGGAAAAATTGTGATACGTTTTTCCTTGACATATCGCCCGGCTCAACTAACTGAAATACCGGTTATTTAAAAAAGAGACTTTTGAACGAAAATGAGTTTAAGACGAATTTTTTTCCCTTGTCCCTTCACAGATTTAAATCCCCGCCCAGAGCACGAAAGACATAGGAGCCTTACCGGAAAATTTAACGATCGCGCATGCAAGGGACTGTGGGTAGTGATTTGTATTCCTTTTCTCTAGCACGGGGTGGCTCAAGCGTGCTCGCTTCGCGTTTCCTCGCCCTACTATTGCTATATCGAAAAAAGGCAAGACAGCTAAGGAAAGATTAGCTTCTTGCTTGAATAGATAACTTGACGAGGTGACTTGCCAAAGAGAACCTCTAAAAGGACGAAGTCAAAACGAATTGCTACAAAGGCACTTGAATAATTTCGGCTGAACGCCTGAAGTTAAACAATGCGTGACCTTGTTCCTTCTCGCACGGAATTTGCAACAAACATCACACACTGCTTCTTTTTTTCTTTTCTTTTTGTTTTTTTCCATCAGCCCCCAAAACTATAGAAACAATCATCCATGTTAAAAAACATTTTCATGATATTTTTTAATTTTACTAAGTTTAATTTTACTAAGTCCTTTCCTGTGAAGTGACAAATTAACTTCACCTGAAAGCATTCTAAGGAAAAAAATGAGGTAAGAGAGGAAAACATAAAAAGTCGAAACCAAAGAATGAGCAAGTATAAGGCAGAGTCCAAATGAAGATCCTCAAAAGTTGGGAGGAAATTTTTCACAAATTGCCAAACCGTGACTTTCAGAAGAATATCACTTTAGGGTTTAAAAAGGTCAGCCAAAACAAAGAGTTTGATTGGTCAGTGGCAATCAGTCGATACGGACTTTGTTCTGTTTTCATGGAAACCTAAAAATTGTATTAAGAGTCTCCTGACAGTCTACTTTGATTCGCTTTGAAGATGGAGTCTCTTTTGAAAGATCTCAAGAAGCAAGTTACTTGCTCAATCTGTCTTGATACTTACACCGAACCTAAAACTATTTCATGTCTTCACACGTTTTGTTGCAAGTGTTTAGAGAAGCATGCGATAATGAGCCAGAGGCAAGGAAAATTCCGATGCCCGGAGTGTCACGCGGAAATCGATTTACCAGAAGGAAACCGCTTCGACCATTTGCCCATCAGTTTTTTCCACAAAAGTTTGTCGAGTCTCCTCGCCGTTCGACAAAGTGGTAATGCAAGTAGCATTGCTTGTTCCCATTGCAGAAAAACCAACTCTCAGATGTACTATTGCTTTGATTGCGGACGATTCATGTGCCTGGATTGTTTCAATGCGCATCAACTGCTGATTGCAACGTTTGAGGGACACAAAGTCACGCCAGTTGAAGACTTTAAAGAAGAGGATTACGAAGCACTACTGAAGCGACAGCCATTTTGCCCACAACAGTTCCACGAGAAAGAAGTCACACGGTTCTTTTGCTCGCAGTGTCAAGTTTGCATTTGTCCAATCTGCATTGTCACGGATCATCAAAACTACATCGCCGTTTTGTTCGACAAAGCAGCACACGACGAAAAAGAAAACATCATGTCTGGCGCTAAGATCATCAAGGAAAAAGAAACCCAACTTTGTCAAGTCATCAAGGAGTTCGAAGAAACGATTTCTGAGCTTGATAGAAATTTCGCAACAGCCAAGCGAGAAGTCTCGCGAACAGCCGAACAAATGATAGCAAACATTCGACAGCGCGAGCGAGAAGCGATTGTATCCCTGGAAACAACACGCATGTCGAGACTTGAGAAGATTAACGCGGCTAAACAGGAAGTAAAATCCTTAGTAAAACAAATAAGCCAAGCAGCTGAGTTTGCGGAGAATCTGGTGCAGAGAAGCTCAAGCTCGGATATAATGCTGAACAAAGAAGCTTTGAGGCAGAAATTTCAAGAGCTTCGTGGGGTTGAAGTTCCAAAACATCACCAGACTACATTTGCCAAATTTAACGCGGCATCCCAACAAGACTTGAAACTGGGTTTTATTCAACTCGCAGCTGAATCAATTGTAAAAGGACTGGACCGAACTTTCCAAGCTGGTGTAGAAGCAGAGTTTACCTTGTGTCCAAACACATCAGAAGGAGATATTAGTAACCAGGCCGACCTTAACGATCAAGTTGAATTGCTAATAAAACCCACCGAAGATGTCACAAACGTGACTGTTCACGAAAAAGGAGACGGAAATCTTACGGTGAAGTTTACACCTAAAGTGCCTGGCGCCTACAGCGTTGAGGTGAAGATTAATGGCGAAAAGCTTTCTACCTCTCCGTTCCCTTTGGCAGTGAAAGAACGTCAACTTGTCGTAGTTGGTGAGTTGGACTTGAAGTTCAACCAAGGGCAGGAGTTCAAGCGACAAACTGGAATCGCTGTAAACACGCAAGGCGACATAGCTGTTGTAGATAATCTTGGACACTGTGTTTTTGTATTCAATAAAGAAGGGAACTGTTCAAAACAAATTGGAAAAGAAGGAACACATCCTGGACAATTTAAATATCCATATGATGTGTTATTTTTAAACAACAACGAATTACTAATTGCAGATCAAGCAAATAATAGAATCCAACATATAAATATCCAGACAGGATCTGTTGTAAAAACCTTTGGAAAAAAAGGTGAGGGAAAAGGACACTTCAAGAATCCACTTCGTATTCGCCTTGATGATACAGACCGTATTGTAGTCAGTGAATTCTCTAACAACAGAGTTCAAGTAATGTCAAAAAAGGGCGAAGCTCTATTCACAATAGGAGACAGTGGTCCAGAGAAACTCAGCACACCATACAGCTGCGTCCCTTACAAAAACATTTTCCTGGTAACTGAAAGAGACAATCACGTCATAAAAGCATTTGATCCGTCAAACACTTTCCTGTACAAGTTTGGCGAAAAAGGGAATCAAGATGGACAGTTCAACTCACCCCGTGGCATGTGTTTAGACGGCCCTAATAACCTTCTTGTTTGTGACTATTTCAATAACAGAGTTCAGCAATTTTCTTTGGACGGTCACTTTACGGGCAAAACTACCGTTCCTTTACAAAGTCCATTTCAAATTATAACAGCGCCAGATGGGCGTATACTAGTCACAAGCCTTGTAGCTAAGAAAATATATATACTGAAGTGAATGTGTTACTATTCTACGAATCATTCAATGCTGCATGTATGCCAGCAGACACTAAAGTCGAATCATTCATATTTTAAAGCAAATTTCTTACACAAACAGTCTTTAGAGAACAACCTGTCGACAACGACCTTTTCTACAAAAACTTGTTCTAGCAACAATTTAGCAACAAAAATGTTACGGGTTCACAGGATTAAATGCATATCTCAACAAATTGTTTGATAATGAAAGCATATTTCAAAGAAGCGTCGCCTGTACGTAGACTGCTCAAAATTTGTAAATTTAGTCCTTCACGAGTGTGGAACAATCTTTAAGACCGAATCTGACAGTAGACAGAAAATTGATGAAAAAACAAGGGGAAGAGGGAAAGAAGCTTTAAACACATTTATAAGAACAATGAAGGGCGATAATATCGTTAAATGATGAGAGTCTCTCAAGCACGTTTAGAGCTTTTCAACCTTGCTTATCTAAATCTCTCCTCGCCATAAGGCCCCGAAGTTTTCCTTTCAGTAACAAGCCATGAATTATTTGCTATTTCATTAAAAATAAAACTCAAACAACGGATTTTCTAACAATAAAGCTTTCAGACAGATAGATATTTACTTTTAAAAACGCACGAGATAATCAGTTTAACGTTACAAAAAGGTCAACTAAGCCAAACAAAAGTGACAAGACAAAAATAGATCAGCTCACACGGACTTTGTGTTGTTTTCTAGGAATCGGAAACAAAGGCTGTTTGTTCCAATATTTTTAAAGCATTTTCTGTTCTTAGAGAAAACCACCGGCAAAATTGTTTACACGAACGGTACATCGATGACAGTTTAAGACTAAGACGTACACTCTAACCGCACAGGACATATCTGTTGTCTTGTTGTGAATCGATTGTGTTGTATGATTTGTATGATCGTCGGGGTGAGGGTAGACCCAAAAACGACTGTTGCTCGTGAACGCGACAGACCGTTTTGGCGTTAGCCTATCCAATTAGTCTTTGAGCGCTCTGCGTGACAAAACTGCTGGAAAGTTATAGTCCTGCATATGTGGCTGAATACAGTTAATAACGTTACACTGCTTCATTCAGTTGAATTCCAATCATTAAACCGTTGCCGCAAACATAAAAAAGGCTCAATCAGCATTAAGTAATCATGCCCTATTGATTACCAAAAAATCCCTCGTGATTGATAAAAAATGTCATCAGTCTCAGCAAATCAGCTTTCAGAAATTTTGTGATAATATTTAAAAGGAGCCTTCCACGGTTTCAAGGTTTCAGCACGACCGACTAAGTCTATTCATTTTACACGAGGAAACAACACTGACATAACGTTACAAAAAGGTCAACTACGTCCTTGAATGTGATTGGCCGCAAAAAAACTTAGCTGTCAAGGACTTTGTGCTGTTTTCTCGGAGTTAAAAATTAAATCTTTGATTGCACAATTGTCTGTTTGTATTCGTCGCTTGAATAATCTGTTCTTCAAGGCGATCGTGATGGAACCTCTCGTGGAAAACCTCAAGAAACAAGTCACATGTTCAATTTGTCTCGATACTTACAAAGACCCCAAAATATTATCGTGCTTCCACACTTTTTTGTTGCAAGTGTTTGGAGGAACATGCAACAAAACCCACAGACAAGGCAAATTCAGATGCCCCGAGTGTCAGGCGGAAATCAATCTACCAGAAGGTAATCGCTTCGACCGTTTACCCACCAGCTTTCACCAAAATAGTTTGGTAGGTCTTCTTGAAACGGAAGATCGCGAGGCCTTGCTGAGGCCGCCATTTTGCTCGCAACACAAGAACGAAAGACTACGATATTTCTGCTCTTCCTGTGAAGCGTGTATTTGTCCTGTTTGCTTCGCCGAAGATCACCGATGCCATGAGTTCGACGTTATTGAAAAGGCAGTGCAGGAGCATAGGAAATACATCATGTCGAACGTCGACACCATCAAGAAAAAGGTAGACTTGTTTCGAGAAGAGATAGAAAAACTTGAGAAAACCTCTGAGGATGTGGAAATGATTATCGCAATCGCTAAACAAGACGTGTCTGAGGCAGCTCAACACGTGATCACAAAGACGCGACAGCAAGAAAAACAGCTCTTAGACTCCTTAGAAATGACGCGTAGAAAGAGAATAGAGAAAATTAACTCGGCTAAACAAGAACTGGAATCGCTGGTAAAACAAATACACCAAGCGGCTCAGTTTGTGGAAAATCTCGTGCAGAGAAGCCCAGTCTGGGATATTATAAAGACCAAGACAACTTTGAAGGAGAAATTTCAAGAGCTTCGTGGAGTTGAGGTTTCAAGGCATCATCCAACAACATTTGTCAAATTTACCGTGGCATCGCAACAAGACTTGAAACTGGGTTTTATTCAACTCACCGAGAAACCGGCAAAAGCAGCTACATCAACTGTAGAAGGACTGGATCAAACTTTCCAGGCTGGTGTAGAAGCAGAGTTTACGTTATGTCTAAAAACAGCAGAGGGAGAGATTTGTAACCAGGCCGATCTTAACGATCAAGTTGAATTGCTGATAAAACCCACCAAAGATGTTACAAACGAAAGTGTTGAAGAAAAAGGAGACGGCAATCTTAAGCTGAAATTTACACCTATGGTGCCTGGCCCCTACAGCGTTGAGGTGAAGATTAATGGCGAAAAGCTTTCTACCTCTCCGTTCACGTTGGCAGTGAAACAACGTCAACTTGTCGTGGTCGGTGAATTGGACTTGAAGTTCAACAAAGGGCAGGGGTTCAAAGGACCCACTGGAATCGCTGTAAACAGGCAAGGCGACATAGCTGTTGTAGATAATCTTAGACACTGTGTTTTTGTATTCAATAAAGATGGGATCTGTTTAAAACAAATTGGAAAAGAAGGAGCAGATCCTGGACAATTCAAATATCCAGCTGGAGTGTTATTTTTAAACAACAACGAAATTCTTATTGCAGATAAATCAAATAATAGAATCCAACATATAAATATCCAGACAGGATCTGTTGTAAAAACCTTTGGAAAAAAAGGTGAGGGAAAAGGACACTTTAATACTCCACTTAGTATTTGCCTTGACGATACAGAACGTATTGTTGTCAGTGAATTCTCTAACAATAGAGTTCAAGTAATGTCGAAAGAGGGCGAAGCTCTATTCACAATAGGAGACAGTGGTCCAGAGAATCTCAGCACACCAAGCAGCTGCATTCCTTACAAAAACATTTTCCTGGTAACTGAAAGAGACAATCACGTCATAAAAGCATTCGATTCGTCAAACACTTTCCTGTACAAGTTTGGCGAAAAAGGCAATCAAGACGGACAGTTCAACTCGCCCTGTGGCATGTGTTTAGACAGCTCTAATAACCTTCTTGTTTGTGACTATTTCAATGACAGAGTTCAGCAATTTTCTTTAGACGGCCGCTTTAAAGGCAAAACTACCTTTCCTCTACAAGGTCCACTTCAAATTATAACGGCGCCAGATGGGCGTATGCTAGTCACAAGCCGTAAAGCTAAGAAAATATACATACTGAAGTGAATGTGTTTCTATTCTACAAATCATTCAAATGCTGTATGTAAGCGAAAACTAAAATCGAATCATTTTTAAGAAGAAATTTCTTCACAAATGGCAGAAACATTCAACGGTTTAAATGCATCTTTAGCCTTAAAATAGAGAAACTAAGGGGAGGGGGTAAGCACAAAATTGGCCCATGACCAAGATTTTAGTCACGTGCTAGGCAACGTATAATCAATAACAAGATAGAATTTCATTTCAGGCCTATTTATCAATTTTGTGGTGTAAAACTTTCGCATTTTAGTACGTAATATGTATTTTGAATCTTCAAATTATCTTGAAACTTAAAAGAAAATTGTTCTTTAAAAATTCACTGAAAATCGGTAGCTAAAATTGTTTGTTTAGGTGTTATTTGATTTTCGTGATAACTTGTAATTTCGTCAGTCGCCGGCATCTTTTGTTGTTTCACACAGGAAAAACACATGATACGAAACGTAGTGATCGATATTCTCCTCAATCTCACGCCATAACAGAAAAAGCTTTTGAACATCTGTAAACTCCGAGCGCTTCGCAGTAAGTGATATTTTCAATGAATCTTCGGATTGCTTTCAAGTTCAAGGATTGTAAATTACAATTTTATGAAAAACGAAGGTTGTTCTGTTATTTCAGTATGAATCCTTGCATGCCTGCCAATCGCTGGCGCCGCTTGTTGAAACTAAAACGAAAAAAAAAAACTATTTTAAGATTATCATTGGCTTCTTTTTCACCCCACCACTATTCCTAGCAACAAAGGTCGCCATTTCGTTTGTTTATTGCTCGCCAAAAACTACCAAAAGCCTAAAATCGAAAAAAAGTTTACAGGAATCGACCAATCGAGCGAGCGAGTGCTATTCCCCACAGCGTATCTACAACTCGCTCTTGCGCATGCGCGCAATTCACGAGTTAAAAAGGGAGGTTTAGAAAACCACTGCGCTCAACCATTTCCCTGTCTGATATGCTGGCTGTGTACAACTGTCCAATAAACGAGAAGGACCCCTTGGGTGAAATTTCTTCTAATCCCTTCTAAGAGGTATGGTGTTTATAAGAACTAAACAGTTCACTAGTTAAAAGAAGACTACTTGGAATTCCGCTGCGAATCTCTGTGCACTCAATGATCACTCTTATTGAAGGGTACTTAGCCTTGAAATCCTTTGGCATTGTCTCATCAACAAGTTTTCTGGATGGCCAAATATTTAGCTGGCCAAGTTTTAAGTACATGAAGTTGATCCATGTAATAAAAATTCGACTGACAGTCGACTGAGGAATTTGAAATAAGTTGGCAAGATGTTGTTCAGCTAAACATTGTCTGAGTCTACAAATTGTGAGAAAAAACTCATCTAACGGTTGTAAGAATCTTGTCCTTCCCTGCTTTCATAATTTCTCATTACTACTATTAGACTAGACAGTCTTTTTACCAGATAACCAATAATTGATATTTTCTCCATTGGTACCAGGGTCCAGGAATTCAAATAAAGCCATCATCGTTTAGAAGTTTGGAAAAACAGTGTAAAATGTTAGAAGTGAAGTGTTTGTTTTGATATTTTCAAGTGAAAGCAGTGTTACGCATGTCTCATTTAGATCACAGCATTTTTCTTCCAAGAACGAAACCTCTTCCTCCAATTTCTTGTTCTTGGATAACAATACAGCAATCTGGTCCTCTAGTTCAAAAATTTTGGTATCTTTCACGGATTGACGCTCGGGGAAATAAGAATCTGGTTCTGTCACTGGAGGTTGTAAATCGGTCGTTGTTGTCGATGAAAATGAAGATAATGGAATTACGATAGAAGTTCCAACAGTTTCTAGACTTCCTTCCTGCAGCTTCTCAATCAAAATTTATTTCCTATTTGTCAAATGAGGAGTAGGTGGAGGTCGTTTTCGTGAAGAACTTCGTTTCCACGCAAAAATTGAGGGTACTACTCCCGGTTTTTAAGACACCTCGTGCGTTAGAGTAGTCTTGAAAACTTCAGCCTTAAAATGCCTTGAGAAAACCTGGGTGGAATTTGATATAGAGAAATTCTTCCCAAAATCCCTTGTTATTACGTGAATCCACTGTTTTCTCAGGTTTTCTTTCCGAGTTCTTATTCACAAGAAAAGACTTCTTACGAGGTTTCAAAACTCCAAAACTTTCATATAGTCTCCCAGATATTCTACCATGAACAATAATAAACAAAAGAACGCCAATATTCTGAGTTTGAAGTACCGTGAAAAGCTTCTCGATATAAAGTTGCCCTTTCGTTGAGAGGCTTTTTCGACCTCGTTTTCATGTGTTCCGAGAGGACGCCATTTATGAATTCGGTGTGTGAGCAGTCAGACATATAAGAAAATTATATCTTTCGAAAAGGAAACTTGAACTAGTTTAAGATATAGATTTTACTTTTCTTCGTGAGGTCTGCCTTTCACTTCATCTGGTCGAATAAGAAAAGCAGATACTTCAGAAAGACAGCCCTTATCAGGGCAAAGAACTACCACATGGTCTAATGTAATCTAAAGAAAACTTCGCTGAAGAGAGAAAAAGCAACAGAAATAGAGACACGATCAATAGGAACCTCACATTTCTGTGCCTTCTACAAGGGGTTTCAAGTAGTTAGGAAAAAATGTTTCAAGGACCAAATGGCTTCTCCCTTTGACTTAAAAGATCCAATTAGTATATCTCCTCACTAATTGTCATACATTTCTCTATAAATCCGAAAAGAGAATTTGGTGTTACATCAGAATAACACCCACCAGCTGATAAGCTTGTCTTTTCTCGTAACCTCTCTACAAGACAACATTTTGGAATCATAAGGAGAATTTATATTTCAATCATCTCTTGGATTTTAAGGGTGAAGGCTCTGGAATCGAGATCTAAAGTACCCAGGTCCTAAGCATCCACTCTGGCGTTCCATGATACTTATTTCTCAGAAGTCTTAAAAAACAACTTCTTGCCTGTGTTCTGTAAACAACCGACTAGTTTGCCTTGCGGACTAAATAAGATGAACTTTCCAACAATTTTGATGATATTTATGTCTATAAAACATATCAAACTAGCGATAAGGTTCATTTGTTGTCCTTTTTGTTCCATCTACCAATCATAATAAATTGATACACTGTACATTCAGTCTCAATAAAGCTTGGAAGCAAAGGTATTTCATTTTTTTGCTTTGGTAGATGGTTAGTTTAGGTGAATAACAATATGTTAAATACTTGACTTCTACTCATTGCATGCAATTTTAAGTTAAACTCCATTAACCCTTAAAAACCTAACATCAGTGTGCAATTTCTCTATACTCTTCTCTATAAGTTTCCTAAGGTGCTGCCATGGAGAATTTGTTTAACAATCTAGAGTTTCTTTCATTGGTGATCATTTCCTTTATTCTCTTTACCTTAATATCTAATTCAGGAGTGAAATTGTTAAGAGATATTAGATACTAGTAACTCTTGGGGAAGAGGGTTAAGTACCTATTACTAAATTAATGTTCAGCCTGTCTGAATTTTCAAATCACAGCATAAAAACATTTCATCACGTAGGAACTTTCTGACCCAAGTTTGGAAATCAAGGGAATCTAGATGGATACTTAAAATAGACGCCATGGAATAAGTGACGTCGGCTCCTAGAATCTTTTCTTTTTAAGACCATTGGACTAACAGAAATCTGTCAGCAATTTAGTTTAGTTGGTCATTTTCTGAGCCGAAACATTTGATTACTATAAGTAATCCACTAGTCCAGATGGGTTCAGACACTATTTTTACTTTTGGGTCAATGGTTTTTTAATTTGTTTTTTCACGTTTTTTTGTTTAGTTCTTTTACATTGGAGACATCGTACACAAACAGACTTTGTTCAAGCAATAATTTTATCAACAAAAATGTTTCGGGTTCACAGGATTAAATGTATTTCTCAACAAATTGTTTGTTAAGAAAAGCATATTTCAAAGATTCGTTGCTTGTATGTAGACTGCTTAAAGTTTGTAAATTTAGTCCTTCACGAACGTGGAACAATCTTAAAGATTAACTCTTCATAAAAAATTCATAAAAAAAGAAGGGGAGGAGGGAAAGAAGCTTTGAACACATTTTTAAGAACTACGGAGGGCGATAATCTCGTGAAATGATCAATCTTTCAAGCACGTTTTGCGCTTTTACACTTTGCTTATCTAAATCTCTCCCTGCCATAACGCCCTGAAGTTTTCGTTTAAGTAACAGGCCACGATTTCTTTCCTTCTTTTAAATAACACGTTGACAACTAAACCGCCGATAACCGCCCATGCAGCGCGGTGGACTCGTGAGAGAGACACTTTTCCCCATACCTCCCCTACTAAGCAGAATTTTGTCTCCACACTTCCTATGTTGTTAGAGAATCTATAAAGCAATCAGTATCTATCTTTTGCACCGATATTTTAATCCTTTTGGGGTGTAACAGAAAAGCGTCATTTTAAGCGTTCACAAGAAATGATAAAATATAGAAAATTGGCGTCCGTGCGTCCGTGCGTCCGTCTTCAATATTTTCAAGTCGGATTTTCCGTTATTTTCCGATCATGATAGACCTTCTGGAACACAAAATGGAAAGCAAAAATGCTGTAGAATACTTTGCTCGGTAACGAATGGACATCAAAGTCTTAAAAGTCAACAACACCACTGAGCCAACAACACTACGGTTCACTGACGCGATGCAAATCGGGGCCGTACTTTCCGGAATTTCAGGCGAGGCCTCACGACATTATGAAGATTCCAAGGCCCGGTAAATATTATGTTTCGGTAAAGGGATGTCCAAAAAGTATCGTGTAATCGAAGATTTTGAGTCAAAACGTAGAACTTTCACAATTTTTAACTTAACGCTGCGCAATTTTCTGGCCGTGAAGTCAAGTAAACAACGATCTAAGCATGATGAATTTTGTGGGTGTCGTGCACATAAGAAATTCGCACGTTTTTCGCTTTTAAAAGGAAATTAAGAACAGATTAAGAACTGTTTTGAACGAAGCTTTCATCCCGAAACGTTCCTTGGCCACTTCCGTCTTATTTATAAAGTTCATTAATGAGACCTTTTCAGACACTGACAAATTTGCATATTCATTTTAAAATCTGATCCGCATACTTGTCTCCACACGTGCAAAGACATTTACCGATTCTTATCGTTTATCTTGATCTTTAGAGTAAGGACTTCTATATAAAAAGTTTTCAGTCCAATACATATTTATTTCAGGACGCAATAGATAAACAACTTAACTTTACAAAGATATCAACTAAGCCAAGGAAAGCGACAGGACAAAAATAGATCAGCTGACACGGACTTTGTTTTGATTTCTGGGAATCTGAAACAATGGCTGTTTGTTCCAATTTATTTTTAAGTACTGTCTGTCCTTATGTAAAGCCACCAGCAAAATTGCTTTTCACGAACGGGACATCGATGAAATTTTAAGAGTAACACGGACAATCCAACTGTAAACGACGGATCTGTCGTCTCGTTGTGAACTGATTGTGCTGTCTGATTTGTAGATCGTCCAGGTGAGGGTGGACACAAAAAACGACCGTTTTTCGTGAACGCGACAGACCGTTTCGGCGTTACCCTGTCCAATTAGTCTTTGCGTACCTCGTTTTGCCTGATAAGTGGCAGAAGTAGCGGAAAACAGTTCATAACGTTACACTGCTTCATTCAATTTAATTACAATCAATAAATCGTCGCCACAAACAGCAAAAAGGCTCACTAGAAACAAGTAATAATGCCCTCTTGAAGAAGTGCCCTCGTAATTAGGAAAAAAAATTGCCTTTTGTCTCAGCTAATCAGTATTCAGTAATCTTGCCCTGCATGTAAAAACATTTAAAGGAGCGTGCCACGGTTTCAAGGTTTCAGCACTACCGACAAAGTTGATTCATAATAAACGAGGAAATAGCAGATGAGGATGCAAAAAAATTCAACTACGTCCTTGAATGTGATTGGTCGTAAAAACTCTGCAGTCACAGACTTTGTTCTGTTTTCTGTTTTTTTTTTTCCGAAATTAAACCTTAGATTTCACAATTGTCTGTTTGTATTCGTCTCTTCAATAATCTGTACTTCAAGGCGATCATGATGGAACCTCTCGTGGAAAACCTCAAGAAACAAGTCACATGTTCAATTTGTCTCGATACTTACACAGACCCAAAAATAATTTCGTGCTTCCACACTTTTTGCTGCAAGTGTTTGGAGGAACATGCCAGACAAAACCAAAGACAAGGCAAATTCAGATGCCCCGAGTGTCAGGCGGAAATCAATCTACCAGAAGGTAATCGCTTCGACTGTTTGCCAACCAGCTTTCTCCATAATAGTTTGTTAGGTCTCCTTGAAAGGGAAGATCGTGAGGCCTTGCTGAAGCCGCCATTTTGCTCGCAACACAAGAAAGAAAGACTGCGATATTTCTGCTCTTCCTGCGAAGCGTGTATTTGTCCTGTTTGCTTAGCCAAAAACCACCAATGCCATGAGTTCGACGATATTGAAAAGGCAGCGAAGGAGGATACGAAATTCATCATGTTGGACGTCCAGACCATCAAGGAAAAGGCAAACTTGTTACAAGAAGAGATAAGAAAATTTGAGAAAACCTCTGAGGATGTGGAAACGATTATCGCAATCGCTAAGCAACAAGTGTCTGAGGCAGCTGAACACGTGATCACAAAGACGCTACAGCAAAAAAAACAGCTCTTAGAGTCCTTAGAAATGACGCGTAGAAAGAGAATAGAGAAAATTAACTCGGCTAAACAAGAACTGGAATCGCTGGTAAAACAAATACACCAAGCGGCTGAGTTTGCGGAAAATCTCGTGCAGAGAAGCCCAGGCTGGGATATTATAAAGACCAAGACAACTTTGAAGCAGAAATTTCAAGAGCTTCGTGGAGTTGAGATTTCAAGGCATCATCCAACAACATTTGTCAAATTTACCGCGGCATCGCAACAACACTTGAAACTGGGTTTTATTCAACTCACCGAAAAACCGGCAAAAGCAGCTACATCAACTGTAGAAGGACTGCATCAAACTTTCCAAGCTGGTGTAGAAGCAGAGTTCACGTTATGTCCAAAAACAGCAGAGGGAGAGATTTGTAACCAGGCCGATCTTAACGATCAAGTTGAATTGCTGATAAAACCCACCAAAGATGTCACAAACGTGAGCGTTGAAGAAAAAGGGGAAGGCAATCTTAGGCTGAAGTTTACACCTGAAGTGCCTGGCGCCTACGACGTTGAAGTGAAGATTAATGGCGAAAATCTTCCGACCTCTCCGTTCACTATACCAGTGGAAGAACATCAACTTGTTGTAGTCGGTGAATTAGACTTGAAGTTCAACCAAGGGCAAGGGTTCAAGGGACCAATTGGAATCGCCATAAATAAGCAAGGCGACATAGCTGTTGCAGATTATGATGGACACTGTGTTTTTGTATTCAATAAAGAAGGGAAATGTTTGGAACAATTTGGAGAGAAAGGAAAACACCCTGGACAATTCACAAATCCAGTTGATGCGTCATATTTAAACGACAAAGAAATTCTTATTGCAGATCAAATCAATAATAGAATTCAACATATAAATATCCAGACAGGAGTTGTTATAAAAACCTTTGGAAAAAAAGGTGAGGGAAAAGGACACTTTGAAACCCCACTTAGTGTTTGTGTTGACGACACAGAACGTATTGTTGTCACTGAATTCCATAACAATAGAGTTCAAGTAATGTCAAAAGAGGGCGAAGCTATATTCACAGTAGGAGACAGTGGTCCAGAGAAACTCAGCACACCATACAGCTGCATTCCTTACAAAAACATTTTCCTGGTAACTGAAAGAGACAATCACGTCATAAAAGCATTTGATGCGTCAAACACTTTCCTGTACAAGTTTGGCAAAAAAGGGAATCAAGAAGGACAGTTCAACTCACCCCGTGGCATGTGTTTAGACGGCTTCAAAAACCTTCTTGTTTGTGACTCAGACAATAACAGAGTTCAGCGATTTTCTTTGGACGGTCACTTTCGCGGCAAAACTACCGTTCCTTTACAAAGTCCACTGCACATTGTAACAACGCCAGATGGACGTATACTAGTCACAAGCCTTAAAGCTAAGAAAATATACATACTGAAGTGAATGTGATACTATTCTAAGAATCATTCAAATGCTGAATGATAGAGAAAATGAAAATCGAATTATTTTTATAAGGAAAAATTTCACAAGTGGCAGAAACACTCAACGGTGTAAATGCATCGTTAGCCTGCAAATACAGAAACCAGGGGGAGGGGGGTAAGCACAAGATTGACCAATACACCATGAGCAGCCAGACATATAGGAAAATTGTCTTCAGAAAAGGAAACATGAACGAGTCTAAGATAGATTTAACTTTTCTTCGTGACGTCTGCCTTTCACTTTCTTTTATTTCGGGAAGACACAGCCATTATTAGGGCAAAGAACTACCATAAAGACATAATCAGTAGGAACAGCACACTCCTGTGCCTTGCATAAAGGGGTTTTAAGTAGTTAGGTAAAAATATTTTATGGCTTGCTCCAATGTTATGTGATTGGAAGTTGTAGAAAGAGCAACGCCAAGTGGCTTCACCCTTTAACTTCAAAGATCCAATACGTAAATCTCCCCACTGACTGCCATACATCCAACAAGAGAATTTGGCATTACATCAGAATAATACCCTCAGCTGATAAGTTTGTCTTTTCTCATAACCTCTCTACAAAATAACATATTGGAATCATAAGGAGAATTTACATGTTAATCACCTCTTGGAGTTAAAGGGTGAAGCCACTGGAATTGAGGTCCAGAGTTCCCAGGTCCTAACCATCCACTCCATGAGATTTGTTTCCCAGAAGTCTTAACCCTTTAAATCCCAGATCAAATTTGTAATTCTCCTTACTGAAAACCATACAATTCTTAAGATGATAGTTCAGAGAATTTAGTATTGGGTCAACTAATTATCCCCAAATTGATATTTTTATTTATTCTCATCTCTCTGTGGTTGACATTGTATTGATATTGTAAGGAGAAATTCTGTCTTGGTCACTCGTGGGAGTTAAAAGGGTTAAAAACAACTTCTTCCCTGTGCTTTGTCAACAACCAACTAGTTTGCCTTAGTGACTAAATAAGATTAACTTTCTAACAATTTAATAATACTTATGTTTGTACAATGTACTCTTTTAGCTATCAGCTTAATTTGCTGCCCTTTTTGTTCCATTTACCAATCATAATCAAAAGAAACACTGTACAGTCCCAGTAATTCTAGGTAGCAAATTAATGTAATTTTTTTGGGGAAGATTTTTAGTTTGGGTGAATAAAATGTTAACTGAAGAAGTATGTTAAATACTTGACTTGTACTCACTGCATGCAATTTAAAGTTTAACTCTAAACGGTGTAATGTAAACAACCAGCTGGTTTGCCTCCAATAGGTTGAACTTTCTTCTTAGCAATTTATTCAATATTTATATGCATGTTTATATGATATACCCATTTAGCACTCTGGTGGATTTGTTTTCCTTCTTAATTCCATTTTACCAATTAAATCAATTGATGCACTGTACATACAGGTAGTAATTTTAAGAATAAACTGTACTTCACTTTTTTGGATGTTTTGTAGTCAGGATGAATAAAAATATTTTAAATACTTGACTTATACTCACTGTCTATAATTTTTAGTTATACTTTATTCAGGGCTTATTAACAAATTAATCTTCAGTCTTTATGAACCTTCAAAAACTTCACTCATACTTTCCATTGAGACAATCACTGTATAAAAGTATTTGATCATTCAGGAACTGTTTCATCTAGGTTTGAAAAACAAGAGAATCAAGATAGACACTTCAACAGATCCAATTGCATGAACTTGGTCAGTGCCAAAAATATTTTTATTGGAGACCATTGCAATGACCCTTCAAACCCTCAGAGTGACCGGCATCTAATTACTCCCCCCCAAATCAGATATTAAGGCCATAATTGATTGTTAAATACAGTCTCCTTGTCAACACATTAAAAAATACATGGAGAACAGTATAAAGAAAATGAAAAATGATGCAAGTGTTAAAGGGATAACAGCAATTTAGTTTAGAAACATTTTCCAAGGAAAAAAAAAAGGTAGACATTTGATTGCTTTATGAGGTCCACTTCAAATGGCAACGGATCCTGATGTGTGTATATGTTTCAATAGCAATGTAACTAGGAAGTTATACAAATTACATGTTCTGGAGTATATAATTTCAAGTTCAAATCTTATTTTTTCAGTCACTCCACACAATAGCCAGACAAGGGTAACCACAATTAATTTTCACCCTGTGAGAGTTTTCAACCAAAATTATTCATTCAAAATCCTTAACCCTGACAAAAAATTTACTGATCAAAAATTACCTTCTACATGTAAATAGAAATTTTCTCAGAAATAGGTATAAAATTTTACTTATTGTATTTTTCTAACTCTGTTCATTTCCAATCATCTTCTTCACCTTTCTACTTATAATGACCGCAATGGGCAAAATTACTGCTAGCAGTGGTAAAGAAAAGAAGAAGGTTGTGCCTAACAGGTATATCCACCTGAATGTGCTCAGTGAACCTTATCCTTTGACTTTAACCCTTTAACTCCCAAGATCTGATTGTTAATTCTCCCCTCCAGCTGCTACACATTTCCTTGTGAATTAGTAACACAAATCTGGTGTTAGATCAAGATAACAACTTCTACCTGATAAGTTTGAGTATTCTCATTACCTGTTTTCTGGATAATGTTTACATATTATAGGGAGAAGTTACATGTTAATCACTTCTGGGACTTAAAAGGTTAAGGGGTTGAAGCAGCCGCAGCGATTTGAGCAGAAATTCTCCTTCTGACAATTTGTAAATGTGTCCAGTGGACATGTGCTGAGAATTAGGATTTTATCAGCCAGGAGATTTGTATTCTTAAATAATAGAATATTAAATTCTCAGGGAACCTGCATGTATGTTTTTGCAAAATGTAAAAGTGTGTAGGTCAGCTAATGTTACACTGCATCTTTCAGTTAAATTGCAATCAATAATTCACTTCTGCAAACAGTAAAAAGGCTCAATCAGCATCAAGAAATCATGCCCTCTTGATAACCAAAAGTGCACTCGTGATTAAGAAAAATAAAAGTGCCCTCTGTCTCAGCCAATCAGCATTCAGTAATTTTGCCCCACAGGTGATAACATTTATCCACCTGAATGAACTAGGAACCTTCCCTCTCTGACTTTAAGAAGTTAAAGTAGCAGTGATTAGAGCAGAAATTCTCCTTCTAACAATATTTCAATGTGTCTAGTGGACATGTGCTAAGAACTAGGATTTGATCAAAATATAAAATTCTCAGGGAGCCTGCATGTATTTAGATACACATGTATAACCTCAAATACATATTATGAAACATATGATACTTGATATTCCTTAAAATATGTAGCTTTCTGATGATAAGACTGAAGCAATAAATTTTTTCTTACAACATGGAAAAGTGTCCATGATAAGAATTACATTGAGTGCCAATATATGAAGATGCCAACAGTTTCATATATACATTGTTGGCCTGTTCTTTTTTCATGTTTTGCAAAAAAAGAACAAGGCTAATTTCCAGCCATCTTGACTGAACAAGCTTGGTCAATGACGGATTTACAACAGTATCATATAGCAACAAAAATTTAGCTTTGATAAGAATAAAGAAGGACTTGTATATTTGCATGCTGTGGGAAAGAGAGGCAACTGTGATGGTGTGTGCTTGTTTTTTATTTAACAAATTGAAGAATGATGTGATATGAGAGGTTTAAAAATTGATGACTAAATATCAAAACTCTCAGTGACATTAGGTATAAGAAAGCTGTAAACATTAAGTACATTTTGTAAGTCCACTCCATGCAACATTTTTCCTTGTGTAGGATCAATGCAGGCAATCTGAATGGGCCTTGCCCACTCAGGGAGCCAATCAAAACACACGATTTATTGTCACTTGCCCATGGGCACTACCAGCCATATTGTACAACAGTTTCACTGCGATTAACAACTGCATTGCTAAGTAGATGTTGGGTGCCTGAGACATCCAGGAGCTTCCCCTATTGGCAGCCAGTTCCTAGATTGATGGAGACTGCTCCCATAGCTGGCAATCCAGTCAGGAGCCCGCCCGGAGGAAAGGGAAACTACCTGGACAGTGAGGTGCCACTTCAAACAACACTGCAAGTTCACGCTCAAAGCACACAAAAGATTGCTTTAAATGAAGAGCACATGGAATTCCGACGTATGTGAATATGCAAAAACTGCTGACTACTAGGGAATGCTGATGCTCTTTGTTGTTAACTCTGTTAAATTGCAGTAAACTGCATCTAATAAAAAACAGTTGTTACCATTTATCAATGAGTTTGACAAACCTCCTCATACTGGAACTTTCTCTTGCTTACGATCACATCTTCTATCCCTCCTCTGTCTCCATATTTCTTCTCATGTTGAGTGTAGGCTTTGTATAGCTCCTGAAATACATGTAACATAAAATTAAACAAATAAGTACGAGGCAACTCCAGAATTAGAAGAAGATACAGCAAAGATTTGCTAGGCACAAGAAGACTAGGGGTCTAAGGTTAATTTTTCAAAAGGTATCAACAGCAAAGCAGCTCCTCTGAGAACAAGCATACACATAATCCACACTTACTTCGCACTCCTCTTTTGGTAAGATTTTCAGAGCATACTGGAAAATGACCCTGACACGATCATGCTGTGTACAATAAATAGATAAGAAAATTAGAGGAAATAAGGTTTTGCACTTGATATACCTTTCTACAACCCTGTAATTCAACCCAATCACAAGGAATCCCAAAGTATGATGCACTAAATGATACAACCACCATTGTGTTCACTCAAATCACTGTAGATTTGCTATTCTTTTCAAAAAAATTCAAGAGTTCTTTTCAGAGTCACCCAGTTCTTTTCAGAACCACCAAATCTAAAAAAAGTTAATGACTAACATTTAAAGTCCTTTTCTGGTTTTTTTTAAACTGTAAGTTCTGCTAAAATTGTGATCTTCAGATTTTGTTGTGCAAAAGTACTTAGCTGTATAAGAGGCACCCCAATTTTAGCACTAACTTGCCACCAAAAGACACTTTTTGCTTAAATAAATGTGCGCCAAATAACTGATAAAAGATGGAAGTGTCAATTAATGCTCTCTTAACAACTTATTCTAACTACAAGTAATAACTCTTTCAAAGCCTCTATCCATACCTCTTTGCAGTTTTCTTCAAATTTTGCAAATGAAAGAAAAAGTTTCTCATCTGCATTTTCTTCCCCAAAAAACTCCACTGCTCTTTCATAAACATCTCTTGCACCAACTGAAAAAATAAAAGTTTCCTTATTATCAAGAAGTACAGTCATGTATATTCAAATCAGTGGATAAGACTCCAAATATTACAATTGTGTCCATCATTCATTCTTACTAAAAGCTACCGAGTGGAAGCCTTTTGGTCAGTCAATGTAAAGAGATAAACTCACAAGAGATTGTGATTAATTCTCTTTCCTGTCTGCCATACAATTATTCTTATGATATTAGTATAGAGAATTTGGTATCAGACCAAATAATAGTTTCCAAGTAATTGGTCTTTTTCTTTATTCTCATTACTGGTCTGATTCATTCTGTATTGATATTGTTGGGAGAAATTCCTTCTTGGTCACTCATGGAAGTTAAAGGATTAAAACAATTTATAACAATAAGATGATTCGCAAATCATTCAAATCAAAATTTACCTGTATTGGACTGTCGCTCCTCAAATTTAGCAAACTTCACCCAATTTTTCACCTCTGGATGGACCATTACAAATCTTTCATATATACTCCTTGCACGATCTACTTCCTTGTATCTGAGCTCCATGTTAATGTAGGAATGCCAAGCTTGTTCATCCGGCTCCCATTCCATCCATCGTTCAAATATCTGCCGTGCGCCAGCAACATTAGTGAGCATCTCTTCCATGTAGGTGTACTTGTACCTGTTTTAAGTCAGATGATACTGCTCTTAAGCTCTAAATCTTATTCCATATTGAAAATAATTTCATCTCAAAATTTTGACCCAATATCCTGCAGACAGGTTATGGGAAGAGAGAAAGTAAACTGCTGGATGGTGATATCTTCATGTTGATAAACCACAAAATTCTCCCAACTAAATTTCAAGGAAATATATGACAGCTTGAGGAGAGAGCTTAAACATAAGATCATATTCTGAAAATGGGTTTAGAAGCCACAACAAAAAAATGACTATCAAATGTTTGCTTCAAAGACACAAAATGAACATATCTAGCATGATCAATTTTCTTCTGACAGTTTATCTTTGCCACAAGCACTTTTTGATTACTCCTTGTTTTTACTGATGCAGATCAACTTGCACTTTACAAGTCAGAATACCCTCAACTATATACAGATCACTAAGAAGCACTATGTACTAACCAAAACTGGTTTACTCTTGGCAAGATGGTGACAGCTCTGTCCCAGATGTTTCGAGCATGGTTAATCTGGCGATGCCTGTGGAGGTAAAATTTTAATCTCAGATTTGAAAATGAGATGAATTAAGTCTGCATAGAAGACTAGGCCAAAAAGCTGCTGCAGCATGCATGTATCTCTGTATGGATTTTGTCAACACAAAGTAACTTGTAGCATTGCTGCCTGGACTCCAGAACAGATGATAATCCCTCACAAATTACCCACCCTCCCCCCTTCTCTTCCCTCTCCTAACACCTTGTAAAGTTTCTTATACAGTTCTCCTCTTGCCATTTACCCTCCTGGGTGGAGAGAGGCACTGTAACTTGACCCAATCAAGGTTCGAACCCAGACCCCACAACCCAGAATCAATATCTTATCAAGCAACTTGTCATGTTCCTCTACTTTGTGCACTGCTTTTAATTAGAACAAGAACACTTTCTCAGTTGCTTTCAATTCTGACTCACTTTCCATACAGCTTTTCACAGAGGGAGCACATAGGTCTTCCATAATTGCCAGAAATAAATTGCTATTTAAGCCTACACCTGTATATAAGTTTTAATAGGCCATTTTACAGTTGTGTGCTTAGTTGCCATGCCTTTGATTTGGAGTGAGGGTGAAGGTGACCATGTTGTGATAGAGACCAGTATTTAGTTAGCATGATAACAAAGTAATTTACAATAGAAAAGCAGCAAGGTTTGTATCATAACAAGGTTTCCCCTAGCCTCACTCCTGTTCGAAGACTTGGCAACTAAGCACACAACTGTAAAATGGACTATTTACAAATAGTTTCATTAAGATACAATTTCCACTTGTCAAACCAGGAACAGACTCACTTCATTTCCATCTCTGCATATTTCAGCCATATAGTGATATTTCTGTGGTCTACATCTAAAGCCCTCTCATAAACAGACCGTGCTCTGTAAGAGAGAAATCAATGCAATCTTACTTCTAATCCCAGTAGGAAATCATAAATTTCAATTAAACAATAACTGCTGAACAGAAGAATAGATCAGAAATGTTTAGTACTTTTAACTGTTTAACCCCTGGGAGTGACTAGCATCTAATTTCTCCTTATAATATCACCCAAGAGTCAAACATTGAGGTCATGAGAATAAAGGAAATGATCACTGAGTAAAGCAGCTCTTGATCATTCGACAAATTCTCCTTGTCAGCACTAAAGGAAATTTATAGAGAAAAGTACAGAGAATGTGGATATTGATTCTAGAGTGTAAAGGGTTAAAGTTCACCTTACTTCTATTTATTTTTCCCTCTCAATTCAACCAAAACAAACATATGACACTTACACATCCAGTGATGATACAAAATTGTTTTCTAAGGGTATGGAGTGTTCAGACAAAAAATGGAATAAACTATTCAACATGTACCTAAATTTTCTGAATCTAAACACTTGCCTGATTACCCTGGCCTATATTTAAAGCCCAAAATTTTTCTGATACTTAAACCTCACTATTTCTAATAACCCTTCAAACCCTAAGAGTGACCAGCATCTTATTTCTCCTTACAGCAATACTGCTGAATCATTCATTTAGACAATGATCACAAATCTTAGTAGCTTTGATTGTTAAACAAATTCTCCTTATCTGTATTAAAGGAAATGTATGGGAAAGAGTAAGAAGAATTTGGATACTGGTGTTATGGTGTTCAAGTGGTTTATGCAAGATACATGTATATTCCATAAAGTGATAAATATTACACATTAATTCCAGTCCACAGGCACTACAGAAACTGGACCTATTCAATCAAATAACAAATTCATCCTCTACCTTTGAATTTCTCTTTGACTCTCCTCCCACTGAGCATATTTTAACCAGTTACTTATCACTGATCTGTTTTTACGAAGGCTGTCCTCAAATGCCTGACAAGATGGAAGACAAGAATCATAGTCATAAATTCATGTAATTTCAAATTATTACTAACAATAGTTTGATTTAAAATCAGTTTTAATTAATTAATCCAACTCCTAATGAATCAAATAAATCAAACCTTTTTGAGGTCTTATTTTAACTACTAAGTTCAGTAGTGTTTATAGCTGTGAGGATCTCTTATATTTGTTTCTTCACCACAGTGCACATATATGATTTTCATATATCTACAACATTATTCATCACTTGGATGGTTTATTTGGATGCAACTTAATGACCAGCTCCCAGTTGGCTTGTTAGCTCAGTTGGTAGAGCACTGCACGGGTATTGCAGAGGTCATGGGTTCAAATCCCATACAGGCCTGAATTTTTTTCAGGTCTTATTTCAACTACTAGTTCAGTAGTGTTTATAGCTAGGAGGATCTTTCATATTCATTTCTTCACAGCAGTGCAGATATATGATTTTCATATATCTACAATCATTATAAATCAAACCTTTCTTTTACGAAGCTTGTATTCCTGTAATTCATCAGGATCACTGATCTTCTGTTTGGGAGGCTGAAAGGAAATATCAGTTAGTAAGATGAATTATTTCAACAATCACCTGAAATCAGCAGACATTGTAGCCAGTAGAATAAATACTAGATAAATCTGGTTCTCATCATGGAGAACCTAAAAAATGTTGTTAAAAAATGAATTGATTTCAGGTTTTGTATCACTGCACAGTTTTTCTTTCCAGAGTATTTTAATCATTGGAAAGAAGGAATTATGCAGAAAGTACAAAGAAAGAATTTAAGTTAAATTGAAATATTTCATCAGAAGGTAAATGTACTTCTCTTTAAAAGGTGAATTTTATCTTTCAAAAGTGGAAGCTGTTGACTAACAAGTCAGAGCAAACCAATAAAAATTAATTGCTTATTTGGGATCAAGTATTTGAAATTCCTCAGTGGATCAGAAAACAATTAAATCAATTCTCTTAACAATTAATTTTGGTTGAGAATGGTGTGTTGTATCATATAATTAAAAGGAGTTTGAAAGAAAACATGGTTCTGAAAATAATGTTCTGGAGTAATTTCTCTCGTTACTTTGAGAATCTAAAATATCTTGATGTTTGGGCAACAACAGCTTTTCCTTACAATATCAATACAATATTAATTAGATAAGTGATGAGAATAAAGAATTTGGGGATAATTAATTGATCCAATACTGAATTCTCTGAACTAACATTATAAGAATTGTATGGCTGACAGTAAGAAGAATTACAAATTTGATCTGAGAATTAACTTACTGGTGGAACTAATTCTAACTGTCTCTCCTTTGCTTCCCTCAAGAGTTGTTCAGCTGTGATCTGAACTGGTGCTGGGGCTTTATTCTTCACCTGAAAATATAAAGTTAAACAAAATTTATCTTTAATGGATAACACGAACTTCAGGTGTCTTACACTGGAGGCAAGAATTGAAGCAGACAAACTTAGTGATGTGTTATACTGGTTGTAACAATTTGATAATCATATCAAGCAAAACAAGGAAGATTGTAAACTGTTTGAGCTTGGGATTAATTTTGGCTGTAATACCCAATAAGATTCCCTGAAGTAGACACCCTCAGAAACTTCTGCAAAATTTTATTAGCTGATTATAAGCTCATGGCTGTAACTGGTATTAAATAACACTTCCTGATGAGTCGCATGCTTCAATCACATTCCAACAAGACCTATGAATTTGGTGAATGTGAACCCAATGGGCCTTGATACATATGCTTCAGACTCAATTTACTTCCCTACTGTAACAAACTTGTTACTTCATGTTTGCTTTCTTGATATCGCAAGCATGTAAATTCTCCCAAACAATTTACAATTAAATTTATGATAACTAGAAAGGAGAGTAACGATCCAGATCATGCAAATGAGGCTAGAGAACTTGCATTAACATGCAATTTTCCTCTCTCCGACAACCTTAATTTGATCATTATTGAAATTACAGATCATCCCAGTCGCCTGAACGAATTGTTGAAGAGTTTTTTAATGTAAAGTCGTGGATCACGAAGTTTACTCTCAAAGTCGAATACCGCGGTATTCAAACTTTGTCAAAAAAGTAGGAAATATTAACTCTTCTCAGTGCACGAATGAACGATGAAACTAAAAAGAAATGGCTCGGATATGGGAAGATTGCGCTGCAGTAGCTTATCGAATCCTAAATACTCGTGTACATGTTTTCCTGTCACTATTCAAACTAATTGTTTCAATTTCTCGTTAAAATCGTAAGATATACAAACCTTTGCGACTTTCGGAACCCTAGTCTTGGTTACACTCTGCTCTGATGATGCCATAATCCTTATTAAACTTGAAACTGAGCTAAAAAAACACAAAATATATGCCTTTTACTTTAGACGCGGCTCAGACTACAACTCGTCCGACATATTGAAAACGTTTTAGTACCCAGTCCCTTAAAGGCCAGGATAATTATTGAAGGATTCTCAATATGGCGGGTGCAAATGTGGTCAAGTGTTCCATTCGCTGTTTTTGCCCTTCCGGCGCCGGCAGCACGAGGGTCAGATTCTGTAGAATTGCAAGCGCTTTTCTAAGACGACAGCATACAAAGCCCATGAAAGATGACAATGTTCAGGACGTATGTTCAGCTCAATTTCTCATATATTTATTTTGCGCTGCTCGGAAATTTGATCTGCATAAGGATTGTGTAACCCTGGCGCTTGTTAAATTCACATATTCTTATTACTGATTTGCCGGCCCATTTAATTGAGAATATTGCGGGTATCTGAGGGAGAGAGATTTTTCTGTAACAATTTCAGAATACTGTATTGAATCCAACCTTGGGGAATTAATGTGAGTCTAAAATTTTAAATTCGCAGCATCGGCGTGGATAGTACAGTGATAGGTCTCTGTTTATTTAATGAATGACAACTGATTCACATCTCCACTAGCAAGAGTTCCATTGAGAGATTATGTTTTAGACTTAACTGTCCACCTGGAGAACGATGCTCTCAAAGAACAAAACCGGACAAGATGTTGTGGCAAGGAAAAGACATACCCTTTTTCTGCCTGGGTGTCACGCAATTGCAAGTGCCAACAACAGTTTTTCGTTTCTAAAAAATATCTCCTTACATCAGTCAAGTAAATCTGCAAACATCGAGTGGAATCTATTGCAAACTGTTGATGATATGGTTCTGAAACTGGCCAATTTTCTTTGTAAACTTCAGCTAGTTTGAGATCCATTCTGGATTATTTGAGTTTGCATTATACCTCTTGCATCACACCTCTTACTAAGCTAAGCTTTGCAGATATACCAAGCACGGCATGATGAATCAAGCAGACAAGTTGATTCCATGTTAACAGTCTTTTGTTTGAGTTAGATACTCAATATGACTGTATATGAATCTGAGAAATATGAACAAAAATGTACAGTATGTTACCTAGAAGGATTAAAACCCCCCTCCCTCTGATGAGCCAATCAATTGTCTCATCAATTACATTAAACAATTTTATTGTTACATTTATGTGCTATTAAGAATGTACTAGTTCATGATGTTCAATCTGGTAAACTATACTTGCTGTTAGCTACAAAGTATAAGTTATACAGTCAAGTTTATTAGGTACATTTGTTGTCAGTAATGTAAATTAATTTCCAGGCAAAATGATTTTTAAGGTGCTTGATTTGCTCAAATTTGTCCTTTGTGGGAGATAAAATTATGATTATTCTCAAAAACAGAGAAATACAGATGAAACTAAGTGTCAAATCATTTTAACTTGAAATCATTCTACATTCTAAGCTACAGTATACCACAGGAAAAGAAGGAATTTAATCAGGGCAAAGGATTCCCTTCTATTATGGATGGGATCTTTGTCTGAGTAGTTTTCTGAAAGTACTAATACATGTTCAATTTTGTTGATACCAGTTATTGTTAAATTATCAATCAACAGATCATTTCCTCAAGACAAAGAAAATATTTCAAAGAGCAAGAAATTAGACCTCTTTCAGACTTCTTAACTGACAAGTTTGGAAGACATCACACATATCTTAGAATTTCACTGACAGAAAAATGCAATCTAAGATGTAAGTACCAAATGTGCATTTATTTACATATTTTTGAGAATGCCTCTGTGGTAATAGAAGTTTAGTATCCTGAGGTTGCAATCACAGGTTTTCTTTCAATAAACACAAACTTTTTTATTCTCCTACACCTTTTCTAAGAATAAACACTCCCTTAAAAACAACATGCATGACTGCACTCGCATGCAGTGTTAATCAAAACTCAACTACATTCAGGCCCAGTTTTTAACAATATTTTCCATTCTCTAGTATGATTTTTTGTAAAACTTCAGTACTTGAATTGTAACCTGTTCAATGAACTGTTAAGAAAGTCTTTCAATTGTTGAGTACAACTTTCCACTGATATATAACTATCTTGACTTTTAGGTCAATACTGTATGCCAGAGGAAGGTGTGGAACTGTCTCCAAACTCAGAACTTTTAACAACAGAAGAAATTGTATCTTTGGCAAAATTATTTGTCAGGGAAGGAGTCAACAAAATCAGACTTACTGGCGGTGAACCTTTGGTGCGCAAGGATATTGTTGAACTTTGTGGTAAGATTGGTATAGGAAAAGACTTTTATAAGCTGCACAAGTTGTATGTGAACAGGTTGTGCAGATAAACACCATGGTATAAGACCAGATTGTTTATTTGTTTATGTCTTAACAATAGTAAGCCTAGGGCTATTGAACTGATAGGGTCATTGTTAGTAATGATATTAATATCTTTTTGATTAGAGCTGAATGTGAAAAGTGCAAAAAAAATTTTAAATACTCACAAGACGAACAGCACTAGCTTTACATTTGTTGAAGTTTATAGTTTTAATTTAATTTAACCCTTTCACTCCCACAAGTGACCAAGACAGAATTTCTCCTTACAGTATGAATACAATATCAAACAGGCAGGGAATGAGAATAGAGAAAAATATCAATCATGGGATTATTATTAGTTGATCCAATACCAAATTCTCTGAACTAACATCATAAGAATTGTATGGCAGATAGTAAGGAGAATTACTAATCAGATCTTGGGAGAGAAAGGGTTAATTTAAGTTTATTGAGTTTGATTTGAGCAGTCCAGTAGAGAGGTTCATAAGGAAGCTGGATTTGAAATGTGAAGGCCACAAGTTTATACCCTCCTGCTTCTCAACTGGAATATTTTGCTTCTAAGAAGTCTTTGGGTTATCTCAAATCTTCAGCATGGCTTTGCAAGAAGCAAATAGTTACTCAATAATTAGTTGTTTAATGTAACATTAATATAATTTTGACTCTATTTATGATTGAACAGAGGAACTTGGAAGAATAGAGGGACTTGAAACTTTAGCAATGACAACAAATGGCATTACACTTGCAAGAAAGTTACCACAACTAAAAAATGCTGGACTTAACTTACTAAACATCAGCCTTGATACCTTAGTGCCACAGAAATTTGAGTTTATTACGAGAAGAAAAGGTATGATACTAATCAACAGTCTGTTAACCCTTAGGAGTGACTAGCATTTATTCTCTCCTTACACTATCACCCTTGAATCAAACATTGAGGTCATGAGAATAAGGGAAATGATCACAAAGTAAAGCAGCTCTTGATGATTAAACAAATTCTCCTTGTCAGCTCCTTAGGAAAAGTATAGAGAACAGTATGGAGAGTATGCATGATTGATATTAAGGTGTAAAGGGTTGAATAATTGTCAACTATTCATGATAAATATAATTTTGTAGGGTTAGACCAGTACAATCAATTCTTCTCACCACTGAGCAATTATGACAAAGTCAGAGCAATGAATTGCAATTAATTAAGAAGAGAGTACAGTACCATATTCTGTTGTTTGTAGCTTATAATTCATTCAAAGACAATTTTGTCAAGAATTTTGTGAGAACTCCTAATTTTCAATAGCTCAACAGTACAATGTATATTTTTTTCAAAGGACCATCCATTGATTGGTTTTGATAATTGATGTTCAGTTTTTCTAATTCTAGCGCAGAGGCTGGTGTAGAAGTGGTGAATCAGTCAACTAACTTCAAAATTTTCCTTCAAATGTTTCTTAGGCTGGCACAAGGTTATGGAATCCATTGACTCTGCTTTAGAGCTTGGCTATGACCCAGTTAAGGTAGGATTAAGATCTTACACATTGTGCAAAAGTGACCAAATAATTTTGAGGAAACAGCATTTTAACACTCAATGGAATAAATAAAATTGGCCACAGCCTGGAGCCTTGTCTTTCACTCACTGCAAATGATCAGACTACAACCTTTTAACCCCATTAAGGGACCAAGACAGAATTTCTCCTTACATCATCAATAAAACATCAAACTGACTAGTGATGAGAATACAGAAAATATCAATCAGGGGATTATTAGTTGACCCAATACCAAATTTTCTGAACTAACATCATGAGAATTATTTGGCCAACAGTAAGGAAACTTAATATTAAATAAACGAGATCCTGGGAGTGAGCAGTTTAAAGAAACACTTGAGTTATCAATTTCTCTGTCAGTATTTTCAAGTTTAATTATTCTGTTTATTATGAAAGATGATTAGCTGTGTATGACCAGCTCAAGATAAATCAAGAAATAAAGCATACCTAACATAATAGTGACACTTTGTTAGATTAATATAGCTGTAAGATATTTAATGTCAATTTTTGTGTTAATTACCTTATGTGATATTTCCATCAGGTGAATTGTGTGGTAATGAGAGGATTGAATGAAGATGAAGTCTGTAACTTTGTGGAAATGACACAGAATAAGGTAGAACTCAAAATATTTGTTATTTAATGTATAGTAGTGGGTAGGGATTATTATTTATTTTGAGGGTATCTAGTTGGTTGTAAAAGCATTCAAGGTAAATTGTGCGGAATAATTTAATGTTTTAACCCTTTAGCTCCCATAAGTGACTAAAACAGAATTTCTTCTTACAATATCAATACAATATCAAGCAGAAAAGTGATGAGAATAAATAAAAATATCAGTTTGAGGATTATTAGTTGATCCAATACCAAATTCTCAAAACTAACATCACAAGAACTGTATGGCAGACAGTAAGGAGAATTACTAATGAGATCTTGGGAGTTAAAGGGTTAAATGAATCAAATTATTAAAAAAATTGTGAAAATATGAATTAGGTTTAAGATCAGTATTTCATTGTTGACTCATGTAATTTTTTTTTTTTATCATACCAGGTTATAGATGTGAGGTTCATAGAATACATGCCATTTGATGGTAAGTTCAATGATAATGTATTTATTATTAATATAAACCCTTTCACTCCCAAGATCTCATTAGCAATCCTCCTTACTGTCTGCGATACAATTCTTAGGATGCTAGCTGTGAGAATTTTGTTTTGGATAAACTAATAATCCCCTAATTGATATTTTTGTTACTCTCATAACTTGTCTACTTGATATTGTATTGATATTGTAAGGTGAAATTTTTATCTGCTCACTTATTGGAGTTTAAGTGTTAATACAGTTAAAATTAAAAATGAGATGCTTGTTAAGTATTAATTTGATACAGATTTTAATTATCGTGGCTGCTTTTTCTCAGGTAACAAGTGGAACTTCAAGAAGTTTGTTCCATTCAGTGAGATGTTGGAGAGCATATCTCAGAGATGGCCAAATGTTGAGAAGGTGTCAGACCATCCTAATGATACCTCAAAGGTATAAAAAGTATGGCATAGTGACTGGCAAATTGCTTTTAGTTAGTTAGTTAGTTAGTCAGTCAGTTCATTTTAGTTTGGTTCCTCAGTCACCCATTCAGTTGGTGAAACAGTCAATCAGCCAGTTGATGACTGTCAGTCTGTCAGACAGTTAAAGCTTGAGTATCTGACGAAGGGCTAACACTTGAAATATCAGCTTTGGAAACTCTTTATGGAGACCGATTTAATTTATCAACTCAATAGATAAAACCAAGTAAAGTATTCTGATCATTCAGTGCTTGAGGTAAGCAGTCAAACAATCAATCAGATGGTCCATCTGCAAAAAAGCTGGTTCTTAGCTAGTTAGCCCTTTGTTTAGTTGGTAGTCAGTCAATAAATCTGTCTGTCAGTCTTTCAAACTGATGGTTTGTCTACCAATTAGGTGCATTTAGTCTGCAGCCAATCAACTGTTAGTTAGTCAGTCAAAGCCTTCAATAAATTTTGAAATCTATGTACTATCATGCTGTGCAATCCTACATTTACTTACTTTTCAATGTAACCTGCTGTTAAAATGATCCTTCTTTATGTATGTTTTGTTCAGGCATACAAGGTTCCTGGTTTTGCTGGTCAGTTTGGGTTTATCACCTCCATGAGTGAGCATTTTTGCGGAAGCTGCAACAGGCTGAGAATCACAGCAGATGGGAATTTAAAGGTACATTGTTTTTTTCAATTTCATTCCTGTACTTTAAAGAGACAACATTAAATTTATTGTATTCCATGTAGACGACTGTAGATAGCAATTTAAGCATTCCACATTAATGCCTCTGGGCAATTCTTATGTACATTATTTTAATTTATTATTTGTTTTTCATTCATATTCTCAAGGTTTGTTTGTTTGGTAACTCTGAAGTATCTTTGCGAGATTCTCTTCGAGCAGGAACCGGTGAAGAGGAGCTTTTAGAGATCATCGGTGCTGCAGTAGGGAGGAAAAAGAAACAGCATGCAGGTGTGTATACAAAAAGCATTCATGAATACTACCAACATTGTCAGATGATGCATTTAAACTGTGAGTTGCAGACTGCAACAGATCAGTCCTGTGAGCCAAGTGGACTATAAAACAAGAGATTATCTCCAGTCTGATTTCCATAGCATTAACCCATAAGAGTGACTGGCATCTAATTTCTCCTTACCATATCACCCCTGAATCAAACATTAAGGTCAGGAGAATAAGGAACTGATCACCAATTAAAAAAGCTCTTGATTGTTAGACAAATTCTCCTTGTCTGCACCCTAGGAAATGTTTATAGAACAGTATGGAGAATATGCATTAGGATGTAAAGGGTTGAGTTTTTAAAGAGTAGACAACATAACTATTCTTCCCCATGGAAAGGATGTAAGATTTCCATGACAATTTGACAATACCCATTTATACTCATGTAGAGGGAATAAGAGAACTGTGAGATTAGTGGTTTGCCTTGTTCAAGAACAAGACTTGATTTTACCTTTTAACTCCCAAGATCTGATTGTTAATTCTCTCCTCTTGCTGCTACACAATTCCTTGTAAATTAGTTGTGAGAATTTGGTGTAAGATCAAGATAAAACTCCTTAAGTTTGAGTATTATTGTGAACCTTTTGCTAGAAAACATATGAATATCATAGGAAGACATTACATGTTAATCAGTTCTTTTTTTTTTTAACAGCTTTATTGACCATAACACATGTTACATGTTAGTTCTGGGAGTTAAAGGGTTAAGCAGACAACAAAGTGACTGTTGTTTTCATTTCAGAACAGTACTTTGTTTGCCATGCGATGAACAGTACTTTTGTATCCTGTTAGCAGCATAATCATATTTTACTCAGTCTAGCAGTCTCACCATTTACACTATTGAAACTAACTGTTTATCACTGTCTCCTCTCACAGGAATGTTCAACATTGCTAAACAAAAGAATCGCCCAATGATTCTCATTGGCGGGTGACAACCAAACAGGTAAAATTTTTTGTGAGGGGTATGTTTCATTTTCACTAGTGTGGCTTGTAATCCCCTATTTGCTCTACATGCTAAGGTTAGTCATGCAGTCTGTCAGTAAATTTTTTTTCAATAATTCAGGCAGTCATTCCGTCAATCATTAGTTAGTTATCAGTCAGTTGGTCAGAATCAGGTAGTCGTTTGTCAGTGAGTCAATTGGTCAGTCAATATATCATGGAGTTATTCAGTGAGTTGGTCACTTATTCTTTCAGGATAATTTGGTTTCATCAACTGAGTTGATAAATGTAAATTGGTCATGGTTAAGAGTTTCAAAGCTGATGTTTTGAGCATTAGCCCTTTTCTGCTCGAAAACGTCAGCTTTGAAACTCTTTACAGTGGCCAATTAATATTACCTAATGAATTCAATTAATAAAACCAAATTACCTTGTTATACTCCCCTACAAACACAGCACCACAGTTTCTTTAGAAACTCACCCTCTTTACGCACTTATTCTTTCAGTCAGTCACTCATTCAATAAGTCTGTGAATCAGTCAGTCAGCAGTTAACGGTCCAACCAGTAAGTCAGTATTAAAATCAAAATTGAATTTATTGGGAATAGAACCATGGACTTTTATAGAACCATGGACTTTTAGATGTTTGGTACACGTTTCAGTCCTAGTGTCTTAAAACTTAGTGTTCTATAATCTTTCCCACAGAAACTACGTCCATTTTCAGATGTACAAGAAGTATGTGGCATGGCAGATGAGCCAGGTTTTTATGGGTTATACTACCTAAAAAGTAGAGCAATTTTCATTTGAATAATCAGTGTTTGCAGTAGTTTTGCTCTACGTTGCTCTGTGATTGGTCTTGAAAAAACTTATGCCACCTTCTCATCCAATCAGATGCAGAACCAAAACAAATCCAGATTCATTGATTTCACTAGCACTTTTCCAGGCCTCAAGCAAGGAGCTTGTTTTTACTTTGAGTTTGAATTTGTTCATTGTGGTATTTCACATCCCTTAACCAGCTGCTCTGATAACTTTTGGTTTTAATTCAGTGTCACTAAATTGAAAAGAGCTCTAACTAACTGTAAACACCAATAGACAAAGGTGCACTGGCAGATAAGCAGCACTCACAGTAGGCCACACTGGCAGATGAGCTGCGCTGACTGATAAGCCTAATGAAAATGATTAACCCTTAACATGCTAATTTTCTCCAAACTATTTCCTTTACATTTCCTAAGGTGCTGACAAGGAGAATTTGTCTAACAATAAAGAGCTTCTTGAGTTGCAATCATTTTCTTTAATCATATGACCTCAATGTTTAATTCGGCAGCAGTACTATTAGGAGAAATCAGATGCATGTCACTCTAAGAGTGTAAAGGCTTAATGTGTTAGTTTGCTTGAAAGACTTAGGAATTTTCGTTTATTTTTTTTTTTTCGTAAAATTTCATAAAAAGAGTAAATTTATGCAAATTTGCAGCACATTTTCAAGATATTCTTGCAGAGGAGCTACACCCTTATTTGTCACAAAATTTTTGGGTGTGGCTTCCCATATCCACCAGTGTCCTAATTGACATTAGTTTGCTATTATAACAAGGTAAATACTATCACAAGGATAGTTGATGAATCATTTATGCAAAAAGATACTGAGGTGTGTAAATGTTTTTTATGTAACTGTTAAATGACGATTCAAAATAGTCCACATATTTAGTGATCGTTATATTCATATAAAATATAGGTGTACATATCTGTGGAAGAAAATAATTGTGGTGTAATTGTATTTTCACTCGAACACATTGATATTGAATGTACATTGCATATATCTACTCAAAGTATATGTTAAAAATTATGGAATTAAATTTAACTCGCCCTAGGGTTCTTACGTATATGCAGACAAAGGAATCATGCATGCATTTGACAAGAGTAAAACACATGAGTTGTGAACCATCGTCCTTTAATGATACTGTTAATAATTATTATTAAATAATTGGTTAATATTTTGAAGAATATTATTTTTCTGTCCTCAAGCAATGTGATGTGCATGTGTGAATTTAAGATAGTGAATGATTATTTTTTGAAGGATGCAGAGTCCTTATGGTTATCCCTTTACACCTGAACACCAGTATGCATATTCTCCATACTGTTCTCTATACATTTCCTAAGGTGCTGACAAGGAGAATTTGTTTAACAATCAAAGCCTCTTTAGTTGGTGATCATTTACTTTATTCTTCTGACCTTACTGTTTAATTCAGGAATGATATTATATAAAGAAACTAGAAGCTATTCACTCTTATGGGTATAGGGTTGATGCACTGGCCAGGGCCTGGTTGTTCAAAGTCTGTTTGGCACTAACCCAGGGTTAAATTTTAATCTGGATTTCTGTAAAATTTCCTCGACTTGTTTTAGGAAATCCAATCATAAAATTGTAGTCAAAGGATTGTTATTGAATTTTCTTTTAAAGCTTTCAAATCTGAAATCAGATTTCACAATAACCCTGGGTTATCTTAACCCAGCTTTGAACAACAAGGCCCTGGACTCTGGATAGAGAGGTCTGGGTTCTAGTCGTGGTTCTGTCACACCGTGAGAGCACTTCAGGTCTAAGTCAATCAAAGCACAAACATTTTAAATGTTTTAACTTATTTACCCTTGTTAATGGACTAGTTAGTATTCATAATTTAATCAAAGAATTTTTACAAAGTGAGTATTTTTCTTATTATCTATCATAAACTTGTCAGAAAGGCATATATCTTTTATGTTATACCATGATGATATTAATATTATTATTATCAAGATCATCATCATCGTTATTATTATTATTATCATTATTGAATTTTGAGGAAAAAAATTATTACTAGGAAATATATGATTGTAATTTGTTTGTGTGAAATGAAAACCTCAAGGATTAAAGTTTTGAACTGGCGGAAAATTTATCATTGTAATACAGCCAGCACGTAAAGTAGGTATACTTTCTAGCGAGTAAGGGCCAAATTTTTTTGTCGATCTCCCTCGCCAAGGTAAGCCACGCACAGGCTGTGCCTGTCGCGCGTAACAATCAGATCTTGGGAGTTAAAGGGTTAAGATGTACTTTTGAATAAAATGAAACTACACTGAACTCTGTTGCCATTGATAATTTTAGAAATAACGTTCTTCTGTCTGATGATAAAAAAATGATCTCTTTAGCATTAGAGCGATCTCTATTTATCTAACTGTTGAAAATATTTGAAATTACACTTGTTTTGCTTTACCTCACTCTGGGATTGATATGAAAAACGCGCGCCGCCATCTCGACCTAACGGTATTCCAATCAGATGTAACAACGAATCCCGCCATACTCAAACTTAGGGTACGTTCCTTTGGGAGGATCCGGATTTGGATTTGTGATCTAAGATCACACAGATCACGGTGCATGAAAGGAACAGAGTTTTAGACGAGCTCTCAGAGAATTCCAAAAAGTGCGCTATTCTAAGACTTGCGTATGCATGTGGGTTACTGAGGTCTTCCCTCAATGGCTCATCTAACTGCACGGGCTTTTAGCGCGCACAATTTTTCTAATTAGCACTATTCATTAGAAGCACATTTTTTCATGGTAAACTCAAACGATGGAATTGAAACAGAAGCAAGTGATTATGATATGGATACTTGGGAACCCTGAATGCCTGCGAACAGTGGCCGATCGATTTAATATTACAAAATCGATTTTATTTCGTGTTTATCGCAGAATTTGTGGAGCGATTGCCAACAATCTTTCCGGTCATTATACGAAGCACCTATTTGTTTGAAATTGAGCACCGCTGGGCAAAATGATTAATTTCGGATCCTTCGCCCAAAGGAATGCGTTGGATCATTCCAAGAGTGGATTTGATCGATCACTGATCTGAAAATGGATTTGCTCGAAAAGAACGTTACAGATCAGAAATCCTGATCCGTATTCTCCCAAATTCCCTTAAATTGTCACTCACGTTTTCATCTGTCCCTTCATCATCCTTTATTAATTTATCCTTTCCTGATGCCTTAGATGTTATCATTTTGTTTTTTGTATGTTTCTCTTGTTTTTGTTCTTTGTTGCCTTCATTGTTGTTATTGTTTGGTTTTTTTTTGTTTGTTTTGTTTTTAACTCTAAAACCATTCTTAAATTCCGCGAATTGTTTTACGTAAGCTGGAATGACAGCCGATGATCGTATAGTGGTTCGAAGTACATAAAACGGTTCTTTTTCTCCATCTCCTTGCGTCATTTTATTTCTACCCTGTAAAATTTTTTTTATTTTTTTTAAGGTTCGAATCCTGGTCACGGCACTCATAAAACGGTTTTCGTTCTTTTTTCTCCATCTCGTTCTTTTCTTTTTCTTCGTTCTCTCATTTTATTTCTACCCCAGTAAATGCTCTCGTTCTTGTTCGTTTTTTAATTTTTTTTTAATTGTTTTCTTCGTTCTCTTTTGGTGTTCTTTCTCTTTTGGTGAAGAATGCTGATATTTTGTTTCGAAATGATATGAAATACAGTGACTGTTAAAGATCACAACTGCTTGTCGAGTGAGTGATCTGACAATGTGTATTTAACAGCATCCTGTGAACAGCAGTGGAAAATGTTTGAAAAAGTGAATGAAGATAACTAAAAATTTGAATGGACGGTAAGGGTTGACTCCAGGTAACTAGAGAGTGGAGTACTCAGCGCATTCTACTTCTTTATAGCTGATATTATTCACGGTTCTGTTCTCGTTCGAAATTATTCTATGCCCGTCCTCGTTATCAAAAGCTAAGAAGTCATGAAAAATAATCTTAAGACAAATTCACGCACGCTCCATGTCCTCCCAAGGGCGAGCGCGCTACATTGCTGTTAGAAAGCTCATTTTGCGAGCACTCGTTCTGGTGTCGTGGATGCACTATTCCTCGGACGGGGCTCAAGAGTTTTTCTTCCAAACGTATTCCTCGGACAAACCAGGAGGGAGAGTAGAACAGAAAACATTGGAACGAGTTTCGGTTTGCATTTTATCCTCAAGGATGTCTTGTGTCTTTAATGCGGAGCGGACTCGTCAAAGAGGACTGTTGAAAAAGAAAAATTTACGAAGAGTAAAAATAGACATTAGTTAATAGTAAGAAAAAAAAGTGCCGTGACCAGGATTCGAACCTGGGTTATTGCGGCCACAACGCAATGTACTAACCACTATACGATCACGGCTGCCACTACAGCTCACAAGATGCTTTCAAATAGACAAATTATGTACAGAATGTTTTCAAACAGAGAAATCATATGTATCCTGGCAAGAATAGAGTCAATTAACTCCATACCTTCTCCCATAAACACATTCATACTTGCAGGAGATTATAAATTTCTGTGTCTACTAACGCCACCGTTCTTACAGTGATAGTTCAGTGCCAGTGTTCCTCTGGTCAAGGACAGAGGAACATGCTGATCACGTCCTGTACATTAGAAATCTTCGACCAATCACATCCACTCGATTTCGATAAACCAAACGAGTGGATGTGATTGGCCAGTTTGTGAACTACACGTAACAGCAACAGATCTACAGCGCTTCGTTGTCTAACTTTTGAGGACGCGATTTAAAAAGTCATTCAGGGGAGTGTGAGATCAACAGAGAAATCGCGTTTCTAAGATGTTTTATAAGACTGTTTAGAGCAGTAAGCTTCCAAAAATTGTTCTTGGAAGAGGTGTACATGCTCGATCGTTTTGCCTTCGAGGTTTTTCTTTTTGTTTATATCTTTTCGCCATTGATCGCGAGAATGCCGAAGTTTAGACTTCTTACCAAGAGAGATCCAACGCTTGGCTGCACAGGAGTGCAGGTGGATGAGGTGTTCAAGAAGAATTCTGAGCAGCAGGAAAAGTGAATGCTCCGCAACTTGATTTCTCACTCTCCCGAAGAGGTAAACTTAAACAATTCAGATTTGTTACTTTAATGTTTAAAAAAATATTTAAAGAGCCGATCAAAAAAGTCAGGAGTCACGCTGAGAAACGTTCTCAAATGCCTTGTTTGTGATCTACGCGTGCATTAGGCTCCTACCACGCGCCACGTGTTCAAGCGTGATCATGCACTCTTGCGAGAGGGCTGCGCTAAGTGTTTTTATACTTCTAAGTTCACTGTTTGAAAAATACAAATTTTTTGCATCAATTGTCTGTAAGGAACATAGAAGTATAGAGGTGTATAAAGCATCACTCTTCTAAGTGTCCACGATCGCCCTTGAATGTGTGGTGCAAGCTAACAGCCTGATGAACGCGTGGGTGACAAGCGAGGCATTCGAGAGCTTTACTCAGCGCGATTCGTGTCGTTTTGCCACATTTCCCTGACACAAGTCTCAAAATTCCTTCACAGAGACAAAACATTTACTCAAAAACAGTTCCAGAGTAAAGTGCTTCATCAATCTCCAAACAATCTCTATGACAGCCGTAAAGGCAGTCAAATGGGTGAACATGTAACCAGTCTTTTGTGACTGATGAAAGTAACACTTCCTCTTGAATTCATTCCTTAGAAGAAGAGTTTGAGGAACTAACTATTCCTTCTTGCCTTGCGGGCGGCGTGTGCCTCTCTAAAGGAATCCCCTTTTTCCACAGAAAGCTTACAGAGAAGAATGGGCGCCTTCCTTGGTCGAGGAAGGCGCCCATTCTTCTCTGTTTTGGATCCCGCAGCAAAAGTGGATTCCTACACAGAAGTACAGGCAGTCTGCAAAGAGAAGAATATGGAATACATAATTAAGTGAAAATTCGTTTTTGGAACGCTGTTGAAAAGTATAAAACAAAAACAAAAAACAAAAGAAAAAGATTGAAAAAATGCAACAAACTTTCCCTCTGCTTTATTAAGGGCTTGGGACCTTCTAGCAATTGCGCTAGGCAGCATTAAAAGTTTGAAGATTTGAATTTATGATGGCATTTCCTCCACCAAGGGAACCATTGCCCAATCCTCAGGGGCTAGTTGCTCACTGAGGGAGCCAGGCTAATTGACCGCCGCCCAGCACTCGGCGTTGTTCAAGCAAGCTTGAACGGAAAAAAAAAAAGTTAAAATAAATAAACAAATAAACAAAAATTATATAAGTCAATCTGTCTTCTTCTTTTTATATCCTTTGTTCTTTTTAAGGTTTTCTCTCCATGTCTCAAAGCTCTCAGTCATTGTGTTACAATACCAGTTTCCAAAGTATTGTTTATGATTTTCAGGGTCTTTCTTCTTTCCACACTTGGGGCAAACCATGTTATACAAGGAATTGCTTACGACTGCTGCTTGTCTTTGGTTCCTGGGTAGTCCTTGTTTCATCTTTTTGCTTTGGGTGTGCTGATGGTTGAGACTGAGACTTTTGTTGCCAAGATTGAGGCTGATGGTGTTGTATTTGTATTTTGGATTGTATTGGAACAGGGGGAAATCTTCTAGCTACTGTTGGTGGCTGTAAGAAAGGAACAGGAGGAACAGGAGCTGGAAGAATTGGCATCGGTTGGCAAGCTTTTGAAGTTTGACCTCTGAGAATAGCTGTTCCTGTGGTATTTGTTGGTAATACAAATTTAAAGGGCACAGGATAGTTGACTTGTGGCAAGGACGGAGGCAGTGGTATGGCTGCTGGTAAAGGTGTCTTTGATGCTGCTGGTTCAGTTCGTTGAGGTAGTCCCTGTTTAAGTATTTCTTGTTCTTTCTTCTTTTGTCTCTTGATATACCAATGACTTAATGTTGTTTGGTTTATATCTGGTAGCTGAATCTGTGTCTCTCTCATCACCATGCCATTGTTCATAACACGTTCTTGTATGCCTCTGTAGTCTTTACACACAAGAGACCAACGGTTTGTTGTTTTTTTCTTTGATTTCTCTGGCCCAGGATGCAGATTACACAGTTGAGATATAACTGCCTCAGTGTACCTGTTACAATCTGGCCATTGGGCTGGAGCACTGTTGGAGCCTAGAAAACATCTTAAAGAAAGAAAAACCAAATTACATGAAAAAAGAGTCCTGTGTGATATTTACAACATTAGCCGTACAGTAGCTCACCTCCTAGTACTGTCCAGCCCTGGTACAACATTGGTACTCCTTCTCTTTGGAGCTTTAAGCTTTCCCTTCACCAGTGTAGTGCGGTGTCGTGGAGCAAATGTTGTTGGTTGTTGGTCATATTCGTGAAGGCTTTTCCACAGTCTGATGGTTTCTTTGGCTTGTGTATTGGACAAGGCCATACTTCCCTCTCTCAGAGAAACCAAATATGCTGCTTAAGCCTGAACTTCTCCATATCCCTGAATGTTGTCAGGCCCAGCAGAGTCCTATGAACAAATTAATTGTAATTATTCAGAGTTTACTTCCTGATTCCTTGTATAAAGTACTACAAAATAATACTATAAACTTACCTCTGCATCACTTTCAGCAAGCTCAGCAGAGTCTTCATCAGAAGTACTGGCAGCATCTGAGTCTAAATTTAAATTCACATTTTCAGTTTAAAATTCAGGAAAGGCAGATTTTGTGGACAATGCACACTTACCTCTTTCATTACCAAAAGGCACAGTAAACACCTGCTCTGCAGGTGCAATTGTCTCATCTTCATCTTCATTAGATCCTTCATCTATTTGGTCTGGGTTAACATCTGAGAGAGGTTCTTCCTCCTGTTGTGTCATATCTTCATCTACTAGGGTGTTGTCCTTGAGAATCTCACCAGTCTGATTGAAGAGATACTCAACTCCTATCATTTCACCTGTATAGATTCCAATATTCTGAACATTGGGCTTGACTTTCTTACCAAGGACATCTTCACTTAGCTTATTCACAGCATGTATTAATAATCCACTGTAGCTTTCTGGTTCTAATTCAGTACTTGAAACTGCAGCAGAAGCATGATCAGAATTCCACCTCATCAGGCCATCTAACAAGTAAGCTTGAAAATGAATGTCACTTGCTGAAGTACCTAAAATAAATGAAAACAGTGTTATAGACTGTAGTATTTGGGACATGTTAAGTTTTCAATCAAAAACGTAAACGTTTTTTACACAGATATTGTTACCTGGTATGAATTTATTAATATGCAGGTGGAATGACTCCAAAGATGTTGAACCTCTTGCACATCTATAAGTTGGAAGTTGAACACCACCTTCAGTCAAGACCCCGGTTTTGGTATACAGTTGCACCCCCTCAGGGTCCTGGATGCATGGAATGTGGTGCTTTTGGTTGTCCCATATTTCCCATACACGGGTCTTGTCAAGCAAAGGTACTCCAGTAGTATCGCATCCCTGGGGACCAGTAAATGTCAGTAATAGATCGTAAATCATTGCAGTAGTGTCAACAATTCCCCTAGTTCTCCTACGGCAATGTCGAGCCAATTCTCTCCGTGTAATCTTTTCAATAATGGCTGCATCAGAAGGGTCAGCAACACCTTGAATCTGCAATTGACCTCTTTTGGCAGACTTCAATAAATCCAGATCTTCTTTACTCCATTGGAAGATGCATTGTGATAGACGACTGACAAACACACTATAGAGTGGATGGGCCTCTGCGTTACATCCAGCAGCAATTCTTCTCATAAAGTGCCAAATATTAAGGCGGATCACTAAATTGTCCCAGAGTGAGAATAGCTTCTTAGCCTTGCCTGTGGAACAACAATCTCTGTCAACATAAAGGACCTCAGGAGGTGAGACACCATCTAAAGAATATCTTCTCATTAGTCCATTTGCCATGTTTTCCAACCCAGTTCCTTCATTGACAGTCATCACTGACATGAGCACTTGTCCATTTTCATTTCCAACACTAGTGGCCCAGGAAGCAGTACCAGCACTACCTCCTGCAAGTTTTCTCACAATTTTCTTAGTAGAGTCCATTTTCAATATTCTTCCATAGACAGAGGTGATGGATGCTTTAACATAGTCCATTCTGGCCATGATGTCTAGGGCATACACTGTGAGCAGCCACTTGTACTTTGGCACTGGTACAAATTCTGGAGGCTCTTGAAAGTTAAGGGGACCAGTGAGCCCACTTTTGAATGCATTGGCAAAGTATTTGCAGTCAGTCAGATACTGGGCTGACTTTTGGAGCCACTTTTCACTGTGCTCTTCAGTAAGCTTCTTTTGTAATTGCATTGAGCTGTTGCCAAGGCCCCTGTTTCTCAACAGTCTGATAACTCGGACATCACAAGCATACTGGTAGGTTAACAAAACTGGGGACTGAAGTTGATGGCCAGTATCCAGTTGTTTTATAATCTCAGGGCTCCAGCTGATAACTTTTCTCTTGCAATGCCTACACTCTAAGTACTCCGCAGCAAGGTTATAGTTGCTGTCAATGTCTATAACTTGCCTCACAGTACTGTATAGCCCAGCACTGGTGAGTAGTTTCCTGTCGCAGCCTTCGTGTGGGCAATACAGAGTGACTTTCCAAAGCTTACGCGGCATCCAAAGTAGCAGCCGTTGTGCAAAGTATCTGTCAAGTTGAGGTGGTTCTGTGCTTATAAAAGATGGCTGAGGGGGATCCCACCATAACTTGTTGACCCTAAAGAAGAGTAAATACACTGTAGTTAGAAAAGACTGTAATAGTAAGCTTGTATATAACATAGAGTATATCAATATACAATAACAAAAAGTAGTAAAGAATAGTAAGAAATAATAATAATAAAAGAAATAAAGAGTCACATATAATTAAAAAATATATTTTTTCATATCTACAGTAATACTGTAATGGCTAATGATAAAGAGTTCTTAAATTGTTCTCTAACATTTATTGCATTGAAAAAATAACAATCAATATGTCAGTTCACCTGCTAAAGTCCAACTTTGCTTTTCCCTTATTGTTTGTTGTAAATAAGGCCTGAGACACCCACAGGTGGTCAGCTTTAGGTAATGTCTTAAGCCATCCATCTGGGAATAAGGGATGTTCTGAAGAATAACATACTTTCATCATTAAAAGAGTGAAATATTAATAACATTTGATACAAAAACTTGTACCTTCATTCCTAACACTGCTGGGGAGGGCTACTGAAGCTGTTAGTACTTGCTCTGGCTGAGCCTCAGGCATTTCAATTACTTCTGGTACTAGTGGCACAGGTTCTTCTAGTTCAGGTGCTTGTATTGATCGAGATGCATCTGGTGTAGGCCTCTGACTTATATTTGGCTCACTGGTTGGTTGGACTACAATGAAAATGCAGAACATTATTTCAGAACACATCTTAAAACAGAAACAGTTAGTAATACCTAAAATTTGAAATATTACCTAAATTCTCCTCTACTTGGTCATCAAAGGTACAAAGCTCCTCATCATCTACATCTTGAGTAATTGTTGATGTAGATGTCACAGTGGCAGAAGGTGTCTTTGGTTTTCTTTTTCTCACTGATACAAGGATGGTAGGTTTGAACTTTTCAACACCTGTGGTTGATGCAACCTGGGACAAATATTTCTCAGTGCTTATGTGCCCAGATGCCAGACCAGCTGCCAGGGGGGAGACAACTTGTTTTGGTGCAGAGTTTTGGCTTGGTTGTGGAAATTTTGAAATCTATGTACTGTCAGGCTGTGCAATCTAAAATGATCTTTTTTAATTTATGATTTGTTCAGGCATACAAGGTTCCTGGTTTTGCTGGTCAGTTTGGATTTATCACCTCTATGAGTGAGCATTTTTGCGGAAGCTGCAACAGGCTGAGAATCACAGCAGATGGGAATTTAAAGGTGCATTGTTTTTTTCAATTTCATTCCTGTACTTTGAAGATTCAACATTAAATTTATTGTATTTCATGTAGATGACTGTAGATAGTGATTTAAGCATTCCACATTAATGCCTCTGGGCATCTTATGTACATTATTTTTATTATTTGTTTTTCATTCATATTCTCAAGGTTTGTTTGTTTGGTAACTCGGAAGTATCTTTACGAGATTCTCTGCGAGCAGGAACCAGTGAAGAGGAGCTTTTAGAGATCATCAGTGCTGCAGTTGGGAGGAAAAAGAAACAACATGCAGGTGTGTATACAAGAAGCAATGAGTTGCAGACTGCAACAGATCAGTCCTGTGAGCCAAGTGGCCTACAAAACAAGAGATTATCTCCAGTCTGATTTCCATAGCATTAACCCATAAGAGTGACTGGCATCTAATTTCTCCTTACCATATCACCCCTGAATCAAACATTAAGGTCAGGAGAATAAGGAACTGATCACCGATTAAAAAAGCTCTTGATTGTTAGACAAATTCTCCTTGTCTGCACCCTAGGAAATGTTTATAGAACAGTATGGAGAATATGCATTAGGATGTGAAGGGTTAAGTTTTTAAAGAGTAGACAACATATCTATTCTTCCCCATGGAAAGGATGTAAGATTTTTAGGGGGAAGAAGAGCACTGTAAGATAAGTGGTTTGCCATGTTCAAGAACAAGACTTGATTTTACCTTTTAACTCCAAGATCTGATTGTTAATTCTCCCCTCTTGCTGCTACACAATTCCTTGTAAATAAGTTATGAGAATTTGGTGTAAGATCAAGATAAAACTCCTTTTTGATAAGTTTGAGTATTATTGTGAACCTTTTGCTAGAAAACTTGAATATCATAGGGAGACGTTACATGTTAATAAAGAGTTAATCAGACAACAAAGTGATTGTTATTTTAATTTCAGTACAGTACTTTGTTTGCTTTGCAATGAACAGTACTTTTGCATCCTGTTAGCAGCATAACCATATTTTACTCAGTCTTGCAGTCTCACCATTTACACTATTGAAACCAGCTGTTTATCACTGTTTCCTCTCACAGGAATGTTCAACATTGCTAAACAAAAGAATCGCCCAATGATTCTCATTGGTGGGTGACAACCAAACAGGTAAAAATTTTTTGTGAGGGGTATATTTCATTTTAACTAGTGTGACTTGTAATCCCCTATTTGCTCTACATGCCAAGGTTAGTCATGCAGTCTGTCAGTAAAATTTCTTTCAATCATTCAGGCAGTCATTCCGTATTAGTTAGTTATCCATCAGTTGGTCAGAATCAGGTAGTCGTTTGTCAGTGAGTCAATTGGTCAGTCAATATATCATGGAGTTATTCAGTGAGTCAGTCACTTATTCTTTCAGGATAATTTGGTTTCATCAGCTGAGTTGATATCTGTAAATTGGTCTTGGTTAAGAGTTTCAAAGCTGAAATTTTGTGCATTAGCCCTTTTTCTGCTCGAAAACATCAGCTTTGAAACTCTTTACAGTGGCCAATTTACATTACCTAATGAATTCAGTTAATAAAACCAAATTATCTTGTTATACTCCCCTACTGACACAGCACCACAGTTTCTTTAGAAACTCACCCCCTTTATGCACTTGTTCTTTCAGTCAGTTACTCATTCAATAAGTCTGTGAATCAGTCAGTTAGCAGTTAATGGTCCAACCAGTAAGTCAGTATTAAAATCAAAATTGAATCTATTGGGAATAGAACCATGGACTTTTAGATGTTTGGTACACGTTTCAGTCCTAGTGTCTTTAAACTTAGTGTTCTATAATCTTTCCCACAGAAACTACATCCATTTTCAGATGTACAAGAAGTATGCAGTATGGCAGATGAGCCAGGTTTTTATGGGTTATACTACCTAAAAAGTAGAGCAATTTTCAATTGAATAATCAGTGTTTGCATTAGTTTTGCTCTACATTGCTCTTTGATTGGTCTTAAAAAACTTGTGCGACCTTCTCATCCAATCAGATGCAGAACCAAAACAAATCCAGACTCATTGATGTCACTAGTGCTTTTCCAGGTCTCAAGCAAGTGGCTTGTTTTTACTTTGAGTTTGAATTTGCTCATTGTGATATTTCACATCCCTTAACTGGCTGCTCTGATAACTTTTGGTTTTAATTCAGTGTCACTAAATTGAAAAGAGCCCTAACTAACTGTAAACACCGACAGATAGAGGTGCACTGGCAGATAAGCAGCACTGGCAGTAGGCCACATTGGCAGATGAGCAGCACTGACTGATAAGCCTAATGAAAATGATTAACCCTTAACATGCTAATTTTCTCCAAACTATTTCCTTTACATTTCCTAAGGTGCTGACAAGGAGAATTTGTCTAACAATAAAGAGCTTCTTGAGTTGCAATCATTTTCTTTAATCACATGACCTCAATGTTTAATTCGGCAGCAATACTATTAGGAGAAATCAGATGCATGTCACTCTAAGAGTGTAAAGGCTTAATGTGTTAGTTTGCTTGAAAGACTTAGGAATTTTCGTTTATTTTTTTTTTTCGTAAAATTTCATAAAAAGAGTAAATTTATGCAAATTTGCAGCACATTTTCAAGATGTTCTTGCAGAAGAGCCACACCCTTATTTGTTACAAAATTTTTGGGTGTGGCTTCCCATATCCACCAGTGTCTTAATTGACATTAGTTTGCTATTATAACAAGGCAAATACTATCACAAGGATAGTTGATGAATCATTTATGCAAAAAGATATACTGAGGTGTGTAAATGTTTTTTATGTAACTGTTAAATGACGATTCAAAATAGTCCACACATTTAGTGATCGTTATATTCGTATAAAATATAGGTGTACATATCTGTGGAAGAAAATAATTATGGTGTAATTGTATTTTCACTCAAACACATTGATATTGAATGTACATTGCATATATCTACTCAAAGTATATGTTAAAAATTATGGAATTAAATTTAACTCGCCCTGGGGTTCTTACGTATATGCAGACAGAGGAATCATGCATGCATTTGACAAGAGTAAAACACATGAGTTGCGAACCATCGTCCTTTAATGATACTGTTAATTATGAAATAATTGGTTAATATTTTGAAGAATATTATTTTTCTGTCCTCAAGTAATGTAATGTGTGTGAATTTAAGATAGTGAATGATTATTTTTTGAAGGATGCAGAGTCCTTATGGTTATCCCTTTACCCCCCTAACATCAGTATGCATATTCTCCATACTGTTCTCTATACATTTCCTAAGGTGCTGACAAGGAGAATTTGTTTAACAATCAAAGCTTCTTTAGTTGGTGATTATTTACTTTATTCTTGTGACCTCACTTTTTAATTCAGGGTTGATATTATATAAAGAAACTAGAAGGTAGTCACTCTTATGGTTAAAGGTTTGATGCTCTGGCTAGGGCCCGGTTGTTCAAAGTCTGTTTGGCACTAACCCAGGGTTAAATTTTAATCTGGATTTCTTTATAATTTCCTTGATTCCTTTTAGGAAATCCAATCATAAAATTGTAGTCAAAGGATTGTTACTGAACTTTCTTTTAAAGCTTTCAAATCTGAAATCAGATTTCACAATAACCCTGGGTTATCTTAACCCAGCTTTGAACAACTAGGCCCTGGACTCTGGATAGAGAGGTCTGGGTTCCAGTCGTGGTTCTGTCACACCGTGAGAGCACTTCAGGTCTAAGTCAATCAAAGCACAAACATTTTAAATGTTTAAACTTATTTACCCTTGTTAATGGACTAGTTAGTATTCATAATTTAATCAAAGAATTTTTACAAAGTGAGTATTTTTCTTATTATCTATCATAAACTTGTCAGAAAGGCATATATCTTTCATGTTATACCATGATGATATTAATATTATTATTATCAAGATCATCATCATCGTTATTATTATTATCATTATTGAATTTTGAGGAAAAAAATTATTACTAGGAAATATATGATTGTAATTTGTTTGTGTGAAATGAAAACCTCAAGGATTAAAGTTTTGAACTGGCGGAAAATTTATTATAATTGTAATACAGCCAGCAAGTAAAGTAGGTATACTTTCTAGCGAGTGAGGGCCAAATTTTTTTGTCGCTCTCCCTCGCCAATGTAAGCCACGCACAGGCTGTGCCTACTGCGCGTAACAATCAGATCTTGGGATTTAAAGGGTTAAGATGTACTTTTGAATAAAATGAAACTACACTGAACTCTGTTGCCGTTGATAATTTTAGAAATAACGTTCTTCTGTCTGATGATAAAAAAATGAACTCTTTAGGATTAGAGCGATCTCTATTTATCTAACTGTTGAAAGTATTTGAAACTACACCTGTTTTGCTTTACTTCACTCTGGGATTGATCTGAAAAACGCGCGCCGCCATCTCGACCTAACGATATTCCAATCAGATGTAACAACGAATCCCGCCATACTCAAACTTAGGGTGCGTTCCTTTGGGAGGATCCGGATTTGGATTTGTGATCTAAGATCACACAGATCATGGTACATGTAAGGAACAGAGTTTTAGACGAGCTCTCAGAAAATTCCAAAAAGTGTGCTATATTAAGAGTTTTGTATGCACGTGGGTTACTGAGCTCTTCCTTGAATGGCTCGTCTAACTGCACGAGCTTTTAGCGCGCACTATTCATTAGAAAACACATTTTTTTCATGGTAAACTCAGACGATGGAATTAAAACAGAAGGAAGTATTGATTAAAGTGTGGATACTTGGAACCCTGAATGCCTGCGGACGGTGGCCGATTGACTTGATACCACAAAATCGATTTTATTCCGTGTTTATCGCAGAATATTAGTGGAGCGATTGCCAACAATCTTTCCGGTCAACATATGAAGCACCTACTTGTTTTAAATTAAGCACCGCTGGGCAAAATGATTAATTTCGGATCCTTCGCCCAAAGGAACGCGTCGGATCAGTGATCTAATAATCCGTCTTCAGATCACGCAGATAAGTGATCCGATGAATCCTAGTCCAGAGTGGATTTGATCGATCACTGATCTGAAAATGGATTTGCTCGAAAAGAACGTCACAGATCAGAAATCCTGATCCGGATTCTCCCAAAGGAACGCACTCTTAAATTGTCACTCACGTTTTCATCTGTCCCTTCATCATCCTTTATTAATTTATCCTTTCCTGATGCCTTAGATGTTATCATTTATTGTTTTGTTTTTTTGTTTGTTTCTCTTGTTTTTGTTCTTTGTTGCCTTCGTTGTTATTATTGTTTGGTTTTTTTGTTTGTTTGTTTTGTTTTTAACTTTAAAAGCATTCTTAAATTCCGCGGTTTGTTTTACGTAAGCTGGAATGACAGCCGTGATCGTATAGTGGTTAGTACATTGCGTTGTGGCCGCAATAACCCAGGTTCGAATCCTGGTCACGGCACTCATAAAACGGTTTCTTTTTTCTCCATCTCCTTTTTCTTCCTCTCATTTTATTTCTACCCCTGTAAATGCTCTATGTTATTTTTAATTTTTTTTTTAATTGTTTCTTCGTTCTCTTTTGGTGCTTTCGAAGAATGCTGATATTTTGTTTCGAAATGATATGAAATACAGTGACTGTTAAAGATCACAACTGCTTGTCGAGTGAGTGATCTGACAATGTGTATTTAACAGCATCCTGTGAACAGCAGTGGAAAATGTTTGAAAAAGTGAATGAAGATAACTAAAAATTTGAATTAACGGTAAGGGTTAACTTCAGGTAACTAGAGAGTGGAGTACTCAGCCCATTCTACTTCTTTATAGCTGATATTATTCACGATTCTGTTCTCTTTCGCAATTATTCTATGCCCGTCCTCGTTATCAAAAGCAAAGACGTCATGAAAATGATCATAAGACAAATTCACCAAACTGGAGAGGCACGTGGCAAGTTAGGTGCAAGCGTGCTCATGCTTTGTGGCAGAACAGTTCACACGCACGCTCCATGTCCTCCCAAGGGCGAGCGCGCTACATTGCCGTTAGAAAGCTCATTTTGCGAGCACTCGTTCTGGTGTCGTGGATGCACTATTCCTCGGACGGGGCTCAAGAGTTTTTCTTCCAAACGTATTCCTCGGACAAACCAGGAGGGAGAGTAGAACGGAAAACATTGGAACCAGTTTCGGTTTGCATTTTATCCTCAAGAATGTCTTATGTCTTTAATGCGGAGCGGACTCGTCAAAGAGGACTATTGAAAAAGAAAAATTTACGAAGAGTAAAAATAGACATTAGTTAATAGTAAGAAAAAAAAGTGCCGTGACCAGGATTCGAACCTGGGTTATTGCGGCCACAACGCAATGTACTAACCACTATACGATCACGGCTGCCACTACAGCTCACAAGATATTTTCAAATAGACAAATCATGTACAGAATGTTTTCAAACAGAGAAATCATATGTATCCTGGCAAGAATAGAGTCAATTAACTTCATACCTTCTCCCAAACACATTCATACTTGCAGGAGATTATAAATTTCTGTGTCTACTAACGCCACTGTTCTTACAGTGATAGTTCAGTGCCAGTGTTCCTCTGGTCAAGGACAGAGGAACATGCTGAGTGGCAGCCAATCACGTCCTGTACATTAGGAATCTTCGACCAATCACATCCACTCGATTTCAATAAACCAAACGAGTGGATGTGATTGGCCAGTTTGTGAACTACACGTAACAACAACAGATCTACAGCGCTTCGTTCTCTAACTTTTGAGGACGCAATTTAAAAAGTCATTCAGGGCAGTGTGAGATCAACAGAGAAATCGCGTTTCTAAGATGTTTTATAAGACTGTTTAGAGCAGTAAGCTTCCAAAAATTGTTCTTGGAAGAGGTGTACATGCTCGATCGTTTTGCCTTCGAGGTTTTTCTTTTTGTTTATATCTTTTCGCCATTGATCGCGAGAATGCCGAAGTTTAGACTTCTTACCAAGAGAGATCCGACGCTTGGCTACACAAGAGAAGTGGATGAGGTGTTCAAGAAGAATTCTGAGCAGCAGGAAAAGTGAATGCTCCGCAAGTTGATTTCTCATTCTCCCGAAGAGGTAAACTTAAACAATTCAGATTTGTTACTTTAATGTTTAAAAAAATATTTAAAGAGCCGATCAAAAAAGTCAGGAGTCACGCCGAGAAACGTTCTCAAATGCCTTGTCTGTGATCTACGCGTGCATTAGGCTCCTACCACGCACCACGTATTCAAGCGTGATCATGCACTCTTGCGAGAGGGTTGCGCTAAGTGTTTCTATACTTCTAAGTTCACTGTTTGAAAAATACAAATTTTTTGCATCAATTGTCTGTAATGAACATAGAAGTATAGAGGTGCATAAAGCATCGCTCTCTAAGTGTCCACGATCGCCCTTGAATGTGTGGTGCGCGCTAACAGCCTGATGAACGCGTGAGTGACAAGCGAGGCATTCGAGAGCTTTACTCAGCGCGATTCGTGTCGTTTTGCCACATTTCCTTGACATAAGTCTCAAAATTCCTTCACAGAGACAAAAAAAGTTACTCAAAAACAGCTCCAGAGTAAAGTGCTTCATCAATCGCCAAACAATCTCTATGACAGCCGTAAAGGCAGTCAAATGGGCGAACATGTAACCAGTCTTTTGTGACTGATAAAAGTAACACTTCCTCTTGAATTCATTCCTTAGAAGAAGAGTTTGAGGAACTATTCCTTCTTGCCTTGCGGGCGGCATGTGCCTCTCTAAAGGAATCCCCTTTTTTCCACAGAGAACTTACAGAGAAGAATGGGCGCCTTCCTTGGTCGAGGAAGGCGCCCATTCTTCTCTGTTTTGGATCCCGCAGCGAAAGGGGATTCCTTCACAGAAGTACAGGCAGTCCGCAAAGAGAACAATATGGAATACATAATTAAGTGAAAATTCGTTTTTGGAACGCTGTTGAAAAGTATAAAACAAAAACAAAAAACAAAAGAAAAAGATTGAAAAAATGCAACAAACTTTCCCTCTGCTTTATTAAGGGCTTGGGACCTTCTAGCAATTGCGCTAGGCAGCATTAAAAGTTTGAAGATTTGAATTTATGATGGCATTTCCTCCACCAAGGGAACCATTGCCCAATCCTCAGGGGCTAGTTGCTCACTGAGGGAGCCAGACTAATTGACCGCCGCCCAGCACTCGGCGTTGTTCAAGCAAGCTTGAGCGGAAAAAAAAAAGTTAAAATAAATAAACAAATAAACAAAAATTATATAAGTCAATCTGTCTTCTTCTTTTTATATCCTTTGTTCTTTTTAAGGTTTTCCCTCCATGTCTCAAAGCTCTCGGTCATTGTGTTACAATGCCAGTTTCCAAAGTATTGTTTATGATTTTCAGGGTCTTTCTTCTTTCCACACTTGGGGCAAACCATGTTATACAAGGATCGCTTATGACTGCTGCTTGTCTTTGGTTCCTGGGTAGTCCTTGTTTCATCTTTTTGCTTTGGGTTTGCTGATGGTTGAGATTGAGACTTTTGTTGCCAAGATTGAGGCTGATGGTGTTGTATTTGTATTTTGGATTGTATTGGAACAGGGGGAAATCTTCTTACTACTGTTGGTGGCTGTAAGAAAGGAACAGAAGGAACAGGAGCTGGAAGGATTGGCATCGGTTGGCAAGCTTTTGAAGTTTGACCTCTGAGAACAGCTGTTCCCGTGGTAATTGTTGGTAATACAAATTTAAAGGGCACAGGATAGTTGACTTGTGGCAGAGACGGAGGCAGTGGTATGGCTGCTGGTAAAGGTGTCTTTGATGCCGCTGGTTCAGTTCGTTGAGGTAGTCCCGAAGGCACAGTAAACACCTGCTCTGCAGGTGCAATTGTCTCATCTTCATCTTCATTAGATCCTTCATCTATTTGGTCTGGGTTAACATCTGAGAGAGGTTCTTCCTCCTGTTGTGTCATATTTTCATCTACTAGGGTGTTGTCCTTGAGAATCTCACCAGTCTGATTGAAGAGATACTCTACTCCTATCATTTCACCTGTATAGATTCCAATATTCTGAACATTGGGCTTGATTTTCTTACCAAGGACATCTTCACTTAGCTCATTCACAGCATGTATTAATAATCCACTGTAGCTTTCTGATCCTAATTCAGTACTTGAAACTGCAGCAGAAGCATGATCAGAATTCCACCTCATCAGGCCATCTAACAAGTAAGCTTGAAAATGAATGTCACTTGCTGAAGTACCTAAAATAAATGAAAACAGTGTTATAGACTGTAGTATTTGGGACACGTTAAGTTTTTTACACAGATATTGTTACCTGGTATGAATTTATTAATATGCAGGTGGAATGACTCCAAAGATGTTGAACCTCTTGCACATCTATAAGTTGGAAGTTGGACACCACCTTTAGTCAAGACCCCAGTTTTTGTATACAGTTGCACCCCCTCAGGATCCTGGATGCATGGAATGTGGTGCTTTTGGTTGTCCCATATTTCCCATACGCGGGTCTTGTCAAGCAAAGGTACTCCAGTAGTATCACATCCCTGGGGACCAGTAAATGTCAGTAATAGATCATAAATCATTGTCGTAGTGTCAACAATTCCCCGAGTTCTCCTACGGCAATGTAGAGCCAATTCTCTCCGTGTAATGTTTTCAATAATGGCTGCATCAGAAGGGTCAGCAACACCTTGAATCTGCAATTGACCTCTTTTGGCAGACTTCAATAAATCCAGATCTTCTTTACTCCATTGGAAGATGCATTGTGATAGACAACTGACAAACACACTATAGAGTGGATGGGCCTCTACGTTACATCCAGCAGCAATTCTTCTCATAAAGTGCCAAATATCAAGGCGGATCACTAAATTGTCCCAGAGTGAGAATAGCTTCTTAGCCTTGCCAGTGGAACAACAATCTCTGTCAACATAAAGGACCTCGGGAGGTGAGATACCAGCTAAAGAATATCTTCTCATTAGTCCATTTGCCATGTTTTCCAACCCAGTTCCTTCATTGACAGTCATCACTGACATGAGCACTTGTCCATTTTCATTTCCAACATTAGTGGCCCAGGAAGCAGTACCAGTACTACCTCCTGCAAGTTTTCTCACAATTTTCTTAGTAGAGTCCATTTGCAATATTCTTCCATAGACAGAGGTGATGGATGCTTTGACATAGTCCATTCTGGCCATGATGTCTAGGGCATACACTGTGAGCAGCCACTTGTACTTTGGCACTGGTACAAATTCTGGAGGCTCCTGAAAGTTAAGGGGACCAGTGAGCCCACTTTTGAATGCATTGGCAAAGTATTTGCAGTCAGTCAGATACTGGGCTGATTTTTGGAGCCACTTTTCACTGTGCTCTTCAGTAAGCTTCTTTTGTAATTGCGTTGAGCTGTTTCCAAGGCCCCTGTTTCTCAACAGTCTGATAACTCGGACATCACAAGCATACTGGTAGGTTAACAAAACTGGGAACTGAAGTTGATGGCCAGTATCCAGTTGTTTTATAATCTCAGGGCTCCAGCTGATAACCTTTCTCTTGCAATGCCTACACTCTAAGTACTCCGCAGCAAGGTTATAGTTACTGTCAATGTCTATAACTTGCCTCACAGTACTGTATATCCCAGCACTGGTGAGTAGTTTCCTGTCACAGCCTTCGTGTGGGCAATACAGAGTGACTTTCCAAAGCTTGCGTGGCATCCAAAGTAGCAGCCGTTGTGCAAAGTATCTGTCAAGTTGAGGCGGTTGTGTGCTTAGAAAAGATGGCTGAGGGGGATCCCACCATAACTTGTTGACCCTAAAGAAGAGTAAATACACTGTAGTTAGAAAAGACTGTAATAGTAAGCTTGTATATAACATAAAGTATATCAGACAATATACAATAACAAAAAGTAGTAAAGAATAGTAAGAAATAATAATAATAAAAGAAATAAATAGTCACATATAATTAAAAAATATATTTTTTCATATCTACAGTAATACTGTAATGGCTAATGATAAAGAGTTCTTAAATTGTTCTCTAACATTTATTGCATTGAAAAAATAACAATCGATATGTCGGTTCACCTGCTAAAGTCCAACTTTGCTTTTCCCTTATTGTTTGTTGTAAATAAGGCCTGAGACACCCACAAGTGGTCAGCTTTAGGTAATGTCTTAAGCCATCCATCTGGGAGTAAGGGATGTCCTGAAGAATAACATACTTTCATCATTAAAAGAGTGAAATATTAATAACATTGATACAAAAACTTGTACCTTCATTCCTAACACTGCTGGGGAGGGCTACTGAAGCTGTTAGTACTTGCTCTGGCTGAGCCTCAGGCATTTCAATTACTTCTGGTACTAGTGGCACAGGCTCTTCTAGTTCAGGTGCTTGTATTGATTGAGATGCATCTGGTGTAGGCTGCTGACCTATATTTGGCTCACTGGTTGGTTGGACTACAATGAAAATGCAGAACATTATTTCAGAACACATCTTAAAACAGAAACAGTTAGTAATACCTAAAATTTGAAATATTACCTAAATTCTCCTCTTCTTGGTCAGCAAAGGCACAAAGCTCCTCGTCATCTACATCTTGAGTAATTGTTGATGTAGATGTCACAGTGGCAGAAGGTGTCTTTGGTTTTCTTTTTCTCACTGATACAGGGATGGTAGGTTTGAACTTTTCAACACCTGTGGTTGATGCAACCCGGGACAAATATTTCTCGGTGCTTATGTGCCCAGATGCCAGACCAGCTGCCAGGGGGGAGACAACTTGTTTTGATGCAGAGTTTTGGCTTGGTTGTGGGGAATTGTGTTGCTTTTTGGCCTCTTTATCCTCCCTCTGCTTTCTCTTCAGGGCCACAACATCACGACCCTCTTGAAAAGATTCCACATACTTCTTTAAGGCAGCTTTGTTTTGACTTATAGGAGAGTTGGTCACTTTTTCATTGCAAATGTTGTCAACAAACCAACCAATGTAGCCAAGAGCGTTTTCCAGCATCCACCTGAAGGACTGGCCACGATATTTTCCAAACTGGAGCAAGTACTCTCCTTGAACATCGAGTTCATTTTGAACATCCCCTTTTCTCTTCTTAACAGCTTCAATAGCAAGTTTTTTGACCTGAACGTAATAGTACAGTGATAATAAAGATTAGGTTTAGATTTAGTCTTTCTAAAACCAAAGGAATAAGAAGAAACTATCATCACAAAATGAACAAGAATTTTTTATTAAGTCATAACTGTGAACTAAATAAGAATTCGTTTCTTAATCGAGTATCTTAGTGTAGGATAGGTTTTTAATAACGTCTGATTGTAACATCGCTAAGTTTTATTATCACCAAAATTTATAAGCCACAAGAAATTCAGTTTTACTGTAATCGTCGCAAAACAAGACAAGAGTCCGTCTGAGCGGCTTCGATACACACAGGGCTAATATACAAGGCTAATATTCCGAGGTTACAGTTAAATAAACCAACTAAACGATTTTTCGTGGATCGAAAATACCATTATGCATGAATAAATCGGGCTATTTGTCACTGTTAGCTTGTTTTTTTTATTTTTTTTCTTTATCAGGCCACCTGTGGAATATAACCTGAACTTGACGTGACCCGTATATTTAAATGACCTGACCTTTCGCCTCGCCGCTTCAATATCGGTAAGAACAAATCGGTCTTAAACTTTTAATTGTTTTGTTTGTGTTTAAGTCCTCAGAGTATATAATTAAGAGCGCAATGAAGCAGTCGGTCTTAATTGATGTTTTATTAAACAAAACAAAAGCGATAAGCCGTGTCGGTTAGGACCTTAACAATTGGCTTTTTGAAATTTTAATCTAACAATTCTAAATTGTTTAAGCCTACCTCTTCGGGAGGTTTACTAATGACCTGGTCCTGCTGCTCCGAATTCCTCTTGAAAACCTCGTTCGCTTCTCTAGTGTAGTTAAGCACCAAATCCCCATTGCTGAAACGTCTAAACTTCGGCATTCTCGCCATGGCTGAAAGATATAAACAGAAAGAAAAACCACAAAGGCAAACGACAGAAACGAAAACAATCGAGCGCGTGCGTCTCTTCTACGAATATTTTTTGGCGGAAAAAAGTTTTAGGGGATTCTTATAATACAGATTAGAACGCTCGAAGTTTTCGTTGATCTCTCGCTCTTTCAACGAATTTTTTTGGTCGCTTCTTAGAGAATCCTACCTTCTGATTTAAATCTCAAAGGTAAGTGAACGTTGTGTTGTAGATTTGTTGTTCTTGTTAGCTCAAATTGGCCAATCACATCCACTCGTTTGGTTAATTGAAATCGAGTGGATGCGATTGGTCACCTTAATGGATATCGAGTGGATGTGATTGGTCAAAGATTTCCAAACGAGTGGATGTGATTGGCTCACTCTACAGAGAACATTAGCCTGACCGCAGTGGTCAGGAAGGTGGTCGGATACACGTACTAGAGTGTCAGCCAATCACATCCTGTACATTGGGAATCTTCGACCAATCACATCCACTCGATTTCAATTAACCAAACGAGTGGATGTGATTGGCCAATTTGCGAGCTAACAACAACAAAGCTACCACGGTCGCTCGCTTATTTTAACATTTTGAATCGAAACGTGGGATACTGGAAAAGCGATCAAAAAAGTTATTGAAACACCACAGGCGGCCCAAGCTCGCGTCTCGAGAAAAAGCCAACGATGAATTCATGAACGCGTCACGCGTTGTGTGACTCGGTGTTAAGTTACGGGAGGAACCGTTGAAAATTTGAACACGTTATAAGGAATAGTATGGGGAACGAAATATGGTCGATTTTTTACGATAAATATTTCGAAATATGAATATTTTACACGTAAAATCAAAAAAAACTTACTCATGCCCTGTGTATCCGTCGTAGTTTCTGGCGATTTCTGCCGTTTTAAGCTTGCTTTACCATCACTGTTATCCATGTCATGACATGGATAAGCATTAACTAATACCCAAACCAAACCTCTTCAAATTTCATGATCAGTATAGCCACTTCAGTGTGATTTTTCTTTTTTTCTAGAGTCTTAATTGATGTTTTATCAAAAAAAAAAAATAATAAACTAAATTTATAAGCCATGCTCTGGACCTTAACGATTGGCTCTTTAATTTTTTTTTAAAACATTAATATGACAAATCTAAATTGAACGGCTGTAAATATATGAAAGTCATATATTTGAACTGCGGATAAAGACGTGAACATGAAAGCGATCTTCGCAGTTATGAACACTTCTTAGGCAGAAGCGAAAAGAAGGGCTGAAAAAAAAATTAGGACTGCACAGGATTTGAACCTATGACCTCTGCGATACTGGTACAGTGCTCTACCAACTGAGCTAACAAGTCAACTGGGAGCTAGATACCGTGATAAGCCGCAAATTGACTTCTGATTCCCCCGAAGAGATTGGAACCGACGCAGTTACCAGCACCAGCATCAAGTTGCGGCGCATTCACTTCTCCTGCTACTCAGAATTCTTCTTGAACACCTCATCCGCTTCTCTTAGGTAGCCGAGCGTCGGATACCTATTGGTAAGAAGTCTAAACTTCGGCATTCTTGCGATCGATGTAAACAGAAAGAAAAACCTCCAAGGCAAAACGATCGAGCATGTACACCTCTTCCAATTATAATTTTTGGCAGCTAACTGCTCTAAACAGATTCTTATAAAACATATAAGAACACACAATTTCTCTTGCACTCTTTGAATAACTTTTTAAATCGCGCTCTCAAAAGTTAGAGAACGAACCGCTGTAGATCTGTTGTTACATGTAGTTCACAAATTGGCCAATCACATCCACTCGTTTGGTTAATTGAAAACGAGTGGATGTGATTGGTCGAAGATTCCTAATGTACAGGATGTGATTGGCTGCCACTCAACGTGTTCCTCCGTCCTCGACGAGAGGAACACTGGCATTGAACTACCACTGTGAGAACTTATAATCTCCTGCAAGTAGGAATGTGTATGGGAGAAGGTATAGGGATAATTGTCTCTATTTTTGCTAGGATGCTTTGAGTCCCAGTGCAGCTGCTGTTTCTTCGCGGATTAGGCTGATCTGCGCTCCTGAGTCAAGGAGAGTGTTGCTTTGCTTTTGGAACCCATTTTGACCGTAAATCTTGCATGTTACCACCGGCAAAAGAGTTTCATGTGGCTCGGAGAGTGACGCGACGCCAACTTTGACTGCGGTGCTCTTGTGAAGCAACGGGTGATGAAAATGCATGCATTCCTTCCGTTCTCGGTTTTCGTACACTTTTACGTCTCCTACAGTTGTCAACTCGGTGTTCTCTTCCGGCTGCTTTCATGCAACTAAAGCACACATGGTTTTCTTTGGCGACTTTTATACGTTGGTCGATACCGAGGGCAGCGAATTTAGGGCATGTATCTGGCCAATGGGACGAGTTTTTACAGTACCAGCATTTGTACCACTTCTGGTTGGGAGCTTCGACTTGCAAGGCATAGACTGATCTGCTAGATCTCAATGGAGCAGTAGCACGCATACGTGATTTCATCTCTACGTCCATCCACTTCATCAGTCGCTCTAAGTTGCTTTTTCTCCCTGACGCTCCAAGTCTCGTGACCAAACCTTTCGATCATCCGAACACATTTTTTGCTCAATGATAGATAGTATGTGACTGTTGTCCATGTCATTTTGACTTCCGACCTCCAGAGTGTTGAAGCTTCGTTTAACCAAATGGACTAAGTCGCAAAATCTTGCATCTTCTCCTGGTTGCAGAGCTCTAAACTTTACTTTATGTCTTGCGTGATGGTGTCGGACACGAACCTTGGATCTCCGTAAATAGAGTCCAAATAATCCCACGCTGCCTTATAGTCCGAACCTATCCCTTTGATTAACTCTAATGGTTTATCTTGCAGACATGTGCGAAGAAAAGTTATTGCATCTCTTTTGCTGTATTTCGATTCTATCGCGTGCTTAAAATCGGCGCGAAAATGGCATAATCTCTTACGTCTCCGGTAAATTTAGGCATCTTTGGCTTTTCCATCTTAAACCACAGGCGCCGGTTGTAGCATTGGGGTTTACTTCATGTCCGGAAACAACGGATGTGCCTTCATGGTCTGGTGTGAAATTATCATTACCGGAACTTGTACTTTGATGGGTGCTAATTGGATTGATTGGATGATCATTATCGCCAGAACTTACACTAAGCGCGTCTTCTTCTATTTGCATATTCAGAATTCCACTACTTCCCGGCTCACCAACACCACTATTTTTCGTTTTAGATGCTGTAGATGTATGATTAGTTTTCATCGGGGCCTTTTCCTTACTGAAGAAAGAATCCAAATATTTTTTTGCGTCCATTTCCATTGACATAAAGTCTTCTTGGCATTCCCCCATCCATCCCTCTTGCACTTCGAACTCAGTGTCATCTTCGATTAAACGCGAATAATTTTCATGCTTCGCCACAAGATTGTCAAAGGCTAACTGCAGTTTACTTAGACCATCTCTTACCTCTTGCTCTGGTCTTTTCGCTTCTATTAACTTCGCTAAGGACTTTCCACAGCGTGTGAGCGTTCCTTTGGCAGTCCTCCGATCAGTTTTGGCAGTTTTCAGGGCTTCCTCCGCCATGTGCTCCAGGATTGCGTAGTTCTTCGTTACAACCCAGAAATCGAATGTAATGTTTCCTTACTCGGAACTGATTAGATCATGTGACCACCACAAACCGTATAATATTAAGCCAAGCTTTAATAATTATTCGATCTAAAATATAGTTTGTCCGCAAGGAAATATCCTGTACATATGAGCAGCAGTGGCAGCCGTGATCTTACAGTGGTTAGTACATTGCGTTGTGGCCGCAATAACCCAGGTTCGAATCCTGGTCACGGCACTTTTTTTTCTTACTGTGCACTAACCCCTATTTTTACTCTTTGTAAATTTTTCTTTTTTTTCTTACTTAAATAAAATGTTAAACTTTGCCATCTGCGATTAGTTTTTAATTCTTCGCCTTCCTCAAACTTCCGTTCCTATTTGATTGCTATGTACCTGTTTACACCTGTCTTCACAACTGAGAAACTTTATTATTTCAAAGTTCAATTTTACTGATATTTAAAGGAGATTCTTAGCAAGGAAAATGGAAATGACTTACAACATGACCCCTTTAAATATATATATATTTTAGTTATTGACGGAAAATGTGAATGAAAGGCAAGGGTTTTCTAGTTCTTTATAGTTGATATTATTCACAATTCTGTTCTTTTACGAAATTATTATATGCCCTTCCTCATAATCAAAAGCAAAGAAGTCACAAAAAATTCATAAGACAAATCCACTAAGCTGAAGAGGTACGTGGCAGATATAGATACGTGTAAGCGCGCATATACTTTGGCAGGACAGTTCACACGCACGCTCGATATCCTCGCAAGGTCGAGCGCGCTACATTGCTGCATAACAAGAAAGCTCCCTTTGCAAACACTCGTTCAGGTCTTGCGAATGAACTATTTCGGGAATATATATATTGAATGACTTTTTATATCACGATCTCTAAAGTTAGAGAACGAACCGCTGAAGATGTGTTGTTGTTACATGTAGCTGACAAATTGGCCAATCACATCCACTCGTTTGGTTAATTGAAATCGAGTGGATGTGATTGGTGGAAGATTCCTAATGTACAGGATATGATTGGCTGCCACTCAGCATGTTCCTCCGTCCTCGACCAGAAGAACACAACTGAACTACCACTGTACGAGCAGTGGCGTCAATAGTCACAGAAATTTATAACTTCCTGCAAGTATGAATGTGTATGGGAGAAGGTATTTTTGCCAGAATGCATATGCTTTGTCTGTTTGAAAATCTGCTGTACATGTGAGCAGCAGTGGCAGCCGTGATCGTATAGTGGTTAGTACATTGCGTTGTGGCCGCAATAACCCAGGTTCGAATCCTGGTCACGGCACTATCTATTTTTTTCTCTTTGTACATTTTTATTTTTTTCCCGACTTCAAGAAAACTTCGAACTTCGCCATCTGCGATTAGT